ATTCTTATTCAAGATGAAATTCTAAAATGGACGAGAATGGGTAAAAGTAGGTAGAATGACAAAATATTGCTATGAACCAAATGCTTTTTTCCTAAAAATGAATTTTTTCAAACTGACAAGTGTCCTATGTAAAAGTTCTTTTGTAAAAGTGCTTTCATAACAATACTTGGATAAAAGTACTTTCATAATACTTTTGTAAAAGTGTTTTTATAAAAGTATTTTCGTAAAACTGCTTTTAAAAATGCTTTCATAAAAATAATTTTGTAAAAGTGCTTTCATAAAATTGCTTTTGTGTAAAAGTACTTTCATAAAAGTGCTTTCATAAAAGTGTTTTTGTGTAAAAATACTTTTATAAAAGTACTTTCGTAGATGTATGGTAGTGTGTAGAGGTGTAAAGTGGGTCGTGCCGGGTCGGCATGGCACAGCCCACGGGCGGCCCGCACAAAGTGCAGATCGTGTTATGCTGGCCCATGGGCCGTTACAGGCTGTGTCGCCCTCCCTAGTGAAAATTTTGGGGGTCGGCCCGACACGGCCCATGGCCCAGGTCCGTGCCATGCCGTGTCGTGGGCCAGGCTGGCCTGTGGACCGAGCCTTGGGCCTGGTCGAGCTGTGCATCGGGCCAAAGCTATTTATTTAATAAAAATCATAAAAAAACTTAAAATTTTAATTTTATATGAATTTTGTGTATACAATTGCTTATATATATAATAATTAAATAAATTAGTATAATAAAATTATTTATTTTATTAATATATTATATACTATATAATTATAATTTATATAATATTATATAAATATATATAAAATATATATATGGTTCATGTTGTGCCGACCCATGGACCTAAAACCCCAGGCCCAACACGGCCCGCATGATTGTGTCGGGCCTGGCACAGCTCGCGGACCGTCGTGCCAGGCCGGTCCAAGTTCATGTCGGGCCACGGGTGGCACGACCTAATTTACACCTCTAGTAGTGCACTGGTAAACATCTACGGCAATAGTTTTGTAGGCATATTTTCCTCAAAGAATGAAAATGAGCAAGATGGGGCATGATTATTTTTCATGTTGCATGCTACCTCAATTTTTGTTCTATGGGCTGATTTTTCATTCTAAAAAGAATGTGGCCCATGGCAAGAATTTTGTAACCAAATACTCTAATGTTATTCATTCTTGCTCATTTTTACCAAGAATGAGTAAGAATTAAAAGAATGAGATCCAGAGCAGTGAACCAAACATGGCCTTTGCCTATAAAACTATTGCCATAGATGTTTACTAGTAGACTATCGTGGAAGTACTTTTACGAAAACACTTTTATAAAAGTAATTTTACAGGAAAGCACTTTAATAAAAGCACTTTTACAAAGGACACTTATTAGTTTGCAAAGAATTCATTTTTAGGAAAAAAACATTTGGTTCATAGCAATATTTTCTCATTCTGCCTATTTTTATCCATTGTTGTACATTTTAAAATTTCATCTTGGGTAAGAATGAGAAAGAATGAGAATTGAACCAAACATGGCCTAGAACTCTACAAGTTCAACACCATTTCTTACAATCCAAGATATTGATGAGTAGTGGAGCAAGGAAGTTATCTTTTTAATCAAAGATATCGTTTCGTGGATGGCCAATGAGAATGCATCTTTATCTCTTGTTTGAAGAAGTTCGAACTCAAGGGTATAGAGTTGTAATTGAATATAAGTTTAATCAAATAATTAGGGCTCAAGTCTGATTAGACTTGATTTATGTTCGAACCTAATTGAGTTTGAATTTCAAGGTAAGCTCAATTAGTAATTTGAACTTGAGCTCAACTTATAAAAAGTTTAGCTTGAAAGTTTGCGAGTCTGGCTTGATGAACATATAAATACATATATACATATTATAGAATACAAAAATATATTTAAAATATATATTAAGAAAATATATTTTTATATTGTATATATAATATAAGAGTATACTATATATTATAATATATATATATATATATTATATCTATGTACTATATATTTATAAAATATGAAAATACATGCATTTTTGAGCTTTTGAACTGAATTCGTGCTCATCAAATATTTAATCGAATTGAACATGAACCAGGAAATAGAGTTCGAATTGAACTTGAACTTGAACTCGAACTTAATAGTATTTTGGTTGAACCAAGACCATATACAAAAATTTAGCTTGTCTCAACTCGATTGTCACCCTACTCAAGGGATATTGGTTTAAATCAAGAAGGGTTGGAAAAATCTATAATGCTGGAAAGATATATAACTGCAAAGGCTTTGACCAATCAGCCATTCAACCCCCCATTAACTTTTATGAAAACACACCTGATTGGTTATCACTTTTGTGATGCCAATTGATTGGTTATGAGTTTTTGTATTATCATGTTTTTTCTAGCATCAAAGTTGAAAACTCGAATTGTTTGGTTGACATACTTGTCATTGACTCTTGTAATGTCCATAATAATATGGATAAATCATAAGTAATATATGGTAGTTAAGTTTGTTACCGACTTGTCTATATTTCTTCTGTTTTAATGAAAGCTTTTTTGCCAAAAAAAAAAATAAAGAAAAAAACCGCTTATTAAAAATGTAGTTTAAAATTATAGTTTTTTTTTTCACTAAATGAAATTTGAGATGTGTTGCTGTTTGTTTCGTTATTAGAGTCCATTGTCGATCCAAGGTAGTAGGGCAATGTGAATCGAGGTTGATTGCAATGACTATGCCTTGAGTTTTCCTGGGCATAAGAAAGGGTGGGTATGGAACAGGGCACCCCTCCCCATCTCTGCCCTCAAGCCAAAATCCCCTACCTTGCTCCCACCCCCATCCCTGGTGGTGAGGCTTTGGGTGCTCACAGTTCGGTTAATTGAATAATAGGTTTTGTTTTTTTTTTTTTTTCTAAATCGAGCATTTATTTCTCCGAATTAAAACCAAATTGATACCACTGATTAATCAGTTGATCGGTTTTGGTTTTTAACTGATTCGATTCTTTAATTTTTTATATTTATATTTATATATATATTATATTATATATAAATAATATTATATTTGTAATATATATTTTAAGTAGATTATTTTATTTTTTTAAGGCTACACAACATGGATAACCCATCCCCCATCCTATAAATCTGACTTATTTGCAGCAGTAGGCTCAGTCTTAAATGAGAAGTTTGAGATGTGGACATGGAGCACAAAGGAAAATACAAGTAGAGCTACCAAAATTCTCTTTTATGGATTTGTTGACTTGTGGGATTTTAAAATTAATCATAACACTTTATATATGAACTCTGACCACATAAAACAATTTATTCATGAAAAAAATAAATAGTATATAAAAGATTATTAAAAAACAAAGGATATTTTATCATTGAAAAAAAGAGGTATGAATCGTCTGATGTATAATTCATGCCAAAACTTTGACTATTGGGGTTGGGAGCATTCTTGGGCATGAGACACGTTAACCCGTTCCGTCCTTTACTTGTATTTTTAGTCAAAAGAAGATGAAGAAAAAATTTGCTCTTTTACCTTACATTTATGGTAACAAGTCAATATGTCATATCGAGTCCGGTATCAAAAAAATACATTACAACACCCTCCCAACATACTACAGCTCAGGCATAGCGATCGTGAATTGGGATCAATGTAGATTACTGATTTACGCTGCAGAGCTAATAAACATTCAAAAGGACCGCAACCTATACTTTATGTATCAATGCCCGCCATGAATTGGTATTTATCAGATGGTATTCTGAGTCTATAAATTCTAACCATAGGCTGATCGGTCCGAATCTCAAGGTGAGATATGCGGTGTCAAATCACATTGGAAAGATAATAAAACAATATATTTGAATTTTCATCACTCTTAAATTTTGCAAATAAACCCGTTCTGTTTATGCCCTATGTTTTGGGGTCGTGTATATTCAAATTTAGTAAAAACTAAGCCTCACCCCGACGATGAACAGGTCTAATTGCAAATAAGTTAGGTTTTGATTGAGGTCTTGGCTTGAAAACTTGACAGAAACTTAAGTTAAGTTTTAATTGAGGCCTTGCATCGAATATATTTTTTTTTCTTTCTTTCTTTCTGAAAAAAAAGCACATATACAATCAATAACATTTGTATGTGTTTTTATTTTTAAGATTTCACATTTCATTTGTTTATTAGATTAAAAGAAAAAAGCGATGAATCATATGCCTGCTGAAAGATATATGATCTTTTCAATTTTTGAGGGGATATTTTGATTATGACGTTTTTTGCTTCATTTACTAGTTCCATGGATTTACTCAAACCCATCATATAGTTTTCATTTTCTATACTTTGCAACCAACCTATTTATTTAATCACCTTCCACTAGGCTCAGTTTGGAAAGACTGTATAATATAAATTCATAGAAAATAATATAAAATACAAGGTTTTACACTCTACAAATTTGTATTTGTACTCCTTCCAAACTGAACCCTAAGAAAATTTATTTTGCCATCTGAATTGCCTAAATTGAATAGAAAATGTCCACGGGCATGGACCCATGTTTATTTATTCCAATATTATTCTTAAGTTCTAACATTTCTTTATATAGAAAATAAAATTAATCAAATGGAACCAAAATTAATTAAATGGTGGGCTGTGATTTATTAAGGGTAAAGTTGATATTTCTTTTAATTAAATTATTACATTAAGGTCAAAACTGTCATTTTCCATTGGATCGATTAAGTAAATCCACTATAAATTATAGGGGTATGTTTTAATAAAACAAAAATAAACGATAGGGTAGCTGGGTAGGTTTTAGTAAATAGGGGTGTTTACCGTCAATAAGGGACCGATGTTTGATGTTTCTTCTGGTTTTCGAACCAGAATTTAACTGTGAATCCATCTCCAACGCTCTTTGATGGTGACAACTGACAAACACAAAAGCCAAACAAGTGGCAAAAAACTCTAGTCTAATACAAGACGTACAAGATGAATGCGCAATTTATTTGTTTTCCCACCTTTTACGCCTTCGATTCCTGAAGAGATGGTTCAGCTGCCTCCTGCCTTCAAGTTAATCACTTGATCGTGTCATTTCGGCCCATCAAATCCTTTACTAACAAAATGATAAAATCAGTTGGTTGTCTATTGATGCTCCGTAGTCGGTAGGATTTTGTTTGCCGACTACCACTGTGCTGCCTGAATGACCGAGAGAGAGTCTGGAGTCTGGACTTTTATCACTGGAAAATGGGGTCTGGACTCAGGAGTCTCACCTCACACCTGACCTACTAACAAGTACTAGCTTAGAGTTTGGACATTTGGTGCAGACGTGCAGTTCGGAGGCAGCTTGCGACCATTTCTTTTTCGGTTTTTCATGGAATACAAAACTGGTACTTTCGTAGATTTTAGCAAAGCTGAGGTTAATATTGATACCACTCCATCTTACCTTACGCAAGTTGTTCTATTTTAATGGGGCGTAACCCCACCATAGTCTTCGTCTTCATAGTCGACCAAAGGCCACACAACATCTCTCTCTCTCTCTGCAACGATCTGTGCCCAGGTTAGTTAGTTCAAGAATTAATTTTTGTGTTATTAGATACTCTGCATGTTTTTGTAGTAAATATTCTTCAGAAATTGTGATGTGGTAGGTGATCCGTGGTTATAGAACATCCCTTCAGAAGTCCATTATACGAAACCTTTCCCCTTTGTCTCCACACATTCTAGTTTTGTTTTGTTTATTTTCCTGGTTCTGAACGTTTCTCCATTCCGTTGTTTCTTAATTTGATTTTATATTATATGCTTTCCCCCTGCTTAATGTTCTATGGTGGTAATTGCCCATTTCAATCCTCATCCGTTTTTATTAAAATATTGAGTTTATCTTAAATGGGTTTCTTGACCCTACTTCATTCTTGACCCAGATCTTCTTTTCAGGGTTGTTCTTCTAAGTTTTCTTCATATTGAGTTTCCCCTTTATTTTATTTGTATTGGTTTTGGTATTATGCTTCTCGTTTACTCTTGCAACCAATCCTGTCTTTATCAACTCATTGCTTTTGTTTTGACTTTAAATAGGTTATTAGAACTTTTACTCAACCTTGAATATTCTTCTTCTTCTACACCTTCAGAAGCTATAATCGTTCATGCTACTCTGTTGCGTTTCTTTTCTGCAAGCAGAATTCTCCAGAATAACGGTTAAAGGACAGTAGTCTTTCCACTTCGTGGGAGAAGGAGGAGCAAGAAGTAAGGGTCTTTTTCTTATTCTCCTCTTTCCTCCAATTGTACTTTACCGGTTTGGTTGATTTTGTTTTCCTCACTTGTTGCTTTAACCTCTGAAATTTGGTTCAATGAGTGATCATGTAATTGGATTTTGACTTCTATTTTCCCTGTATTTTGTTCTGAGCAGTAAGGGGGTTAGTGTTAAGCTTTTCCTTCTATGGCGGAAATTGTTGGGCCTCGGTTGTACAGTTGCTATAATTGCCGAAATCATGTTTCGCTTCACGATGACGTTATTTCTAAAGCATTTCAGGTGGAACCCTTACACTAGTTTTCAGTTAATGTAGATGTTTGGTTCCCTTCCTGCAATTTGGGTTGGGTAGTGACTCCCATTTTTACGTATTCTATTCTTGGTTTCATCTCAACCTTTTAATTTAGTCCAAACGTCAGGGTGCCTATAGATAGAGCTTGAGCAAAGATAGAAAATATTCTTGAAATGTGAAGAAAGACTCGTGCATGAAAAATCATCTGAAACGAAGTTCACCCCCTGAGCTTTGCTTAAATGATTCTTTTTCCTTTTGGGGGGAGGATGGTTTGATGTTCTTTTTTGAAAACGAATTGAACTGTTGCATGTCTGATTTCTATGTAATGTCAAATACTCAAATTGTCAATTGTAAAATAGTTCTTCTTCCTCATCCTCCTCTTGTTTTGCTTCATTTAGACTTTGGGTCCTCTGTATTTTAACCTTGCTGAAAGATTTGGCCGGTTATTGCTGCACTATAATTATCTAAAGTTTTGTTTTAGGGGAGAAATGGTCGGGCCTTTCTGTTCTCCCATGCAATGAACATAGTTGTGGGGCCCAAAGAGGACCGGCAGCTGATGACAGGGCTTCATACTGTTGCCGATGTCTACTGTTCTGACTGCCGTGAGGTGTTGGGTTGGAAGTATGAACGGGCTTATGAGGAAACACAGAAGTACAAGGAAGGGAAGTTCATACTTGAGAAGTCGAAGATTGTAAAGGAAAACTGGTAGCTTTCATGTGGTCGTCTTGTTCATCTGTTCTAATAGTGATGTAAGTGTATCAATGCTTTCATGTGTTCATCTTGTACAGAAAATCCTCATCAATTTAAAGATTCACTCATTCTTCTTTCTCCTGCATTCTTGTTGCATATGAGCATAGCCTGTATCTAGAAGTTTGTGTTTTTTTTTTTTTTCTTATTTGTGTAACTAGAAATGTGTATTGGAAACTTATAATTTTTCTGTAGTTAAACAACAAACTTGTGGGTATTGTTGCATGATCACCATTGATTGCCGATTTATTATGTGCTTGAGGTTCTCAATGGAATTATGGTCCATTTTTTATGTATAGTTTCCCTCTCTGAGTCTGGTATAAGGATTGAGATTGCAGTTCGTTTGGAGTTCTAAATTAGTTTTCTAACAGGTATCAAGCTTTGTGTAGCACAACTTCCTCGGCATGCATGCCCACCAGAAATTATTGGGTTGAAATATTCTTGTGCTCTACATTATATTTGCTTTGACCAAGTGCTTCAACCATCTAATCTGCTTGAAGCTTCCCAGATGTGTTATCAGGAGAACTTCATATACTTAAATGGTGATGCAGTTAAATGGAATCATCACCTGTTAAGAGCTCTTGTGCAAATGATTTTATTTGCCAGGTTCTCTTTGCAATAGAACTCTCTGCCTTTCAGATATAGAACTGCATCATCTTCTCATCTCGCTGCAATTGCCTGATGCTTTAAATATAAGTTTCAAACTTGAAAGTTTTTCTTCATTTGTATATGTAAATATTTGTAGTATGGGCGAATTTCATTTTTTTTGGAAGTGTTTCAGATCTGAAGTTCTCTACCTGGTACAACTTCTTGTTAGTTTATTTTAACAAATAGCACAATGTAAAGACTGAAGAATGGATCCTGCTTCTATTGGATTATCAGTATTTTAGACTTTTACGAGGTTTTCTGTGTAGTCATTATAAGCCAATGATATTTTCTACCATTTTTGTGCCAACCAGTTCTTCATTTGAAACTGGATCCCTTGAATTTTAATCAGGTATTTAGCTGGAAAATATGTATTATGTTCTCTTGATTCTTGATCACTTATTAGATAATAACGAGGGTGGGCGTGGGAACCGGAGGACAATGCCCATCTTGACTTTGGGAAACAGTCGGTGAATTACCCAGGTTCTTCTGTAAAAGGGTCTTTTCTTGTTCCAAACTGGAATATCTGGGCAGGGTGTAAAGAAAAAAGAAAAAGATGTCTTGGATGGGTTGTTATATGAAAGAACCAGATAATGAGGGTTGGGTCTCAGTTGGATTTTTAATTTTTAACATTTCTCTTCTATTGTTAATATTGTGATGCTACAAGCCAACTAACTTCTTATGATCTGTATTTTTAAAATTTTGCCCATAATTCTCATTTTTGGATATTTATTAATTCATATGATGCTAATGAGTTAAACCATTGTGTACAATTATGCATAAAACAGTTGGTTTGATGCATTACGTTGTTTTTTATGGACATGGAATTTGCAAAAATCACCTTCCAGCCTGGAGCTTGAATTCCTACAAATTGTTTGAACCAAATATATCTTCAGGCTGGGTTTGTTCAAGCCGAACGGATGAAATATTTCAATTACTTCTTCGACTCTTTAATGATGAAAACTATGTTATTCTTGTCTTCTACCATGACCAATTCATTCATCTTTACTTCTGCTTCTGCCTTTACCATTGCCCCCACTACCAGCGCTCTCATTTGGCACTTTTTACATATCTCATTCTCCTCCATTATCATCCTTGTCACTGCTACCAAATTTCCTCCTCTCATCTCTCTTGATTTTTCGCTTTAAAAAGCATAACGATAATTTATAAGACATTCAATAATTTTCGCTCACTATTAACACTATTAGGGGGTTTTAAACTTTTAATTTCCACAACAATTTATGTAGGGGATTCAGTGCCAACCCCCTCAAAAATAGAAGAAATAAAAAAAAATAGAGGAATTGAAGTTATTTTTGCTAGTTTTACCTGTTATATTGGTAGATGACATATGTATTCATTATACATTAGTATGGTTTTCCGGTAACTGATTCATGAGGTTGATGAACACTCCATATTGAGGCAGGAGGTATATTCACCGTACGATAGTTTTATGAAGAGCCGAGGGCATTCATCAAATGGGTATTTCTTTTGTTTGCCTTTTCTTCATATTGAGAACTGGGAGTCTGTTGATAAGCATCAAAGTTTTTGAGTTGCGTTTCATCCACAGTTAAATAAGAAGAGTGAACACTTTCTGGATGATGGTTGGCCGTGTCTCATGTGGGACTTGGAAAGTACGTAGTAATAAATTGATACCATCTATGCAGCTTTAGGTGATTGATTAATGAAAGATGGGCCACATTGATTAATGTTAAAAATTAAAACAATTGGATATGTCTCAATTTTGTAAAACATGGGAATGCCTTGAATTTGCAATATATATAATGTATGAAAATGTAGAAAATTACAGAGAGTCTGTCATCTTTGGTCTTGAATTGTTCATCCATTAAACAAAACAAATGTAGAAAATGATAAGTATTATTATTTGATTTTTTTTAAATGGCTCAAGATGCAAGAGAAAACAAAATAGTTGTGTAACCTGTAACCTACAACTGGAGGGTTTGGGTAGGTTTTGTAAATTCTAGATCCTATTTGCCTTTCTAAACCTTTTAATTTATACCTGTCCCAAAACTTGTAGCAAGTTGGATTTTGAGAATCCAAACCCTCCCCACTAGGGGTGTAATTGAGTCAAGTCAAGCCGAGTATCAAGCTACTCAAGTTCGAGCTCAACTCTAAAACATAGAGCTCAAAACTCTCGAGCACAGTCGAGTTTTACATATTTAGCTCGAACTCGACTTGAGTTGATACTTGCGAGCTACTTGAGCTCATCCGAACTCGAGTCAAATATAAATAAATTAATATTAAAAATTATAAATAAAAATATATTTATATTATAAATACAAATATATTAAAAAATATTATTTTATTATGAGCTTGATTAAGCTCGGGAGCCACTCAAGTTGGTTATTGTGAAGCTTGAACTCAACTCGAGTCGAGCTTGACTCAAACTCGATTACTACGAGGCTAATTTGAGTATTTAGCGAGTCGAGCCTGAACAGCTCGCAAGTAGGCTCGGCTCACTTACACCCTTACTCCCCACACATGGAAATGCAAAACCCTCTCCAACCTTACCTCCCTACATTCAAGGGTAGGGTGGGTTGGGTTTAAAACCGGAATCTAATTTCCTATTATTTCTTGTTATATATAAGCTATAATAAGTAAAATAACATAAACAAACAACCAAATTTTCAATTATTTGATTAAAACATGTAAAAAACACAAACTATCAATTATTTTTTACATAAGCTTCGGAATATAATTAAATTCAACACCTAATACATAAAGTTTATATGCTTTTCAACAATATGCAAGTTAGGGAGGGTTGTGTTTAGCCTAATACCGTATCCTACCCATACCTATACGGGTTGTAAAATCCCAAAACCCCCTTCAAGAAAATAAACCACCTCGTTGGGAGTAGGTAGGGGTGGGGTACCTATCGGGTAAGATAGAAATTGCCATCCCTAATGATCAGGTCAACTGGCCCAATAGTTTAACCACTCAAGTTTCTGGTTCTCTAGTCGAGTCAATAGGTTTTTGCTTAAATGGTGGGTTGGGGATTAACCCTAACTGGTATTATAACTTGGCTATGGGCCAAATGGTTCAACTGCTAGGTTAATGATGATTGAAAACATTGGTCATAACTACCATGGGAAAATTTACTTAAACCTTCATTTTATGACAATTACTTAACTCTTATTGTACAGGCTGTAATTATTTTGTGATGAATAGCCAACCCTATACTTTTTTTGGTATTTTAACACAATACGCTAATAACTCTTCAAGGTAGGTGATAACGGGTAGCGGGACTCGAATCTGCATTTCTGCTGGGACTAGGACTACCCAACTAAGCCACCACTCAGGTACCCATCTAATGTACCCAGCCTACTCTATACTTCAATATCCCCCAAATCCTCCTTTCATGTTTCAAATAAACATGCAATGTGCTCCTRTTAATTGTCCAAAAGCTCTGTTTGCTTGCAGTGCAAATCTAAACCAAATGCAAAATTTGAACTTGGTTTGGTTTTGCATTGATTTATTTGTGATTTTGATTTCCTATCTACTACAAAATTTGTACTTTTGCCTCGTCAAAACTCATTTACAGTGCAAATTTTGCCATTTGTGTCACAAAAACTGATACAAAACTTGTACTACTTTCCTCCTACCTCAAGTTCTCTCTTGCATGAGTAAGGACCACATTATCTTGCCTTCTACCTCACTCCCAAAGAAATAATCCTCTTCATATTTCCATTTTCTTTGATATAAGGTGGGAATCATATCATTTTACTTACTGATGAGGAGTAATTTGGTCCTTCTAATCGTACAACGGCATGTGGCTTTCAGATGACACCTCGGTGCCAAGTCAGCAAGTTAGCTTAATAAAATTAGTTTGAAGCATCTCACCCAGGCAGACCTCTACCTCGGCGAGACCGAACTAGCTGACCCCGTAGGATTATGGCAAGCTGTCCTAGGAGTCGGTCAAGTTGTAGGGACTTAAGGCAACCTGCTAAGGAGAGCTCGCTAACCACCCCCTGCGGTTCCACCTTAGCAAGGCCGAGCTGGTAGACCGGTAAGATTACGGCAGCCTGTTCTAGGAGTCGGCCGAGCTGAGAGGACCTAAGGCAACCTGTGAGGAAGAGCTCGCTAACCGTCCCCAGCAGTTAGTTACCAAAGGCGCCAATAGCGCGACTGTTAGAACGATTCACCATGTCGCACGCCTCGACTTTACTTAGACAAATCGTTACCCCTACGAAGATCTCTCAACTGAAACCTTAATGCACCTGAAAATAAGGAAACAACTCCATAAAGAGCTCAAGACTGTTACCCTGAACCCTCAGAGCCTAGGAGCCTATATAAAGACGTCCATATCCACCCAAAAAGGTATGCAAACTAATACTCTAGAGCTCTCTCACACTCTCTGAGAAATCTCTGTTCACCTACTGGCTTAAGTATCAAAGTGCCCTCCCGGGTAATTCTTTACCTAGGCACTCTCACCTTTCTTCCCTTGCAGCACGTTTTAGCTCGGACATCCAGACATCAGCTCGGCCACACAACTTGGCCCAGCCAGATTGACATCCAGTCAGAGCCGAATCACAGTACACGAGGGAGCGACTAGATCACACATCATCAAATGGCACTGTCTGTGGGAATCGCAACAAAAAAGCTAGGTTCCCTTTTTTCTTGTTTTCTTTCATAAATTCAACAATGGAATCCTCAAAAAATCCCCTGCCCATGACAACACCGTCAATGGCCAAGCCCCCACCATTATCATCAGACAAATTGACGTTCCCTTACACCCAATCGAACCACTAGACAATGTGAATGCGCCTCCCCCCGCAGTTGAGCCCACTGTAGCTCCCACGGTGGTCGACGTGCGTCAGTTTAACGATCTGGTGCGGTGTGTGCAAGGATGATTGAACAACTATGATCCTAGGAGAATAGGTTTGCCTTTATAGCAGGGGGCAACAACAACAACAATAGTAGCAGTTTATGAAAGCAGAGGAAATTGTAGGGTTGAAGTTTGAGTTGATCGGAAAGAAAAAGCAAGATGAGGAAGAGACAAGCAGTAGCAAGAAAAAGAAGAGAAGAAAATCTCCTAGAAGAAGCAGGTCACCTCGGAGCAGGCGTAGTAGCTCGCCACAAAGAAAAGCAGGTCGCCACCTCGGAGCTCGACTCAACGACAAGCCACTCCACCTCTGTACAGTAGCTCGCCTTTGACGAGCTGAAAAGATACCTTAGTTCACCCCCCTGTTGACCAAACCTGAGACTGGGGTCGAGTTCAAACTTTACCCCTCTGTGAGTGACGAGGTGGTTAGCTTGGTCCTGGTAAGAGAAGTCGACAAGGTACAACAACAGTATACTACGTGAGCAAGGTCCTGCATGTTGTTGAGACAAGGTATCCTGATATAGAAAAGCTCGCCTTTGCATTAGTGCTAGCAGCTCGGAAGCTAAGGCCCTACTTTCACCTACTTTCAGGCCCATACCATCGTCGTCCTTATCGATTGACCTTTGAGGTAAATTCTTCAAAAGCCCGAGGTCTCAGGGAGACTGATGAAGTGGGCAATAGAGCTCAATGAATACGACACCTGTTATGAGCTGCGACTAGCAATAAAAGCATAGGTTCTAGCAGATTTTATTACCGAGTGCACTTTCAACTCGCCAACCCCTAACGTGGTTGAGCTCGCAACAGCATCGGAGGCTTTAACCAGTGCGGCACCACCCCCAATAGCAAGCTGGAACGAGGAGCCCTGGATACTCCATGTTGATGGCTCGACCAATCAGGGTGGGAGTGGAGCTGGGTTAATACTTTATAGACCTAGCGAGGTAAAGCTGGAGTACGTGCTCTAGTTTCAGTTCCAAGCTTCAAACAATGAGGCCGAGTATGAGGCATTAATAGCTGGGTTGGTACTAGCAAAAGAGGTAGGAGCCAAGCATTTCGTAGCTTACAGCAACTCACAACTAGTAGTGAACCAAGTAAACGGAGACTGAGGCGTGAGAACCCGCCATGGCAGCCTACTTGGCCAAGGTTAGGGAACTTTTGCCCAACTTCAACTCCTGGTATCTCCAACAAATTTTGAGATCAGAAAACATCTATCTCGACGAGACCGAACTAGCTGACCCCGTAGGATTACAACGAGCTGTCCTAAGAGTTGGTCGAGCTGTAGGAACTTAAGGTGACTTGCTAAGGAGAGCTCGCTAACCACCCCCTGCAGTTCCACTTCGGCAAGGCCGAGCTGGCAGACCCGTAAGATGACGGCAACCTGTTCTAGGAGCCGTCCGAGCTGAGAGGACCTAAAGCGACATGCGAGGCACATTTCAACTCGGACATCCAGACATCAGCTTGGCCCAACCAGATTGACATCCAGTGAGAGCCGAATCACTATATACGAGGGAACGACCAGATCGCACATCATCACTTACTATTTTAATTATTATAAAATATAAACAAACAAAGTCAAATCTGAAGCAAAATGAAACCACAATTTACGCCTAGCCTATTTTCACTCTCACATCATCAAGTTTAATTCTTCAGCATTTAGCAAAAATGCCATAGTTAGGCAAACTATAGAGTGAACAATGGTGTTCACCGTGCGCAATCATAACTAGGGCAGTGTTTCATTAGTTTGAAATCAAGATACAGCATAGGAGTTTTAAGTAATTTGTCAGTAATCATAGAGGAGGTTTAAAATAATTTTCCCTTTTAAATAATCCAATTACCACTTCTTTGCAGAAATGTTGGAAGCAAGGCCCCGTTCCTTTCTTCTTTTAAAACCTTGAAATCCATGAACGGTGATCAAAGTGCAACATTGATAGATGGCTTAATTAACGAGTCTTTCAGATTTGTAGTTGGATGGAGAAGTCAAGAGACGTTGTCAGTGGGGGTGGATTCAAGTCGAGATAAAAATTTGGCTATTCAAAGTCTGGTTCGCCTAAAAATTATGAGACTTGAGTTCAATCTCGAATTCGGGTATGATGATCTGAAAGCTCCTAGCTGAAAGGTTATTTGAATGTTGTTCATGTGGCGAGCTGGATCAAACTGTAAAATAGGGATCAGAGAGACCGGGGTGGATGAGCCATTGAGGTCATTCCGATACTTAAGTTAGTATTCTTGTTGTGGTTGCGAGCTAAGAACTTGAATGCTAGAGAGCTTGAATGTAAATAACCGCACGTACCTGGGCCCTGGAGGGGTTGATGCCCTTATATAGTTGAACTGTCGTGGGTCTCACAAAACGGTTCCAGGATCTTTGGCCTGAGTAGATGAGATCCGTTTTCGTTTTAGTCGGGGAGTAACGTATCAGTCAATGAAGTCTATCGTTACCGCCCGATCCGAGCGGGGAGAAGATAAGCATGATCCGGAGAAGTTCAGAGTCCGCTGAGAAGCTTCTGGAGTCAATTATGTGTCACTTCAGTTCCTTCCTGGGCCCCGAACTGGCTTAGGTGCCTAGGTGCCTCCATACCGAGGTGACTCTATGCAAAGGTGACCAAACACCCGAGCTCTGAAAACTACTGACTAGGCTCCTCTTGCTGAGTTGTCATCCTACGGGCAAATTGCGTCCACATAACCCTTACTCAATAGGTTGTGCCAAATTACCCATCATCAGGGTCAACTTAAAAACTCGTAAATTTGAGTTCAACTGTGAACCAAACTTCCTATAAAAATAAAAAAAAATATATACATATAAAAAATTAATAATTATAAAATCTAGTTATTATATATAAATTCGATCAAATATATTGGATTCAAATTCAACTCGAAGCTTCATATTTAAATAGAAGCAAATATAGTTTCACAAGTTAAACTCAAATAATTCGTAGAAAATTTGATTCATATCCACCTTCCACCCCTACTTGTCAGACTTAGGGCTGCAAATAGTATCTATGTATTAGTAAATCTTATTCAATCTGATATAATCCTATTCAATTTGATATAACCTATTAAAGCCTATATTGTCACACGTTCGATTTCCATCCAAATAAATTTTAATTCATTTTGGTCATAAAAACATTTATAATTTATTTTGATAAAAAGATTTATTTAAATAAGGATATATAATATTTTAGCCAATTTTAATTTAATCGGTTTATGTCGTATTTGCAGTCCGAATTTAGTTCGAATTCTAAACGAATTAAATTTGGATATATCCGATTCGATCCGATTAGTAGCCCTAAATGGACAAGGACTTTTTTATGTCTACTATAGACGGTAATCGCCATCTGTGTGTCCTCGGACGATGAAATCTATCATATCTATGAGATCATTCTTTTACTGAAACATCAACTTAAGGCTGAAGCAGAGCCATTGCGGCTTGAGAGTTGCGACTTGCGTTTGCTCTGCGGATGAAAAAGAATGGAATTCTGCCCGACCTGCGGGAACTTGTTGCAGTATGAACCAGCCCATGGGGATCGGAGAGCAAGGCTCTTCTGCCCGACCTGTCCCTACATCTGTGCTATAGGGGACCAGGTAAAATGTTACCGATCATTCACTCTTCCATTGCAACTCAACTCGTATTCTCTTTTGTTGATAACAGTGTCCATGATTCTCATCCTTTCTTACAAGCGCGTTGTTACAGATAAAGATTAAGAAAAGGCAACATCTTTCGAAGAAAGAGATTGAGCCAATCTTCAGCGGTGAAGACGCCATGAAATTTGCCCCCAAAACCGACGGTATGTAATATCCCGCACTCCATCTCATTTCTTTTCTTTTTATATAGAAGTCTTTTGGCATCCTTTTTGTGTAGATTTATTGCATTTCTTTCAACCTTAGTTCCTTTTTGTGTGTGTTGTATTTGTTTTAGACTTTAGTTTGGTATATAAACGGTTGAATAACATAATAGAAATTTGTGGTTGTTTTTTCCCCCCTTAACTGGACGGTTTTTAAATGAATTTCTTGAAGACCTTAATTAAGTCTTAGTCACTCAGTAATGTCCATGTCGTTGGATTATAGGTTTCTGCTAAAAATATTATTGACCAACCTACTGATGTGCGCTTTTTAGGTTCAATATTGTACTCTTAGGTTCAATTGCTTCACAAGGTTTTATGCAATACTCGAGCTGAGATTACCATTTGGTTCATAGTTATCTGGTTAACAGTCGGTTTGGTTTATACGGTTTATGGATCCTTCTCTCTCTCTCTCTCTCTCTCTCTCTCTTTTCAGTAGAGTTAAGAAAAAGAGATAACCTACCTTTTGTAGCTTCACATCCATCTTTGTGGATTCTGGTGAGCTTGCTAAGTGCTATGGGTTGAAATAAATGCAAAGATAAAAGGCCATTACCCAATGTTGGTCCTACCGTCCCAGCTATCTGGGGTCTTGGGAGGGGCAGACTGGGTACGGTCCTAACCTTTGGCTTGGCATTTTCTTCGCACAAAGTGGCCATCCTCAGACTTGAACATGCATTCTCACACTTGCTATCCCAAGATTTTACCAATACATCAGGTAATGGCCCCTGATTGAATAGATATTAAACCATAGGCAGGTTATAGTTTGTTATCTAATTGCCCTATCCTTTCTTGAAATATATTACTCACGAAGTAGCCCAATTTTTTGCCTCTAAATCAATTTTAATGATGCCAATTTGATGAGCTTAGGAATTTTAGTATTCACCAGGCAAAGTATTTCATTTTTCACCATATCATGACATTTGTACCATTTTACTCATGAATTTTGCTGCTAACTTGCTGTGTCCACTTGCCTGATCGCCTAGTAAAGAAACCTCCTCCATTCTATTGCTTCATTCAATCAATTATTGCTTTCAAGTTGTAGTTTGCTGTCACTTTGATTTTGCACCATAGGGAACTTCAGAAAGGCATGACAAGGAAATGAATTAATATAAAATTTGGCAAATCCCCAATTTAGAGGAAGTCCTTGTGGGGGCATATTCAAACTTAGCTGGTTAGTTTCCTCTTTCTGACAGGATCTCTTGATAGTATCTACTTAGAGATATTGAAAGCTTAGAGGAAGTTCCCGTTTGGGATTTCCTGTACGGTGCTGCCTTTGTCTGCTATCTGTAGGGGTGATAGATTTGCAAATGAAACATTTAATAGGTACAGATGGTATCATAACTTCAGAATGAATTGAAACATTTTATGGCTCAATCTCATTAGGGACTGACATGGTAGGAAAGTAGGAAACATGTCAGAATTTCCTTTATCCTTGATAAAGTGATCCATAGTGAACTTATCAACGGGTGATGGTTCTAGAAAGAGCACTGAGAACTTGGGATGAGCACTTTTTAAACAATACAACATGATGGAGGTGCACATAAGGTATCCCTTTTGAGCATTCTCACATCCAAGAAAAGCAAATTTAGTAGCTTAGAAGAAACTTACTCTGTTCATGAAGTAAAAAGCAAAGCATGTAAACCCAAAAACATGTAGGAATTTGGTTGTTTTCCAAATACAAATGTGAAAAACGAGTTGTATAGTTAACAGTTGGGATCTATTCATTGAAAACTACTTGAGCAGATTCTACCAAGAATGAAGGTTTGACAGAGGAGTCAATAAGGGAAGTGGAGATAACTTCTAAAATATGATGATTTTCAGAGAAAAATATCCATGACTGAGTTCGTTTTTCAGCAAGGATAAAAAAGGGAATTTACCAAGATAAGAAAGAAATTTTGATCATTGATAATCTCCCATTGAGTCACAGTGGAATATCTCTATACATTTTCTAGACTGGGTTTTAATCATGGTAAGAAAGTTGATGGTAAATGATGGAAGTGGAGTTATGATCAACTAAGTGGTTTATGAAAGGTAGAGAAATTCTAGACAAAATTCTGTTGGAAAGTTAAATGGTGGAAGATATTTCAAGGTCTGGAAAGAAAGGCTTCATTTATAAATTGGACTTGTTCACTTGGGGAAAGCTTATGGTTATGGTTTTGGGGATTCCTAGAATGGAATACAATATCCCTTGGTAGGAAGTGGATAACATGGACGGTATGTGTTTCATGTTGACCCACTTCTCTATCTTCATTTTGGTGGCTGAGATGATAAGTAGGCTTCTGGTAAGAGTCATTTTGTTTGGAAGATGCTCACAACCTTAGGATCATCCTTGAAATTTTGGAAAGAGTTTGTGGACCGAGGATCAACCCTTGGAAATGCTCTTTTGCAGGATTAACATAGATCATAGAGAGGTGAGGTATTGCACACATTTGCTGGGTTGTGAAATAATGGTGTGGCCCCTAAAATACCTTGTTCTGTCTTCAGGTGGTAATCTTAGGGTCATTTCATTTTGAGATAGCATGGTGGAGAGGCTTTCCAAGAAATTGGTAACATGGAAAAAGAAATACATACATTATTGGGAATAAGGTTAATGCTCAGCAATTGTATGCTTGACCAAAATGATTGAAAATATGATCAAGGACTTTCTATGAGATCTGTGAAACTTCACGAAAGCTATAAATAGAAAGAATAAGGGGGACTAGGACTGGAGAGGACTATGGACAAAGATGGGGCCTTGTTAGGAAAGTGGCTATGGAGGTTCCCTCTGGAACCAAACTCCCTCTGGCATTTGATAATCAAAAGCAAAGATGGCATCCGTAACAATGGATGGGACTCTGGTGTCTGGACCAACAAGAAGAGTTAGTAGATGCTGTTCTTGGAAAGCTATTGTTGATGTTAAATATGACTTAGTTTCTGGTTGAGCTATTGATGTTATCTATTCTACCTCCATAAGACATTAAATATGGCTTACTTTCTGGAAGATATAATCAAACCATAAAACAGTGGCTCATCGGTCTTGGCTAGGTATAAATTCAAAAGTATTCCAGTGGATGCAATTCTGGGGGGTGGTCAATAGTGGCTAGATATGCTCAATGAAGATAGAAACTGATGCATCCTTGGGTTGCCCTGTAAGGGGTAAGAGAAAACTGAATATTGGTGGTTGCTGCCATGGAACCCCAGCCAATCAGGAATTGGAGTTAGAAGGAACGGAAAAAGATCTATATTACCAAGCTACTCAGGCCCAGTTGAAAAAGGAAATTCATTTAGGGCAGAACTGGTTACACTGTTCTAAGGATCAAGATTAAATCTTCTCATTACCACATCTGTTGTAGAAGGTGACTGCAAAGTGGTGATAAATGAGGCAATGACATTGACTATAAATATGAACCACTCATTCAATTAGACCCTAGGCCTGCTAATAGCTTTTCCATTTTTTTTGGGGATAACATGATGAGTTTTATTGAAATTTAAATATACAAAATTTACAATAAGATTTTACAGAGGTCTATACCTCCCAAATCATTTGTTTTTCTAAATAGTCAGCCATTGAGTTGGCTGACCTCTGAACCCATTGTACTGAAACTGTCATGTTCCTTGTCATCCTATCACAATCTTTGAATCTCCTATTAATAAGCTCTTCTCATGATGTTACAGCCATTACCTCTGCCCTCAATGAGTCCTCAATTCCAATTGGCCCAGAAAACAATGCAATTACATGGCCTTCCTCAAAACCCCACCTACACCTGGTGCCAGGTTACCTGCAATGCTGTCATCAAAATTCAATCTTATGAAGGTTCCTGTGGTAATGTCCATTCTTTATACATTATAGTCTTAATAACCGAAGTATCTGTTACCCTTCTTATTTCCTTAGGAGTTAGGATATCAGTAACTGAGAAAGAGGAGAATAGCTTGGAAGTTTTCATCCAATGAGCCACCTTTACAGAGATAAACTCAATTAGTGCTTCCACACTTCTATCCTGGTCCTTGAAAATTCTTGCATTTCTTTCTTCTCACACAATTCATCAAAAAGTTGCTTGAGTAATCTCCACATTAACCTTGCTCTCTTCTTTGAAGAGAAATAGCATGGAGGAAAAGAGGTCAGCCACACGTATTGGGGTGTCCACCTTTACCCAAAAAGAGAGAAGAACCATTTGCCAATTTACTTGCTAGTGAAGGAATTACAAGATTTGTTTTCTGAATCTTAATATTATTAAAAGTTTTAGGTTTTCTTACTGATCAAAAAAATCTTCTCAAGCAGGAAGTTGCTCTATTTGTGAATGTCTTGTTTTTTATTAAACTATGGATAATTGTTAATGATGCAAAACATTTTCGGTGCAGCCACTGGTATCAGTGTTAAACTAAATTGAGACCCGGGACTGGTTGTCCTCTAAATCAGATTTGAATTTGAATGTTGAATTCCTTAGTATAGGAGGAAGCAGCAAATCTGAGAAAAGGGTAGTCTAGAGGAGTAGAAAAGTATTTGCTGATCTTGTGCAATTTAGATTTTAGTAGTGACCATAGAAGGACCCTCTTTGAAGTTCAGATGCCACCCAGATCCAGTAGTAGTTTTACAAGCTATATGATTATGAATATTTTAACCTTGCTTCAGTGTGACATGACTAAATGGCTTCTTGTGTTTTGTCAAAGTTACTCTTTCAATAAATAAAGCATCTTCTAGAGCTTGCTCATGCATTCTTACACAGATACTCTTAGGCTGTGTTTGGTTTGGAGGAAAATGTAGGGAAAGGAAGGGAAAGGTAAGGAAACCTATACAATCTTTGTAAAGGTTTTTCTACCTTTCCCTTCCTTTCCCTACCTTTTCCTTCAAACCAAACATAGCCTTAGGGAAGCATTAGACTGCATATTCAAAATGAAGCTAAAATTCAATTACTAAGTTTCAGAATTGGATTATAACACAATGTAACTATAAGATGTTTTGTTTTGAGGTTGTTGCAGAACCAACAAGTTCTGAGTTTCTTTTCCTCTATATTTGTTGAGTTTACATTACTATCTCATCTACTTGAGGTTGATTAACAAGTATTCCATTGAATGTGGATCTTGAGACACTTTGCAAAGAGTTCAAGGTCCAATTGTTCTTCTAGCTTCTTTCCTGCTCCCTCATCTCCAGCAACAATTGGAAGGTACATTACCCAATGCTGGTTCTGACAACCTTAAGTTTTGTTAGGGGTCAACTGGATTCAAACCTAACCTCTGGGGTTTTTAGCAAAATGTTGCCACTCTCAGATTTCAACCTGTATTCTCATGCTTAGCAGCCTCAAATTTTTCCATCTAACCAAAGCAAGCTATGATCCCCTCCAGACGATAAGTACTACTGCAACGATAAAGTATGAAAGATTACTATCTTTTGAAAAGAAAAGATATAGTGTGAAAGATCTGATGAAATTCTAGATAGAGAGTTAATTGTGCTTACATTAAGTTTAGAGGTGGCAATTTTTTATCATAGCAGCCGATACCTGTTCACACCCTAGACTTAAGTTGCCTATACCTAACCAGGTTGAATTTTTGTAATTTGTCAGCCTATTGGTTTAATATTATCTTATTCCAAGTCGTCCCATCTGACATGATCCTTTCCACCACAATGTAAGCATAATCTTTTGGGGGGAGGCTAATTGTGTTTTTTTTTTTTTTTTTTTTTTTTTTTTTCTGAACCGTTCCTTTGTTATTTTTATTTTTGTTCAGCTACCTGCCCAAATTGCCACTGTGGAAAGGCCTACTTCAGGGAGCTACAGATACGGTCAGCGGATGAGCCTATGACAAGATTTTACATGTGTTGCAATGAGAACTGCAAAAGAGAGTGGCGTGAAGACTGAAGACTAAACAACTATGTGGTTCATCACACTTGTTAAACTCTATATACCAGATGTCACATTGATAAATTTCTCCACTTCCGAGCCAAAGTGTTTAGGGTCTGACACTGGCCATGCAGGCAATTAACGTGTTGCTACATGCAGGGCTCTCCACTTTTGTCCTTTTTTTTGGGTTTTTAACTTTTTATTTTTATATTTTCCCAAAAGATGTTGGTTTTCTAATTCAAGAATTAGAAATATCTCTTGTTAAATGGAACATGATACAACCACTCTAAACGACCAATAAGTATCTGAATACAATTTTGTATTAAATTTATATGCTTTATGCGTTATTGTAGAAATGTGTACAAAGAAATACCTTTCCAATTCATTTGACATGATCTTTGGGTTTCTGATTTCCATTATAAATTATAAATCTAGAACATATTGATTTGATATTTATGTATTTTTTGTTTGAATAAATTTACAATTCACATGTAAATATATTATCTAATATAACTAATATTGGATGTATTATGCATATGTTTTTTTTGGTAATCAAGGGAAATTGCTTTCATTTAAAAAGTCAAATGCATCAACAGTGTCACCAACGGTCTGGTTTCTCTGTACATGTTTGGCAAAGCTATCAGCCATAGAATTACAAGCACGAGGAATGTAAGAGACAAGATATTACTGCTTTAGCGTCTCATTCGAAAATAGATTTTCCCCTAACTAAAGGCTTCAGCACAACCAAGGCGTGGAGCCAAAGCTTCCGCCATGAAGATAGAACAAAACTTTTTTTTGGCTCTACCAGAAATGATCAAGCCGGAATTGTCTCTTATGATGCAGGCGATGGATGCCGATCCTGACCCCACAGAGAAGCTCGCATCAACATTCATTTTGAACCACTCTGAGGAGGGGGGAGAGTCGGGAGACTAGGATAGCAGATGAAGATCAGTAAGGGGTTGTCATGTGAGTCATGTAGATCCACATTAGTCGTCATCGCCCTCAGCTCTATAGAGAGCAAGTTACCTTTTTGCACCACCTGGGTCGGAGAAAAATTGCTTCCTCTAAAAAGGAAGGCATTCCTAGCTTTCCAAAACTCCTAACAAATGATCACAAAGTCCTGAAGCCACTTGCTCTGGTGCAAAGGAGAGTTATGATCTCGGAATTCCTTTGACATCCAACTTGCAAGAGAATTTTGAGCAATGTTATCCGATCTCAAGGCCAAGTTACTGGCAATCCAAGTCCTTTAGCAAACATGTATTTAAAAGGCGAATGCAGAGCAGATTCCTCATTAGATGAGCAGCGAGGACAGTAGGAATTTGGCACGATTCTCTTCTTCGCAAGGAGAGAGTTCACAGCTATCGCATCTGAAATGGTGTGCCGAAAAAAGTTATTTTCTTTTGGGGGGAACAGAAATTCTCCAAAGCTTTTTCCACAAAGAACCAGGCAAGTGGGGGCGATTAGCCGGCTTAGAAGAGCACTCCGGGCACCGATTAGATTGATCAAGGCCTATTGCCTTTAACGGAATATTCTCCATTTTTGGCAAGACCTTAGATAATCTTATCGCCGACTCCATGAAGGCTGAGAGGAACTTTTTGAATTGCAACAACTTCAAAGGGGGAGAATAGCCTTCTTGGCAAAGTGACTTTTCCTAGCTATCAAGAACTTTCGGAAATAGGGTACATATTTTGTAAAAGAAAACAACAAAAACAGCTTAGAATGTGAAAACTATTTATTTTTGGTGAAAAGACCCTCCTAAGTATGATGAACCTTTGGAATTAAAATACATTTGCGGCAAAAGAAAACACTAATAGCAACTTGTAAGTTTACTTTGCGGAGCTGGGGGAAACTTGTAAAAGCTAGATACTCTTTGAGAAACAACCCCTCCTAGGCAAAAACATTGCGGAATTAGGGTACACTGGTAAAAAAAATGGGTACTCTTTGAAAAACAACATTTCCTAGGCGAAAACCTTGCGAAGTCGGGGTAGATTTGCGAAAATTGGATATTTTTTGAAAAAAAAGCCCCTCCTAAGTAAAAACTTTGCAGAGTCGGGGTAAATTTGTGAAAATTAGATATTTTTTTAAGAAAGACCCATCCTAAGTAAAAACCTTGCGGAGTTGGGGTAAATTTGCGAAAACTAGATACTTTTATAAAAATGGCCCCTCCTAGGTGAAAACCTTGTGGAGTCGGGGTAAATTTATGAAAATTGGATACGTTTTGAAAAAAGGCCCCTCCTAGGTAAAAGCCTTGCGGAGTTAGGGTAAATTTGTGAAAACTGTATATTTTTTTTTTAAAAAGGCTCTTCCTAGGTAAAAACCTTGCGGAGTTGGGGTAAAAAAGACAAAGAAAAACAAGTAACGACAAATGGATCAATTATCAAGACCAGTTAAAAACAAATATGCTCAAATTTCCTCGAAAACATAAATAATGAGTCACTAACAAATATCCTTCAGTTCTCATTTCATTCATTTCATTTTTCATTTAATTCATTTCATCATCTTTTTTATTTTGGTTGTATTTCTATTTTTGCTGATTTTTGAATTCCTCATTTCATTATTTTATTATTTTGATTTTTTTTATATATTCGTCTTTTCTTTTTTTTTTTGCTTTTTAATTTATTTTGTTTATTTTTTCAACACTTTACTTTTGGATTTTCAAAAATTTATTATTTTACCCATTTTTTTTTATTTTTTTGGTGCACAATGAACAACTAAATTCCTTTTTGAAAGACTTTTGTAGTGGTGCGGTTTGAGCTTCTTCTTTGAGACATATTTGTGCTCGATTCAAGTGTCAAACGCCATGGGCTACCCTCATTTTATCCCTCTCTTCTTTTTCTTTTTTTTTTATTTTTACTTTTTCTTTGTAACTTTTGGAGTAAAAAGACAATGTAACTCAAACATAAAGGAGATGGAAACTTTTTTCTTCTTTTTTATTGTACATTTTTTCTGGGAAATTACGATGCCAAAACAGAAGATGTCACTAGCATTGATTCATGACATAACAATTATGTCCAAAGGGACCCACATCATGCCTTGGCAAAAGATAAAAGTATTTTGCTCCTCTTCAAAAGAGCTTATTGAAACCTCAACAATTATAAAGGCATGTGCTTCGAAAATGCGAAGGAAACAATCATATATTTGCTTTGTGAAAACTTGGTCTTATGGTATCTCAGTTCTTGGTTAATAGGAGGATTTGTGATGAGAGATATTTGATTGAAGAAGGTTCAGAACAAATCCCTCATTTCCAGTCAACTAGGTCTATCCCATGCTAAATTACCAATTTCTAAAAGATCGAGAAGGACTTAGTGAATGGGACGAAACGTGGTTTAGGATAGGGGGTCTGAAATTAAGGGTGAAAAGCTCAAAAACGCATTTACAACGGGAAATCAAATGCTTGACCTTTATGCAGGGTTGTTATTTATCCTCTTCATCATTTTTTGTTTATATTCTCTAATTCCTTTTGCTTTTTCTCCTTTTTTTCTTCTCTTTTCTTCTTTTTTTTTACATACTCTTCACATTTTCAAATATGAACCATGTTTCTTCACTGATCATGAAGGACATTACGTGTTAGAGAATTGACACACAAATACTCAAGCCAATTGATTCTAAAATGTTTGAAACATATATTTGCCTCAATTTTTTTCAACCTTCTGCAAATAGTTCACTATCATTCTTCTCCATTTTTTATCTGCCCTAGATTCCCTAATTTGATCTTCTTTGATTGCCATTCCCTTGAAGCTTTCCAATTTTTCCATACTTCTTTGACCATTCTTCCATACTAAGTTGCCCTAGTTTCTTCTTCTTTGTTCATTCCTCTTCCTCTTTCTCTTTTCTTTTTTTCTCATTTTTTTCATTTTTTTAATTTTTATTCTCCTCCTTTTTTTGGTCCTATAAAAGATATACTTTTTTACGAAGATATGATGGAAGAGGCCGGATCCGTGAGATGGGCTGCTCTACGTACCCCTTTGAAAGGGATCAGGTCGAACGTAGTTCAGTGTGTCTTTGAATGACATGGAAACAAGAAAGGGATAATGACTATGTATAATGACGCAAAGATGCTCTTGATGAATGTGGAAGTAGGGTAGAGAGCATTGTCTCCATACCCTATAAGCTAAATTTAAATTGATGAAGGTGCCCTAATATCATAGGCAATTCCTAAAATAGTAGATAAAATATCCTCAACTCTTGACGAAACATTCGAATTAATCATAGAGATGTTTTCCTTAGGTAAGCTTTCAATAATATATTCTTCAGTTTGCACAAAGGTCATGTCCTCAATCACTGACGATGGCTCAAAATTGGAATTATTGACTTTGCTTGATCAAGGTTGTAACAACATCAAATTTTTTACCTTATAATGACTACCTCCTTTGAGAGTTAGTGGAGAATTAATAGCCTGCTTTGGTCAAGGTCGAGAGGTCCAACTAGCTAATGATTTGACTCTAAGAGAATGGGCTATTGGTGGAGTTCTAATGAGAGTAATAAAAATGCTAGGATCACAAAATGCCTTCCCTTCTCCTAGGAAACTAACGGAAGTGTCAAATTTTTCCCTTGAATTAGGCAACTTGTTCTGGTTGATTTCTATAAAATGTTGCATTTGTATAATGTCCCGATAAGTAAGAATGTTTCCATCAACAAAATCTTGAACTGCAAACTTCAACTGCCAACGATGGTCGGTGGTCTGACCGGGTCCTTGATGATAATCACAATGAGCATTCTCTTCATAATTTCTAGGCTTAGACTCCCGTGGAGGCCTCCATGTAATCAATTGCAAAAATCCACCTTGAACTAAAGTAAGGAGCAGTTGAGAATGAGGACATGGTATAGGAGAGAGTTTTCTTCTTTCCTTTTGAAGAGACTGATGAGTGATCGGGATTATAGGAGGTAGGAGATATTTTGTGCTTGTGCGAGTGAGGGATAATATGTTTGCTTAGGGGTGGTCCAACTGGTTTGAAAAGATTTGGGATAGACTACAACTTTGTAATTTTTTGGATAATGGGCTTGAGGTACCTGAGAGTCAAAAGCAAATATGGCTTGCACTTCATTCTCCTCTTAATGCTTAGGTGAAGGTTTCCCAAGCAATGGTGAAGTTTTAAGAACCATCACCAAATTGATTCAACCCTTCTTAAGAGCATTTTCGATTCTAACAGCTCCCTTCATGACGACACTAAAATCCTTCAAAGGTTGTGCAATCAACAATGTATGATGTGGATCCTTTAACGTCTTGATAAACGACCGCACCATCTCTTCCTTTGGCATCAGATGTCATAATCTAGTTTCCATTTCACGCCACCGATATGCATAATCCAAGAAACTTTTTCCTGACTTCTGAGTCATAGACTCGAGATCTAGTCGATCAGGTGCCAACTCCATATTGTAAGAAAATTGGTCTAAGAATGCCTTTGAAACACCTTTCACAATCCTTTTCTTTTCATCCCCTAGATTTGCAACCCAAGTCCTAGCACTCCCTGTAAGACTCTTCTAAAACATCTGAATGAGTAACTTCATGTTTGAGCCATATTGAAACATATCACTACTGAAGGTATTCAAATGGGTTTATGGACATCTCTTCCCGTTATATTTTTCAAGGTCTGATATCTTGAACTTGGTAGGAAATTCTGCATCAGGGACTCTTTGAAATCTATAACTCCCAAGTTCTGAACTTCTTTCAACCCCTTCAACTCATCTTTCATCTACTCTAATTCAATCTTAAAGGAATCTTGGAGTGGTGATTGCACGACAGTCATATTCAAATTCTCTTCTCCTGAGCATGCAGCAGTGAGTTGAGTATGGTTGAATTCTCAAAGTTATGGGCAGGAAATGTCCTTGACTGATGAGTCTATTTGGTTCCTGTAGTAAAGACAAAGGGTGGTGACCAGTATGTTGTTCCTGGAATAGGTGCAGGGTTTTGGGATGAGGAGGGTCCTAAGGTATAGGATACAGGAGGTAAGGCTGCAACTTGGGTCGGGTTGGCCCAAACCCAACCCTAACCCAACTCGAAAAAGTCGGGTTGGGTTGATGCTCGGGTTAGGGTTGAAATTTATGAACCCAACTTGGGCAACCCGAACCCGACTCTATAGTGCATATCATATATAAATATATGTTGTATATATGATATCATACATTGATTTGTTTATATGCATGATAGTTGTATAGCCCCTACTACATACTATCATTTATTTCTTTTAAGATAATCACTTCACTTAATCCTAATTGGAAATACCAAAACCTTAATAACATTTTTTATGTTTTTTTGAATATTTTATTCTTTATCTCCTCTTTGTTGTTTGCCACTCATTGCTTACTGCCCATAAAAATCTATTATAAGCTATAACTCATAATAAACTATAATCATTTCAAACACTTTTTTTTTTTAATTTTGTACTTAAAGAACCAATAAAAACATCAACAAACAAATACTAATAAAACATAGGATTGATATATGTAGTGAAAGTTGAGTTAAGATCTGAGATTAAGAAGTTCTACGAGATTTTAAGGGATGAGAAGAAGGTTGGGTTGGGCCCAACCCGAAGTTGACTTTGGGTTGGGTTAGAGTTGGATGAATTTAATTAGAGTTGGGTAGGTTAGGTTAAAGGTCGAATTGGATTAGGATTAGGGTTGGGGGTTTAGAACTTAGGGTTGGGCTAGGATTGGCCTCAACCAGACCTAACCCAGCCTGACTTGTAGCCCTAGCAGGAGGGAAAGATGGTTGGGTTCCCATGTGGGAGTAGATTGAACGTTTAGGATTTCTCATCTTCCAATCTATCCAACTTAATAGACATTTCATTCAATCTTTCTTGGAGATGGAGGTAGTCACTATAAGGGACATGAGTCGGCACTATTGTCTTTATGTTTGGCGGGACCGCCACTTGAAAGATGCAATTAGTCTTAGGAGGAACTTCAAACATAGTAAAGAATTTGGGCCGAACCGCAATGTTTTCTGAATTCTGCATCTTCAAGAATAACCTCATCTGAAAAAGGACATCAATTAGATCACTGTGCACCATTGTCTCATATTTTGCTTATTCTTCTATGTCCTACCTTGAGTACCTTTCATTTCTTTCTCTTTCTTTTTTTAATTAATTAATTTTTTTCTTCTTTTTTTGTCTATTTTTGTTTGTACTTTTCTATTTTCCTTGGCTTTACTTTCTTATTTTACCTTTGCATACATCTTCTTCTTTTCCTCTTTTTTTCTTCTTTTTATTTTTTATGATGACCTGATTTTTTATCATTTTATTATTATTTTTTTGTTTTTTGTTTGGTATCACATTTATTACATTTCCCAAAACTTTGGTTAATTAAAAAAAACTCAAAGAAATTTGGATCATCCTCATCCTTTTTTCTTTTCTTTTAATTTATTATTCTTATTATTTATCTTACTTATTATTATTGTTTTTTAATGCCTTATAATAATTTTACTCATTTTCTTTTTTTTTATCTTTTCCTTCTTCTTTTTTTGTATTTTGTCTTTTTTCCTTCTTTTGGATTTTGGGTTTCTCTTCTTTTTTTTTTGCATTTTCTTTGCATTTTGGATTTTTCCCCCTTTTTTTGTATTTTGTTTTTTTTTTGGATTTTGGATTTTTCTTTCTTTTCTTTTGAATTTTTTTTTTATTTTTTATCATTTTACATTTTATGCTTCGTTGTCTTTTTTCTCTTTATCTCTTTTTTTTTTATTTGTAGCCAATCGCACATGTGGTGATTGACTCCTAGAGTCTCAGCCAAGAAGTATGAGTTTAGGGGGTAACACCTAGATCCCATGGTTGCAAAAACCACAGGTCTTCAAACCTCCATCCATGAAATGGCCTTACTGGGTTCTAAGCCCATATGGCCCTAAGTATGCTTACTCCTGAAATAGGTTCCTAAACGCATAAAAGATGATATACAACATGAACAAGCTCATGCATCAATGTAAAACAAATTGTGCAATTAGTCACAACAAACCTTATTTAAAGAGTCAAAGAAGCACAAAAACTATTTGTTTATGGAGCATCCAAGAAGATAAAGAGAGATTATCACAGCTATATAACATCATATTGAATCATTCAACCACAAAACCCATAATCAATGACAGAACTGAACCCTCTGTGAACTCCTTGTCAATCAATGGAGGAGATAGCAAGTTCGTATTAACTAGCAAATTTGGCCTCTCTTCCTCTCCAGATTGATTTCAAAAGGCTTAGCCCAAACCATTTTGGCTCATTGTAATTCTATCCTCGAAATTGGTGCTGAATCGGTGGATATTGAATTTGTGACCAAGAGCTTGATTCTTTCCCATTAAGATCATGTAAGACCATGGTACTGCCACCACCTGTTAAAACTTCAGCTTGAAATTGGGTTAAACCTAAACAAATGGCCAAGTCCACAACTAAGAGGATGATTCAAGCAAAATACAAACCATGCAAATTCTTAATGCCCTAGTTTTTATTTAAAAACCAGAACAGAATATTAAAACCAAAAGGCAAGTAAAGGATTCCATTAAATTCATATTATTCAATTTCACATAATGTTACCAATACCTGCTATGACTTCAACCTAGAAACTTGGCCACACAGATGATTGCTCAACACGTGCAAATACAGAGTATTGCTATTGTTTGCCATGGATTCAATCTTATTGAAGTAAAGTAAATCATCAGAATGGTTCCTTTAACATTTAGGCCATGCCAATGCAGGGTATTGACACTACCCGCTACGCAATCAACTTGAATCTAGAATCTAGAATATAGAATATTTTCCATCAAAATTCAGAGATGCACAATACTAGCCATCACCACTTTGTTTGGCATTCAAATTGAAAATTCACTACATATGCATCAATTAAGAACAAAAGCACTGCACAAGTATAATACCACCGCTGTATTATGAATCCGTTAGAAGGCTGCTCAAACTGATCAGAAGACATAAAAAAGAACTTCAAAATTTGAATTACATGTATGGTATCAGTGCCATCCACTAAACATTCACTTGAAAAATGATCAGACCAACATGGAATATTGAGTTAGAAGCTGCAGAGTGATATAAAACTCAGATTGTGCAAGTGTATGAGATTGATACTCATTCATTGGAATCCAGATCCTAGAAGATAATTTACAACAAAGCAACATTAATATGGAAACCAATAGTGCTGATACTTATCTAGAGTTCAATCTAAGCCCAACAAACCGATACCATGACTATGTGATGGTTATCAACTTGAAACCAAAGCCTCAATAGAAAACTTGCTACCCATTACATGATCTAGAAAACCAAAGTGAGGCTGAATCTGGAGGTGATATCTTGATCAAGACAATGATGAGAGTGGAAGCTCAAATATAAAATTGTTGTCACAAGCATGGAATTGAAACAGAAGTACGTCCCTTAAGCAAAGGAGACTTCAAGTGGAGCTGCACCACCAAAATGAAGATAAGGGTAGACAAGGCTTTGTAAAAATAGAATTTAAGATTGTTGTCGAAATTCATATCAAACATGGGTTTGTTGACATATACAGATAGGACAACCCTGAAACCATGACCTGCAACTTATCACCATGAACAAAAGTAGTTAGAATGCAATTGCCAATGTTCTCTCTTCCCACTCTTTTCTTGTTTCTACCCTTCTGTTTCCCGTTAAATTAGTTTTTATTGCCTCCTTTATGATATCCTATATTTTGTTACCTTTTTTTTATTTTTTTTTATCTTGAACTACTACCTCAACGTGCTTAGGAACTATCAAGGCATGATTCTCTCATTCCTTTTTATTGACTTTGATTTGATTTTTTTCTTCTTTGTTGTTTTTTCTTTGTATTATCATAATTTTTTCCTTTTTGCCTTTTCTTTCTTTATTTAGCTTTTATTTTTTCTTTTCTTTTTTTCTCTCTTTTTTTTGGTTTTTGATTTTTTAATTTTAATATTTTCTTTATTTTTTTAATTTTATATTTTTTTATTTATGCCTAACCTTCCTAGCCCTTTTATCTCATTTTTTAATGATTTTTTTAATTTTTTAATTTTTATATATCTTATCCTATTGTTCTATTTCTATTTTAGTTTATTGCACTCTTGAATTTTATCTATTTTTTATTTTTATTTTAGGTTATTATTTTATGTGGACCCCACAAGGGGCATAGCTAACAAGGCTGACCTGTGGAGTGTGATGCATGAGGTTGGAGTGTGACACCTAGATCCATGGCTGAGGTCACCAATTTGCAAACCTCCACCCATACGAACTTCTCAGGTTGATGACTGACTGAGAGCTTTCCACCGGCCTCACCGGGTCCCTAGTAGGACCCTCTCCTAATAGGACAAGAGGATTCTAAATCTAATGCAAGATGATGTGTGTAAAATGTGAATAGACGCAATAATAGAAATAAAGCAGTAGATAATTATGGAATACATCAGAAATAAAGCAATTATTAATATAACTAAAAGAAATAACGTAAAAGCATCCATATATTCAAGAAGTTATAATAAAGCCAAACAGCCCCATGTGGATCCCACCTATGGTCCAAAAAATACCCAGTGGAGTCTCCGGTCTGTGAGCATTGGAAAATGACTCACTTGGGGCTGAAATGGAGTCGCCACCCATAAGTTATGGAAATGGAGGTGATGGAAATTTTGAGAATGATTTTTATAGTCGTTTTGTTTTAATAGTGACTCCTAAGCCTGGGGCATACAGCTAAACTAGTCCAGATAAGACTCGGATGGGAGAGGGAAGGGGTTAGGCACCCCTCTTCCTGTTCCAGATAGTGGTCCAAATGGCATTCTAAACAAGTATGACCGCAAATACATAATTAATAAAAAACATAACAATGATAGAGAAAGTAACAAATTGAAAATACCAACAAAGAGGACTTATTTAATTTATTTATTGCATTATTGTTTTTTCTTTTTTATCTTTTTCTTTTTTTCATAATTTCAATCTGAGTCAGAGACCCACATCCTCCATTAGCTCAAAAAGATGTTCCCTTCCATACTCACAAACCAACCCCCTTTTGGATAGAGGTGAGAGCAAAAAGGTGGAAAATTGCTCCCTTACCCCTTTTCTATCAAATCCCCCACCTTCGGATTCAGTAGAATGGTTAGATAAGAGAGGAAGTTTAAACCTCTTAAACCGTCGGAGAATAGTTAAACTGATTCAAATTAAAAAACCATCTCTGTTTTTAACTTATTAATCAATCAGGCTGCGCACACTCATAAAGCAATAATAAAGGAATAAACTACCACCGACTTATAGAAAACTGTGAAACCCTCTGGACAGGTTCTAGATACATCCGAAATCACCTATAACGAAGTAAATAAACAAAGACACAATGGAATATGCAATTTGTCGTCTTCCTTTTTTTTAGTCGGGACTTAATATTCAAAGAAGCATAAAAAAGAGAAAAACAATGAGACAAATTCACATCTGTATGCATAATCAGCAGCATTATCATGGACAAAAGGTAACAAACCAATACTTAATCGACTGATCTTGCTGATTCAACATAACTTCATCACCAGCGTAGTCAATTCCTGGCCAGATGCCGGTTGCAGCAAGTATACAAATAAACTTAAGAAAATAAAATGAAGAAAGAGACTAATGAGGGAGAGCTTATGCAATATGTCTGGCCTGAGAAAAAATCGACGAACAGAGGAAAATTACGTCTGCTGTAATCTCTGATGGTTGGCAGTCAAAGAGAGGAGATCCTCGGGGGATTTGCAACTGGGATATTTGTGGATGCAAGAGCCGGCGTTCGAATGTTATCTAAACTCTGCTCTGATGGGATGAAGATGACCGAACACAGAGAGGTTGACGGAAGATGCAGAGAAGATGAACGCTGCTGCAAACTTTCAGTCCAACTTAGATAACAGAGGATTGGGGGAGCCGAAATGCTTCTCGGGTATCGCCCTTTCTCCTTGGCCGATGAACGAGAACAAAAAACTGGAGGACTGCCGCTACTAGTTCTCTATTCTCGTCAAGAAAACGAACAATGACTGAAACAAACAAAAAAATAAAATAAAATAAAAGGGAAAATGGTGAAATAGTAGCGAATCGGGAAGGAAGGGGGAGAGAGAAGGAGATAGGAGAAGAGAGAAGTAGAAGAGAGAGTAGATCACCGTTGCTGGAAGTTACAGCAACAGCGGTGATCTCCTAACATTCGAATAGGGTGGGTGAGACCAAGAGGAAAGCGAGATTAGGAAGAAATGAAAAAAAAGAATGAAAAACGGAGTAGGAGAGAGAGGGACAAAAGGGAGAAAATAGCCGAAGATAAAGGGGTGCCGCCGATGCTGTTCGGTTGCAGCTAGCGAAGAAGATGAACAGGGTCTTTCTCTTTGAATTCGGCCCCTTCAATGGTGGAATGAGGAGGAGAAAAAGAAGAAGGATGAAAAACGAGAGAGAGAGAGAGAGAGAGAGAGAGAGAGGAGTATGGGATGTGGTCGGGAATAGGGAGATCGGAGTAGCTTTGCTATCGCTCTCTGGTTTTGGTTCGAACGGGAAGGGAATTAACAGAAAAGTTAGGCTTAGGGGTGTTCACATTAAATGTGAAACCGGCCCGACCCAATGGTTATTTTTTCAAAACCACCGGTCGGTTTCGATTTGTATGAGAAAATAAACCCACAATTCGATTCGGTTTCGGTTTACCTTATACTATGTTAAATGTTGATATATTTTATTTGTGTTTTGTTTGAACTTAAAAAAAATTGTTATTTATGATAAAATCTAAAAATGTAAAACCAATAAAAATATAATACAATGGTACAATATTTAATTTAGTTTTATATAAACTTAAATATATATTGACAAAAAAATCAGTTTTGCATAAAAAACTAATTGATTTAAATATATATTTTGATTTACATAAAAACTAAAAAAAATAAACATAAATATAAATAGACATTTTAGTTTAAAATATATATAAAAATCGACTAAACCAATAAATCAACCCAAATTGATCCTTCATGTTTGGGTTGGTTTTGCTTCAGGTAGGGGTGGATTCGAGCCGAGCCGAGTCGAGCTCAAGCAGCTCGTGAAAAGCTCGGCTCATTGGCACTTCTAGCTTCAGGGTCGATCGGTTTCGGTTTAGTCAATAAGTAAACTGACCTCAAACCGACCCAACCCGATCCATGAACACCCCTACTTAGCTTGTATTTATAATAGGGTTAATGGCATTTTCGTAATTCTAGGGGTCTCGAGGGGCATTTTTGCAATTTCAAAATATATGGGTCAAAAGGGGTTAAATCGGGGATTCTGGTTCAATGGTGGGGATTTTTTGGCCAAAAAATGGAGGATTGAGATGGGTTTGACCGCGAAGAGGGGTCGTGCATGTGTAGGTTAGTGAGATTGGCCAAAATGAAATCTTTTTAAATGGAAGGGTAAATGAAGGTATTTTTGGATGAAATTTCATAGGGTGGGGTTTTTGGACATTCTGAGTTGATTGGTAGGGTTGGATTGGCCTAACTAGGCCTAGATTGGGCAGATCTGGAAAGGGTTTCATTTGGTCAATTTGGAGCTTTGAATTGGAATCTTGTTGCGATGGAGGGGTAAACAGAGGTGGTTTTGGGTGAAATTTTACAGGTGAGTATTTTAAGGTATCGAGGATCTGGTGGCGGTTTAGGGTGGTCAAGATTGTAGGAATTTAGGTCGATGAGATGATTCAAAATGGAATCTTGGTTTGATGGAAGGGTAAATGGGAGAGTCTTGGATTGAAACTTCATAAGCAGGTGTTTTGGTGTGTCTAGGGCTCAATTGTACGGTCTGATTGTTTCATATGTGCTTGGATCAGGGATATCTGGGTTGTGGGTGTTTAGGCCAATGAGATGGCTTAGAATGGAATTTTTGCTTGATGAGAGGGTAAACGGAGGAATTTAAGTTTAGTGGTAGTGTCTGATCTATGGGTAGATGTGTAAATGAGGGTCGATCAGGGCCATCAATTTGGTATCAGATAAGTTTGACTATGGATTTGAGGGCTTTAGGTATGATTGTATGAAAATCGGTTTTTTTTTTGGTGTTTTAAGGAGATTGGAAGGGTTTGATCAAATGGTCGGGGTGAATTGGGGGTTTAAGCGACGGACCGAGCAAAAATTGGGTGCTGACAAATGCCATAGTCCAGTCCATCCATTTCTTATGGAACCCAAATTTAGGAAGAATTTGCTCAATGAAATTCCATTCAAGCCTATTATAGGCTTTCTCTATATCTACCTTATAAGCCATCTTCTTCATTGAGTGAATAATTTCATGGGCAATAAGGATATTATCATTAATTTGTTTGTTAGGAACAAAGGTGCTTTGATACATGGAAATGATACCATCTAGGTAATGCTTTATGTGATTTACCAAAATCTTGGATATTGTCTTATAAATTACATTGCACATGCAAATGGGTTTGTAGTTGTTGATTGATTCAGGATTCTTTGTTTTGGGGGATCAAGACTATGAAAGTCTCTTTAAAAATAGTATTCATTTTTCCTTACCACCACAGTATGAAAGAATTTATTATTCTTGTTTCCTAAATTTATCCCATGAATTCTTGCTTTTTGAACCCCAAAAATTTCTTCGAGATATTCTCCACTTAAATTTGTAAAGTTCTCTCCAAATTAATTGTAGGTTGGTCATTGGGGTTAGGCTTGGAAAAAAGTTGACCCAACCCACAAACCGACTTAACTTAATTTGAAAAAATAGGGTTAGGATCTCATATTTAGCTACTTGAATTTGAGAATGACCTAACCCAGTCATGGGTCAACATATTGACCTAATTCTCAGGTCTAATTGGGAGTATTTATGTATTTGTTAGAAGTTTCCACTATTTAAATTGTTAAATGTTCAAGTTTTTATTTTATTTTTGGAATTCTAAGGTTAATTTTGGTATTTTTTCATGGATCTTTCGTTATTATTATTATTTTTTTAAATTTCAACTATTTTTTGGAATGATCTAAAATGACCCATGAATCAACCCTAATTTGAACATTTAGGGTTAGGGTCTATGATTTACCAACCCAACTCAAAATTCAATCAAACCTGAAATCAACCCGAAGTATCTTAACTCAACCCCGAATTCGATCCACCCAACCAAATTGCCAGGTATAATTGGGGTTAGACATGATAATCCTCTTAGTTTCACCGTTCCTTTTACGACATTTTCCTTTTTTTTTGTTGTTTCGAAAATATCAGCAAAGTGGTTCTTATTCCTTGTTCCAATTCTTTAATCAAATTATTCCTTCTTTTAATGAAACTAGAGGCAAAGAAAAATAATCAAACCAAACCAAATTTACTCCCTTACTACTAATCGGATTTTAATTCCTTGGTTAGGCAGGAGTTGAAAGTAGCAAACCAAACAATCTGGTTATAGAATGACTTGGCAGAAAACACCCTACAGTTAAGTTATTATATGCATAGAAAGTGATTACTTTTTTAAAAACTTGTTAATTCTTTAGTTTACAAACACTAAAGGGGGATTCGGGTTTAATATCAATCAGATTGGGTTCAGATTTGATTGGATCTGGTTTAAATTTGACCTGATTATAGTTGTAGTTTTACCAGAAACCTTGCCATCACTTCTTTTGTTTGATGTTTTAGAGAATTAAAATGTTTTGTTTTTCTTTTCCCCAAATAATATGGGCATACAACAGTAGTACATAAGTTGATAAAATTGTTTCGTACTAATACCTTTTCTCAAATTGTTTTGTACGTACTAATTACGTATGTACTCGAAAAATTAGATTTTTTCACCAACCAACCATAAATTAAGACTTTCCCTTCCAATAAATTAAGAACATGCATGACTAAATAAAAACATAAACTTACCAGGTAATGTATGAAGCCAAGGAGTTTGATTCGTCGTCCTACCCTACCAATAGTCGTTGAACTATGCTCTATCACCAACTCCAAATTAATGCATTCCCTCCAATAATCAAGTAATGCCTGAAGCCAATGGGCTTGATTCGTCTTATCCAACAAATAGTCGTTGAAATGTCTCAAGTAATGCCTCAAACGAATGTTTGGGGGAAATAACAAAGGGCAAAGAGGGAATGTTCAAAAGAAACCACCCTGTGAGGGGCGTGCCGCGTGTGTTAAAAAGGGACAATCCTGTAAATATAAAATGAGGATGTCTTGACCATTTCAATCATTTTATCATTTTAAGAGGGTAAAATTGGATATCTGAAATCAGGGTAGGGTGTGTTCGACGACGATTCATCCATTTTCATTTTTATAAATGCTTATGGCTCTCGAGTCTCGATGGATCCATGGGTGTTAATATTCCATTCATTGTTAACCGCGTTACACGTCACACGTGTTCTTCCGCAAGAGGGTGGTGATGGGATGTCTCAACTCTCACGAATGACGACGGCTTCGTCGGTAGGCACGAAGGCACCTATTGTGACTCTCTCTCTCTCTCTCTCTCTCTCAGCTTTCTGCGGTTGCTCATCTGCTTACTGCTAACTGCTGAGTTTGACCTTGCCATTAGTTTGGTTGTAGTGGCGGGTACGAACCAAGGGGAACAGAGAGGGATGGTTGGTTAGTGTCTAATTGCGGTTTCTACAACGAACCTAGAGCTAGAGAGTTAAACATGGAGACTAATGGAGATAAGGGATCCTTGAGGAAGATGAACAGGGGAGATTTGGCGACAGTCCTACGAAAGTCATGGTACCATTTGAGGTTATCGGTTCGACACCCTTCTAGGGTTCCGACTTGGGATGCAATCGTCCTTACTGCTGCCAGTCCTGAACAGGCCGAGCTCTATGAATGGCAACTCAGGCGGGCCAAGCGGATGGGCCGGATTGCAAGATCAACCGTTACTCTCGCTGTGCCCGATCCGGAGGGTGCACGCATCGGCTCCGGTGCTGCTACGCTAAACGCCATTTATGCTCTCACCCTGCATTTTCAGAACTTAGGTGTCGACTCAGAGTCAGAGGTACTCCAGTTACCATCTCTTATCATTATTTGCGTTTTTATTTTAGTTAACCCAACATGATTCGACAAAGACTCTCAAATCTCTTCCGAAGAAATGGGTCTCAAGCAGAAGCTCATTTTGGACAAAGTTTAACAATTTTCTACATTTGATTTTTTTTCTTTAATTTTTATAGCTCTCATTACTGAGATTTTCTATTAGGTAAGGTCAAAGATTCTTACCATGTAGTCATTTTCTATTTATACAAATCTAGCAAATGTTTTACTTAATTGGAGGTAATGATATGACTTTCGATATTATAACAAGGGCATAATGACGCGTACTTGCATATTGCACATGCAAAGGGTATTTCCTCCAAAAAAAGGAGCTGAATTATAAGAGAAATGATAACATCTTTATCATATTTTCATTCCTCAATTAGGCTTTTTATACTATTCCCTAGATGGATAATTGCCTTAAATAGATTAGCTACAAGATTTTTTTTTTCACACTTGGAAATACTCAAGAAATTTTTAAAAGAAAAAACGACAACAATGCAGCTCTTCTAATAAGCCACAAACTGGAATAAAGAAAACCAATAAAAATACAAAATAAAGGAAAATGTTGCATCTCATCAATCTTGGGATATGTGCAATCTCTTTTCCAATTTTCCAATTACTCAAAACACCTGAAACTAAGAAAAAAAGGAAATATTGTTGTCTTTACCAAGGTTCAAAGTATCAACACAATAAGCCTTGTATTGGGCATATCTGCCACCTGCCAATACGCCTTTTTTAAGGCTAACCCCAAAATTAACTGTTTTAAATGTTAAATAATGCTTAAAATTTCGCCCCTTCCGTTGTATCAGGGTGTATCGATACCTTGGTTTTTATGAAATTTAAATCCAAAGTGCATTTAGTGGAGTTTATGATGTTCACCACAAATAACATCTTATGATAGCAAGCAGTGGCTTTGACATCCAATAGAATGGGCGGCATCATCTAAGCCTTGTCCCAACTATATGGGATCGTCTACATGAATCCTATTTTACCATTCTGTTCTTTTTCAGTTTTAGTGCCATCTCCATTGTTAAATTATGAGCCCTTCTAGCCCCTTCAACTTGCAACAGACTGTTTCTTCTTATGGGTATTGTAGATTTCTATGCATGTGATCAAACCATCTTAGTCTACTTTCTCTCATTTTATCACCTATTAGAGCTAACCCCTAGGTTTCTTTGAATGACTTCATTTCTGACCCTATTGAATCCTGGTAATTCAGGTGTTGTTGGATATTTTATAAACCATTCTCAAGACATTCGGGTGATCTATTCAGGTTTTATTGGTGTTGAAGACTCCAAACTGGCTGATCTTCTCTCCTTATTTCAAGGACTAAGGATGGGATGCTCTTTAGGATATGTGAACCTAGAGGTGGAAAGGTAACTTACAGAAAGTCATTAACTGGATGAGGATTGGGAAATTGGGCCCTTGGCAGCTATTTTATTATATTTGAGCAAGATTTTTAGAAATTAGTTTGAAATCTTCATGTTCAAAAGTTAGCTAATGCTCTTGCTGGCTACTCTATGTCTCTGCAGAGGGAGTACATAGACAGACATTGGTGATCAAACCCCCCATGTTTGTATATTAGCTAGAGGATAGGAGCAGAAGGACTAGCCCTCTTATATTTTAATTTGAGGAGGGTTAATCATGCTCTTATTTCTTTATACATCATTTCTTTCTCTATTGTTTTCTAAAAAAATATTCTGATCAGTTACTGATTGAAACAAAAATGCATTATTTGAGACATTTGGAAGAGAAGAACTACTTGATAGGATTGGCAAAATAGCTAATACTCAAAGTGCCATATAACTTTTAACTGGACATCAACTGGAAGCAAAAAGAGAGCCCATTCAATGTTTCCATTCGAGGCATTAAGTTTTCCTTGTCAAACATGTGCAGATGCCTGAGATCGAAAGGGTTTTTGGCTAGAATAGAAACAAATTCATGGTCTTGGAAAGACTTTGACTTTCTTTTTTATCAGTAACAATTAAAACATTTTATTAGGCATGAAAATGTATGATAAATATCATTATCATCATCTAAGCCTTGTCCTAACTATATGGGTCCAACTACATATCATTAATTAAAACATTTTATTATGTTTAGTGCCATATCTGTAAGTACATGTAGTTTACCATCACCAGGTCTACGACGAAGATGTTAAAGGAAAACCATACGGAGAAATCCCAACCGGGACATCTCACAGAAACACTTTATCAAAATGATGGAAGGCTTCACACACTTGCAATGAGCATAGAGAGCCATCCGGGACTTGCGATGGGCATGAAATGCCTGCTGGGACCTGCGATGAGCAATGAGTGACACCTAAGACTTGCGATGGACATAAAATGATAGTGCTAGTATGAGACAAACCCAATATACTACTACTGCCTTGCGATGGACACGAAATGGCAGCCCATGCTGTAACGAACGGAGGATAGACCTTGAGACTAGTGACACCCACTTGCGGGTGATTGACATCCCTTCTGGTCACAACAAGCTGTGATGAGGCACCTTGGGGGCGATCGAGCAGAGACCTGAGCATAGTCAGACCTAGAACTTGTCCTTAACACGTGGCCACAGGGAAAGCCATAAGGGGATGTAGCTTTCGTGTTCCACGCGAGAATCCTTAGGAGAAAGGAAACTCTGTCCTTGAAGGATCTCGCTGGACATGTGACGAAACCCCAATGGTGCTCTCTTAATAGCCAACATAAAGACAAAGATCCCATTTCCTAATAGGAAATGTCTCTTTTGGGATCTTTTCCTAATAGCCTTAAGATCCCGTCTATTAAAAGGGGAAACAAGCAAGACACAAACAGGAGAGTCCTCGGAGTTTTTTTTTTTTTTTTATCAGAAAAAAGAGAATTTAGCTTTTTATTAAATTGAAAAACAGATTACAGTTTCTTATCTACTCTGCACTCCGGAGTATTAGGATATACAAATAAACCCAGATTATGTGGATCAACATCCCGCTGTTATGATACAGCCAACTACAATTTAGCCCAAAATAGAGTAGGTCTATTAACTCCCTGTTTTGCTAGAGTACCTGCCAGTCCATTCCCTATCCTTTTAAGCCATCCAAAAGTGGAGTTAAATCTTTTAGCAAGAGAATCAATCTCCTTGAATGCAAATCTGTACTTCCATGGTGCTGAGTTTACTTTCTTAGCCCAAGCAATAAGAGAGTCCTCAGAGCTTACTAGTCAAGACCCTTTCGTCCCTCTCTCCCTTCTTCTCTCTCCATGGCCATCCTCCTATTGCTTGGGCTAAGAAAGTAAACTCAGCACCATGGAAGTAATTTGGCTTCAGAGACTTGACAGACCGCCGGTCAGAGTCCATGGTGATTACATATCCATTGTTAAATTATGAGCACTTAAATCATTTCTTGCTACTTCAACCCATACCCTATTTGGTCTGCCCCTATCCTTTACCAAATCTTACATTATGGTCTCAAATTCCCACTGTGGGGGGTTGAACCCCAGTAATTTGGCTTCTGTTTGCCCCTTGTTTTGCAAGCCCATCAACTGCATTATTAGCTGTTCTTGGAATCCATCTAATGATTACAATGTATCCACAATGGTATTGCTAGCTTTCTGGTTCCATGATCTAGCTTTATTGCTTTTTAGCCATCTAACGATTACATGCAAATCTCCTTCCACCAATGTGTCCTTGTAGTGCAGTTATTTTGTCAGCCTTAATCCTTGTAGAACAGTGACTGTTATTTGAAAATGATTTGGAGATGTTTGATGAAGGGGCTGTGTTGGTGGGGAGTTTTTTCCCTCTTGTTTGTCTCAGTAATCTCTTGTCACCAGGATTTTTTTAATGGATTTGTCACCTGGGGTTTTACTCTCCCTTATTTCCTTTTCATTTGAATTTCCATTTAGTATAAAAAAAATCCCTTCCAACCCAGAGAATGGAGCTAAGATATTTCCTTCTTAATTTCTGGTAACACCCCAACTCCAAAAATTTCTGGATTCCCCAAAGATGCAAAAATGAAATTCAATTTGATCATGCTCGGGGTTGGAGGAATCCATTTTATGATTTTGGCAGGAGCTACTGTCTTCAAGTTAATTTACTTTTTATGTTAGAACATTGTTGGTTGAATATTTGTTCTCATAGTCTACCTTTTCTTGGCATTTCTTGGTCTGGAGTTGATTCAATACTGTTTGAGTGTTGACTCTCAAGTTTTTTTTTTGATGGTTTGACACCACTAACCAAGGCCTTGATTCAAGAAGTGATGTAAATGATGCCAATTCAAAAAGAGATTTACAAGTTCTCTAAGTATTCCCTTCTAATTACCTATCTCTTTCTCTCTCACTTTTGATTCTTTGATTTTCTTATTTGATTCTTCTTCATCTATTAGTATCATACTTCTTGGTTGTCATTCTTTTTGATCAGTAACAGAAAATTTTATTCATTAATTTATTAGTAAACAGTTACAACAAGGATAGTCTCGGTTACCCCTGTAAATCAAAGTTTTTGATCCCTATAACACTTTGTTTTTACAGTTACAACTGAGCCCAGAAGCAGATTTCCCTATGGACCCCCTGTTTTGCTAGTTGATCCGCTACTTCTTGGTTGTCATTGCTACTTCTTTTTGTTTCTCTGGCTTGTCCTACATCACTATGACAAGGTTGTGAGTTTGCTTTCAAGCCCCTAGGGTCATGTCATTCAGGCCACATTTTTAGACTAATACTTCATAAAGGCGAGAAGTGATTAGATCTTTTATACAACTCCTGGATACTATGTAACTTAGGAGATTCTTTCAATGCGGTAATAGGTTCTAATGGTTAATCCAGGTTCTCTGTGTGGTTTATTTGTTAATTGTTGGGGAACTTTGTCTTGGGTGGGATAAGATTTGTTGAAAGGATTGGTTGATTATTTGAGGGGGTCAAAGTAAAAGTCCACGGCTGGATTGGTAGGCTGGTGGAATTTTATTTTATTTTTTTCTCTCTCGGGTGATTCCTGGTGACCTTCCTTTGTATTCTCTTTTTTAATTTGATTACTACAAAAAAAATATCTGTAACTAATCATCAACATCATGTAAGCCTTGTCCCAACAATTAATCTGTTACTAATGTGCTATCTAATTATCCGCTGAAGAATTGATGATTCATTGGACTTCCTACAGTAATGATTAAACAATAAAAAAGACAAACTACAGCACGTTCCTACAACAACAATAACAATGATTAAATATTTAAATTGATGATAATTTGAATACATTTGAACGATATGCGCTTGTGATACTATATTTTGCATGTTAATTATGCAGAATATTTAATACTTCTATCGTAATGTTATCTTCTTTTCCCCTATCCCAAATATCTCCTTGCATTTTTCTGTGCACAAATATAGATACATAAGTTTTCTCTGTTGTTGGCTTTGATTGGGCATGTATCATCTACAGGTCGCAGATACCAAGACTGGCAGTTCAGGAATTTCAGATTCGTGTATAAGGTCTAAATCTGAAGTAGCTCCCCAATCATTGGCTAATTTCATTGCCAAAAAGCATATACTATTGCTTCATGCTGGAGGTGATTCCAAAAGGGTGCCATGGGCAAATCCAATGGGGAAGGTTTTTCTACCATTGCCTTATTTGGCAGCCGATGATCCTGATGGACCGGTTCCACTACTTTTTGACCATATACTTGCAATTTCCTCATGTGCAAGACAAGCTTTTAAGAATGAAGGTTTCTATGTCGGTGGCCTTTCTTTTGTGCATATATGAAAATTAGCATTAGTTCTGACAAGTAAATCACCTCAAGTTGAACTGTTTTTGTTTCATTCCTTTATCTGTTTGTGAACTTCTCTTTTCAATTAATACAGTGGTGTATGAACTGTCCTTAAATGAAGTTGCCATGTTTGTACACAATTCAAGCTCTGTCAAGTCTGTCAGGGGTTGAGAGTAATGATCACATATTCACATTCTTGAGAGAGAATTATTAAAAACAAAGATGCAGGGTCATGAAAGCAAAAAAAGAAAGGCACTTCCCCCTAATGCAAACTGCTCTTCCATTCTAATTCCTTATATTGTGTTTTTGGCAGCTTTTGATCTTGCTTCCAATTATTTCCTTAAGTTCATGCACTGCAGTAGTTATGAGCCTCTTAGAAATTACAGAAGTAAAGGCACAGAGAATCCACCTGGTCTAATCTTACCATGTAAAGGAGCAGCTGGGGGCTGGATGTTAACACTTTTTGCTGGAGTCCAGGTCTGCTCCCCACACCAATCCCACAGCACATTGCAGCCCTGTATTGGGAACATCTCCCCATTAATGACAACATACAAGTATTGGAGATGTTCTCAATGTGAGGCTGAAATGTGCTGTTGGGAGAAGATCTGAGTTCTTCCTGTTGGAAAGAAACTGTTTTTAAGATGCATCTGGTCTTATAATGATGTTAGGAGCCATATGGGTTGTCCAGATTCTATTTTCTTAGGGGTGCTTCGAACACTGTGGTCTGGTACATCATGTGGGGTCCAGTGTTTAAAAGTATAACTGGCAACATATGCCCCACAGTGTTGCAGTTCCATGGTGTTCATGACACCCTTATTATGCAAATATGGTTTGGTCAACCTGTTTGACTAGCATTTCTCTTGTGTCTTGATGTTAAATGGGTTGAGTCAAGCAAGCTAGGAATATTGTTTGCTTTTGCTGTATTTATCCTTTTATTATATTGTAGAAATTGACTAGCAGCAACATATTTATCTTTGCAGGTGGCTTATTCATAATGACTGGAGATGTTCTCCCATGTTTTGATGCCTCTTCTTTGGTTCTTCCAGAGGATGCATCCTGTATTATCACTGTTCCTATCACGCTTGACATTGCTTCTAACCATGGTGTTATTGTGGCATCCAAAACTGGGACCCTGGATAAAGCATATTCGCTCTGTTTAGTTGAAAATCTTTTACAGAAACCCACTGCAAAGGAACTCATTGAGAACCAGGCAATTCTACATGATGGTAGAACATTGCTTGATACAGGACTAATAGCTGCTAGAGGTAAAGCATGGGAGGAGCTTATTGGGATTGCAAGTTCTTCTAAAGAAATGATTTCAGAACTTCTGAAGAGTGGAAAAGAGGCAAGTTACCATCCTTCAGTTTAATCTGATGGTTAGACTTAAGAACTTATATCACTAATGGATATAATGTTCTGTTTAGTGTTTAGCTAGTGCAGCTTCAAGTGGTTGGTGGGACAAAGAATAATTTATTTGCTATACTGAGACAATTTATTGAGCTCTCAAACTGGTGAGCTTTGTGGGTTTATCTGTTTCTGTGCCCTTTTGGTCCCAGCTATCCAGGGGAGGGGTGGTCTGGATGTGGATTTAACATTTGGCATTTTCTTGCACAAAGTAGCTGCTCTGAGACTCAAATCCACTTTCTTGTGCTTGTCAGTCTGAAAAATTTCCATTGCACCAAGCAATAGCCCCTGCATTGAATCTGTAGGAGGGACAATTTTTGTGAAAGCTAATAATTCTTTTTATTGATAAATTTTCTGTGAACTTAAACTAGCCTATCAAATTTTATACATATGATACTTATATTTTACATACAGTTCAGTCTACGGATTTGTGTGGTGAAATGATGCATAAGTAAATTTTTAGTAATTGTTGCTGCATCTTTTTATTATTAGATGTGGTTTCAATATGTTCTTTTGCTTTTACCTCCACTTAAGTTATTTTCTTTCTCTTTGCGTAATTCTGCTCTTAGGCCCATCATATTTTCATTAAGGCTATGTTTGGTTTGAATGAAAAGGTAGGAATCGAAGGATTCCCTACCTTTTCTTTCAAACCAAACACAGCCTAAGGGTCTCTTGCAACAGCCTGTGGAGGCATTTCAGTTCTTTCACTCTTCTTTATAAGATCAATATTTGAAAGTATTTCAAGATCCTCCTGTTTTTTAATTTGGATAGTTCCATGTTTTCCTCCATGAGTTGCAAAGATCAAGTAAATTACTGAGTTTATTTTTGTTGTGTTACATAAGCTGGATTTTCCATGTTATTTTCATGTCATTTTATTCTTGTGGGACTTTTTGCAGGTTAGGAGTAATTAAAGAAACTTATGTTATTTATCTCACAAACTTAAATGCTGGTTTTCATGGTTTCTGTGTTAGACCTTATCAGTGTTTGATGGCTTTTCAAAAGTTCTGCAGATGAGTCTATATGAAGATCTAGTGGCAGCTTGGGTACCTGCTAAACACAATTGGTTGAAGCATCGCCCTTTGGGAAAAGAACTGGTCAATGGGCTGGGAAATCAAAGAATGTTCAGTTATTGCGCATGTATGTTGTACTTGGTCTGAAGTATAGGAATCTTTTACTCTTATACTAAAGAAACGTAAAGTCAAATAAACACATACATGGATATTCATAAAAAAGAACTGAATATTAAAAAATTGCTGGTGGAAGGCGATTCTAGGCTGGCTGTTAGTTGGCTACAGAAGGAAGAATTAAGTCTGTAGAAGTTCTTAAATGAGAAAAAGAAAATTAACCAGCTAACTCAGAACATGGAAATTCAGTTTCAGTGGTCCAAGAGGAGTGCTAATTCTATGGCAGATTCTTTGGCCAAACAAGGGGTGGGAAGAGCTAATCTCTTTTGGGCATTGCTGTAACTTGTTTTCTAATTTTAGGGAGGGTTATGTGAATTTACCCCTCCCTGTTGTAACTTTCTCTTTTCTATTCCTCTTAATAAAAGTTTCTGTTATCAATCAAAAAAAATTCATAAAAAAGAAAAACACATATACAGATGTTTTGATGCATAATTATGCTTGTATCCTAGTTAACGTTGTAGATTTATGTTACAATGAACAACCATTGTTAAAGGTTTTATTCTTATTTTATTTTTTTCCCTTATTTAATTGCAGATGATTTGTCATTCTTACATTTTGGAACCTCTAGTGAGGTTCTGGATCACCTAAGTGGGTCTGGTTCAGACCTCGTAGGTAGGAGGCATTTATGTTCTATTCCAGCAACCACTGTATCAGACATTGCATCATCTGCTGTTATTCTCTCAAGTAGTATTGAACCAGGGGTATCAATTGGGGAAGATTCTATGATATATGACTCATCACTCTCAGGCAGAATACAGATAGGATCTCAGTCTATAGTTGTTGGCGTTAATATCCCAGGAGATGGGGAAAATAGGCAACCGGGAGATTCACTTCAGTTCATGCTTCCAGATCGCCATTGTCTTTGGGAAGTTCCTTTGGTAGGATACAGAGGAAGAATTATTGTCTTTTGCGGACTTCATGATAACCCAAAGATATCATTTTCTAGGGATGGAACTTTTTGTGGAAAACCATGGAAGAGGATCTTGAAAGATTTAGGCATTCATGATACTGAAATTTGGAGCTCTTCAGATATTAAGGAGAAATGTTTGTGGAATGCAAAGATATTCCCTGTTCTGCCTTATGCTAAGATGCTTAGTATGGCAATGTGGCTAATGGGTCTAAGTAAATATAAAGACCAATCTATGCTTTCAATGTGGAGAAGTTCACCCCGTGTCAGTTTGGAGGAATTGCACAGATCCATAGACTTTCTCCAGCTTTGCCTTGCTTCCAGTAATCATCAAGCAGATCTTGCAGCTGGAATTGCTAAAGCCTGCATTAACTATGGTTTGCTTGGACGAAACTTATCTCAGTTGTGTGAAGAAATTCTACAGAAGGAAGAATCAGGAATTGGAATGTGCAAAAACTTCCTATCCATGTGTCCCAGTCTCCAGGCTCAGGACTCTACAATTCTTCCCCAAAGCAGGGTATACCAGGTGCAAGTTGATCTTCTTCGGGCATGTAGAGAAACAGCAACATCTCTCACAATGGAACGAAAAGTTTGGGCTGCAGTTGCTAATGAAACTGCTTCAGCAGTAAAATATGGATTTGGAGGTAATGTTTATGAATATTTGTTTCCTTCCCTTCTCTTCTTTCCTCCCATCAAAACCAAATTTAGGGGGTGATCTGTAGCGTAGATGAGAAATTGGGTGGTGTGTTTTCATCCACACAACTCCCCAACAGGGTAGTTGTTCTGCACCATGGACAAAGATGTGTGGATGGAACCACACCACACCTCCATGGGCATTCTGTAAGGTGTGGTGCATTTCAGTTCACACCCTGTGTTTTGATTCCATGCATCTCAGGTACAACATTTGAGATGATCTGTATGCCGTTAATCATTAAAAAAACAATATTTTATTTTTTAACAATATACATAATAGAAAAATATTAGTAAATTGCTAATAATATCAATAATTAATAATAATTAAAAATGAGTAATAACATTAATGATAATTGATAATATTAAAAATAATATTTAATAATAATCAATAATATGAATAATGACTAAAAATAATTATTAACGTTAATAAAAATAATATTTGAAACTTAATAATTAATAAATAAATATCAATAAGTTGCAATGATAAAATGTTGTATGTTTTTAGGGTAAAACACATTGTGCTTTGAGAGTGCAAAGCATGGGATCATTGTGGTAATAAATTTCCATGGTAGTGCGGATCTGTCCACAAGAAATAACCGTAGATGATAAATTTCCCTGTGGTTTGGACCAATCCACGATATAGTGTGGTTCGGTCCACACCACGGTGCAACCTAACGACTAGATGAAGTGTTGCACATTTCAAAACAGAATATCTCGTGGACACGCCACTGTTCCAAACACCACCTTAGTTATAAAAAAAACACCTTGTCTTCAATTGTATCACTATGATCCCTAGCTTGAGTCTCTAGGACCGTGGTTACTAGAAATACTTACTGTGTTGTAAATGGGTTATTATCCTTCTGTTTGTGTATAGTAATGCTTATATTACCTGCCAATAAAATAAGTAAATAAAAATGAGACTTGAAAACATGTTTGACCTCTTTTGCTGTTGAAAATTTCAATTCCCCTATTGCTGCCAATTGGAGTGAGCAATGAATGCAGTGCCATCTTGAATTGAGGCAGCATATGTTGAAGAAACAACATCTGAATTGGTGCAGCTAGAGATAACTTTACCAAAAAAAAAAGTGAAAAAATAATAGAAATGATGGAAATAAAAAAAATCGTTTTAACTCAGTTTGCAAATTTCCCTTCCCCCATGATGCAAAATATAAACCAATATTTTTTATATTTCTTTCTCTGCTAAGTTTCTGCATTGTTTCACCAGAATGTGCTTGAGTTGAATATTTTATCACATTGTGAGCTCATATTCTATCTATGATTGTTTCATGGATTTTGGTTCGTAAACTTACTTTCTTTCCTCAGATCATCTCTTGGAGTCTTCCCATGTCATATCTCTTTCTGCAAATCAAGAGAATAATGTCAATGCTTCTGTTGACCATTCTTTCTACCAGAAGAGAGCAAGGGTAGAGCTTCCAGTCCGTGTAGACTTTGTTGGGGGTTGGAGTGATACTCCTCCCTGGAGTTTGGAACGTTCTGGTTGTGTTCTGAACATGGCAATAAGACTAGAAGGTTCTCTACCAGTTGGCACCATAATAGAGACAAGAAAGATGGTTGGAGTGCTGATTTCTGATGATGCTGAAAATCAGTTATATATTGAAGATCCTTCATCTATTACTTCACCATTTGATAATGATGATCCATTTCGTCTTGTCAAATCTGCACTGCTTGTGACTGGTATTATTCATGACAAGATACTTTCATCTACTGGCTTACATATCAGGACATGGGCCAATGCTCCCCGTGGTAGTGGTTTGGGGACTTCAAGTATATTGGCAGCGGCAGTTGTTAAAGGACTTCTTCAAATAATGGAAAGAGATGAAAGTAACGAACATGTTGTTAGACTTGTTTTGGTCTTGGAGCAGATCATGGGCACTGGAGGAGGCTGGCAGGATCAAATTGGGGGATTGTACCCAGGTATTAAATTTACTTCAAGTTTTCCAGGAATTCCGTTAAAGCTTCAAGTCACCCCCCTAGTGGCTTCACCACAATTGGTGTCAGAGTTAGAGCAACGACTGCTGGTGGTATTTACGGGTCAAGTAAGTCTCCAATTTCCTTGTATTAGTGTACACCACTGCCTTTTCTGTTTCTAACTGAATAAAATAACTGAAAATGCATCACATAACTAGTTATGGTTAAAAAAAATGAAGTTTAGAAGCCTGCCCTACATTATAGTATTACTACATGTTGGGAATGTAGTAGTATGCTAAGTCCTCGTTCTTTTGGTCTGTTTTCAACCTCTGATGTCTTAAAAGCAATTTTTTTACCTCATATCTTCAGACTTCAAACATCAGATCTGACAGCCTTCTTATTTTTTGTCCCCAAAATGCAGTAGTATTCCAAGGCCTTGTAATATTATTTTATTATTATGTTATTATTTTATGTAAATTTTATTAATAATAATGTTAATTATCATAACGTAAATATCAATTTCATAATCAACTACAGGGGCAAAATAGTAAAATAACCATTTTCAGAATTCAACATTCAGATTTCATAACAACTTTCTCTGCATTCAAATTCAAATATCAGATAAAACAAAAGGAACTAATTTTCAAAGTACTTTCTTTTAGAGCTTTTTTGCTTTTAAGGCATCAGACTTTAGACCAACAGAAACAACACCTAAGAAAGGATACCAACCTTTCAGTGAGTTGGCAACGATTTTATGTCAAGTTGCTTTACAGAAATGTTATTTGTTGCCACGTGCTATTGTAACCTATCAGACAAAAGGATGCCAAAATTTCTTGGTGGAAATAAAATAGTGCCAACTTTAAGTGAACATAACATGGGCCCTAAAATGACTTTGGAGTTGAAACTTACTTCACTCAGAAATGTATGTACAAAAACATAGTTGGCTGGTTTGATTGGTCTTCAAAGTTGAGAAATTTGTCTTTAAGTGGCCAAATGATGCCTTGAAAGCTTTATAAAAATTATCAAAGAATGGGATTAAAGGTAGGTTCCTCGTGGAAACCAAAGAGACTATCAATCCCCATCACAGATCCTTTCTTTCCCTACCATAGATTCTATGATTCATTTTGCCCCTTGCAGATTGAAGCTACCACATTTCATGCTAAAGCAGGAAGTAGACTTGTTTAAGCCTAAATCATTATTCCAGGAATACCTTATTAAACTTTCTACAGTGCAATCCAAAGAGGAAATTACATGGTAACATTTGTCAGTAGTTAATCCAGAATCCCATATGAAGGCCATATAGTTTTCAAGTATATATAACATTTTATTTCATGATTTTCTTCTTGCAACCATTAAAGATATCTATAAAATTAAATATGTACTTCCATGGAGAGGACCGAGAGGTTGGTATATTATGCTTTACGGGGCATTCTGATTGTAATAATTTTGCTCCTTACCCATAAGGAAAATGCGTGCATCATGGGCCTTGTCTATTAGATGCCAAAGCTCAATTAATCAAATATTGGGGTTAATGTGGCCAGCACCATTGATGCAAGTCTTGACCATACTATAAATCCTTGAAACCAGAAAAAGTTGTCTGCTAATGATCGTTGTCATGCCCTCTTCTAGTTCATTTTAGCTATCCTAAATTTTGATCCAGTTTAATCGAATTATGTATTTTTTTATCAGCAACAGATTATTTACTTTTGTCTAAAGTACATGCCACAACCACCATACAGGTTCGGCTTGCAAACCAGGTCCTACAAAAGGTGGTAATCCGATATCTCCGACGTGATAACCTACTCATCTCCAGTATTAAGCGCCTTGCTGAGCTGGCCAAAATTGGGCGGGAAGCTCTCATGATTGGAAATATAGATGAGCTTGGGGAGATAATGCTGGAAGCTTGGAGGTTGCATCAGGAACTAGATCCTTACTGCAGCATTGAATTTGTAGACAGGCTCTTTGCATTTGCTGATGACTTTTGCTGCGGCTACAAGCTTTTGGGTGCTGGTGGTGGAGGATTTGCTTTATTACTTGCCAAGGACGCTCATCGTGCAAGAGAACTGAAACATTTGCTAGAAGAAGCTTCAGATTTTGATGTGAAAGTCTACAATTGGAACATCTTTTTAGGACAATAGTTGAAAGATAGTTATTCTTTGATGATAGCATTTTATATTTATATTCTTTATCTGTATTTCAATTCCTGTTATTGACTGGAATTGTATTTATAGAGCATCTTATTAAAGTGAATATTGTACTTGAAATGAAGGTTTACGATGAAGGCAAATTAAGATACAATGCAGAATAGTGGTCGCTTTTTCTTGGTCAGCTTCTTTTTATTTTTATTTTTTTCAACTTCTTGGCATTATTGATTGATGTTTATATAGCAAGTGTAAACCATACCCCTTGGTTGTGTATTTGAATGTCATTGACCAGAATGATTTCCATCCATTTTACTTTTTTTAATCATTTTTTTATTGCAGAAGTTATGCATGGAGTCGCATTTGTCTTTGTAGAAAGCAAGGTACTTTTCTGTTTTTTTTAAGCATAAAAGGAAAAATTCAATCATGGTCATTTGGTAAATTTGTCATCCAAATGGATGGGTAGAGGTTGTTTTCAGTTTTCACCAGGTAAGTTAGAAACGTAAAGTTCACTATGTCATTAACTGGTCAGGTTTTGTAAGAGTCAGCCTCAACTTGAATCCAATCCAAACCTATTTCTGAAACTAATCAAGCAAATGATGATTCTCCTCTCTACAGTGTTTTTGATTGCACATTTTTAACTTTTCGGACACCATGGTTATACACTGTAAGTACATGAATTTAAGCATCACTAGAATTGAGACAAAAGTTATGCTGATGTGTGCCGTATGTGTAACAGTGAAAGCCGAATCATTTGATACATATTCAGTACTAATAAAGTAATAAACCGACATCTGGATGACAAAAAGATTTTAAAAGTAAGGGTAAAATACAAAAACCTCTCCTGAAGTTTTTGGCAATCATAAAAACCTCCTCTATAGTTTTATTTTAACAAAAATTTTCCATTTATTTTTGAAAAAATCGACAGATACCTCACTTCCATCAATGGAAAACATTAAACCGATGACCATTTTTTTAAATACCTATTTTACCCTTTTATGAATTAATGTATATCTATTTTTATTAAAATACTCTTATCTACGTTTTATACTCTTTACCCCCTTTTATTATCCCTTATTCAACTTTTTATGTCTGAAAAGGAGCAACTAGAGAGGAACAAACTCAGAAAGAACGAACCAAGGATTTCGGTCAGGTGGGTTCTCTATTTTCATTTTAATGCATAATGATCCTATAAGAAAAAAAAAAATCATAACAAAAGATATGGTTGAGAACAAACAAATAAAATCAGTGAAACATAGCAAAGAAATGAATAAATCAAACTCCTACAAGAAAACATAGCAAAGAAATATAAATCCAATTCAGTGAAAAAATCGAAAATGAATAAACATATATACTACAGAAAATGAAGCAAAGAAATACAAAAAATGAACTCACATAATAGAAATTAAATTCCTTGGATTCTCAGAGAATGAACACAGATCTGTTCATCAATACTTTGATTCTCAAAGAAAGAACAGTGGTAGATTCTCAGAGAATGAACAACAAAAATGGTCTTCGATGAAGAACGGCATTAGTCTTTGGTGAAGAACAATCTGGATTCTCAAGAATGAACAGCAAAATAGTCTCCAGTGAAGAACAGAGAAAGAACGACGGTCTCCCGCTCTCCGGTGAAGAACGGTCTGGATTCTCAAAGAATGAAAAACGGTCTGGTTTCTTATATAAAAAAAGAAAAGGAATTCTAAGCAGTTGCTCGATTAAGGGCAAATACGAAAATTTTCTGTCTTGATGATTTGAGGGAAGGGAGGTATCTATCTATTTTTTTCAAAAATAGAGGGGAGGTTTTATGATTGTAAGAAACTTAAAGGGAGGCTTTTGTAGTTTACCCTAAAAGTAAAACGGACCTATCACCTGTGCTGTGGTCAACCGGCGCTTCAGTCTTGTTCTAGAATCAATCTGTGGTGGAGGTGGACCCTGATCACCTGAACGAAAAAACATGAAGCATTGAACATATGCAGATTGAAGCAGCTTCACCACATCCTAAAAGAATCCAAAGTGGTCTATTGTTTTCCGTTACTTTGTTTTATTTATTTATTTTTTGTTAAAATCTTGTCTATCCTTCTCAAGTCAAGTAGTTTGGACACCTATTCCTGACTTGACGATCACTTCTACGTATACTCAGATTCCGTCTCCTCCTCCTCTCCTTTTAGTCTTTACGAGTAGACGGGTAAAAGGAAAAAATAACGAAACGAGGGAGTCAGTCAACAACGAAGGTAACGTAATTATTAGTATTTTTTGGCATTGTTATTAGTATTTAAAGCATATGAGTTGTTGAACCGATCCTTCGGCTTTCTCATTTTTCTGTCTTCTTCTCCCTCCAATTATACTCTACTCTTTATTCCAGAGAGCAGAGAAAGCAAGAGATTGAAAGCGGTTGACAGATGGGTCTCCTCTCCAACAGGGTAGAGAGAACCCAGATCAAAGCCGGGGATCATATCTATACCTGGAGAGCTATCTATACTTATTCTCACCATGGTAACTCCAGTCCCCCCCCCCCCCCTTTTCGTCTTTGCAGAACCATATAATGTGGATTCATCTTTTAATTTTGGTTTTTGAGCTGCTTTTTTTTGGCTTGTCTGTTTGAAGCTCTTTTCTGCGACTTCTATTTGGCGTGCCTGTTGGGCTTCTTTATAATGCGGATGCTCATGGTCAAATAGATTATCTTTCCCAAGGCTTGATTTGGGTTTTCATTAAACTCTGAGATTTCACAAACGGTTGATGAAGCCCCGTGAGGGTGATTTCGCTTACTGCACTTTTGTTTGTAGGGTTTCATCAACATTGTATTAAATCCACTGTTTCTATAGCGTTTCCTTGATGAAAGGTGGATAATTAGGTAAATTTCTTTGCTTGTAAATCTATGCATGCGATTCCTTAGTTAACGCATCTCAGTAATCCAAAAAATAGACTCCCTTTGAGTATTCACAAGGTGCTGAGATAAATGGGTGCTAAATTACTATGGACGGGATTTGGACTTCTTTCAAAATTGGGAGTTTCTTTTTTTTTTTCTGCAATTTCTTCGCCAGTTTTACTGCTTGAAAGGGGGAGGGGGGAGGGGGGAAGGTGGAGGGAACAAGGGAGATGGTAAGCTGTAGCATGTTTCTTCTCAAGTAAATTTAGTGTTGTCCAGGGGAACACTTCGCCCATTTACTGTGTTGGAAATCAAATCATAACCAACCTCTCTTAATTCTAGTTTGAAACTGCCTTTGATCCCCTTTAAGAGAAACTGTTTAGAGATGCTGGCAAAGGGGCATTACAACATGACAACCCAGATACATATTCGTATTGCCTTATTTTTGTATAGAAATGGAATTATATGTGGAGTTAAAAAAGAGATTGGAAAATTATGAATATAATATGGTAAATGGTACATTATGGAATATGGAGTATGCGATGTGTATCTATAAAAAGCTCATAATTGAAAAAGGTACTAATTGCCTTTTCCATCCTTCCTATTTGTTCAACTACAATGCCTACAAACTATGGGAGAGGATGGATGGTCATGCCAATAGATTTTTAGAATTTGCCGTAAAGAACTATTTTATTTTCCTTGATTTGGAGGCCACAACAATCAGCTGAAGTACACGGGACATATGTCATTACCACATTGTTGGTACAATTAGGATTCATGACCAATAGATGCTTTAAACTCACCACTTTTGTTATTTTGTTTCAATAATCCATATGAGGAAGAGATTGAAGTGGATGTTATACAGGATTAGAACAATGTAGATGAAGAGGAAAGGTGCATATCAAATATTGTGTGAAACACACATAGATGGAGATAAGGAGAAAAGAATCTCGTCATCATCTAAGCCTTGTTCCAACTATATGTGGTCAGCTACATCATTACTGCTCCACCATTCCATCCTGTTCAGAATCATATCCATTGTTAAATTTTGGGCCCTAAATAATTTGTCAGTACTCCAACACAGCCTGTACCTAGCCATCCTAGCCCCTTCAATTTGTAATAGATCACATTTTTTTTACTGGTGCTGTATGTGGTCTTCCCTGCATGTGCCCAAACAACAGGAGATGCATGAGCTTATAGCAGACCTTACTGGTGATCTAGCTTAACAAAGCCTGTGCATCTTCTGTTTTTTACTGGTGCTATAGGTGGCCTTCTCTTCTAGCCCTGTTGACAGAACATAGGTCATTGATAGAGTGAAATGGCGAAACAAGATCCTTATAACAGACCTTATATAGTTGGAATAAGTCTTTGCCAAATTGGTGATATGTATAGCTCATTATTTTTCTTTCCTATTTTTCCCTTGGTGTAAAGTGTAAACAATATTTATCTTTGTTCTGCAGTAGGTTGGGCACTGCCACACTAATACTAAAAGCACTTGTCTGCGTATGTTTCTTCTTTGTTCCTGCATGGCTGTATGTTTCTTCTTTGTTCCTGTATGGCTGCGATAAGGTAGATCATAGATGGATTGTCCAACTTTAATAGATACTGACCTTCTTTGTAGTTTCTTGTTGCCAAATTCCACCTTCAGAACTGTGCCCTTTAAACTCACCAATTTCATAACCTCTTGTACATCTCCTCCCTCTCATATCTTTTCATATTGATAGAACCTTTTTTTTTCTTTGGTTTGAAGTGTTAGCATACCTGTTCTTTTGCAGCTTGTGGGACAGGCCTCTTCCATTCAGATTTAATAAAATTTGTTCTACTTGATAATTTGTATAGGTCACTGCATTTTCCTATCCAAGTGATAATGTGTATTATTTCTGGAAAATGTTTCTAATGGTTACGAGAAAACAAACAACATGATTAGTGCTTGACTAACAACATATCAATCTCAGTTACTGCACTCATGCATGTTTGCATTTGAATATGTAATTGCACTACTCCACATTATGCATAAGGGCATGATGACATGCAATAGCCTTCTCATATGAGTTATCCAGAGTTCTCAGCTTCCGTAACTTTTTGTTCCAGATCATCATAGTAGATATGGTAGTTAGCATAACTTGTTTGCACATTTAGCTGACAACCTTTGTAATGCTTTTAAGTTCCATTTGGATTGGGAAAACATACAGGAATCTATGTTGGGGGAAGCAAAGTGGTTCACTTCACGCGTGAACAAAATGCAAGTTCAAGCATATCTTATCCTAGTTCAGCTTCAAAACTCCCATCAGCCTGCCCAATCTTCCCTGACTGTGGATTCAGGCAACCCAATAGCGGTGTTATCCTCTCTTGCTTGGATTGCTTTCTTGGAAATGGATCCCTGTACCACTTTGAGTATGAAGTCACTCCATCTTATTTCCTCGCCAAAGTCCGTGGTGGCACATGCACCACTGCAAAGCCTGATCCCCCTGAAACTGTGATCCACAGGGCAATGTATCTGCTACAGAATGGGTTTGGGAACTATGATGTATTCCAGAACAATTGTGAGGACTTTGCATTATACTGCAAGACAGGTCTTCTGGTACTTGATAAGTCAGGAGTGGGTAGGAGTGGTCAAGCTTCTTCTGTCATTGGAGCCCCGTTGGCAGCCCTTCTTTCATCTCCTTTAAAGCTGCTAATTCCAGGTCCTGCTGGTGTTGCCACCGTAACAGCTGGAATGTATTGTATGAGCAGGTATGCCACTGATATAGGTGTCCGAACTGATGTAATAAAGGTGGCAGTTGAAGACATGGATGCAATCCTGGATTGGAGTGGTACAAGTGAGGAAGAAGCCGAGGATAAAGAGGCTTCTGACAGGCAGAATTCGCACAGCCTAACAGGCAGTTCATTGATAGTGAAACAAAAAGCATCTAGGTGACGTGAATTTCCTTTGTGTGGCCTGTGAGTTTGCACTTATTTGTTCTTAAAAAGATTAGAATCAGCAAGCATTTGATTGACACTAATAAATTGAATATATGGCTATGTGCTAATTGTTTTTTGTCCCATATGAGTTTGTATTGGGTGTTCTAAAGTTGCTTACTCAGAAAGTTATGGAGTGAACATTAGTAGCAAGGGAATAATGTGGATTTGGATTTGGATGATATTTGAGAACTTGGAAGAAAACTCTTTAGTAATCCATTCTTTGTAATTGATAATATGCCATGCTAGCTCTTGGCTACCAAATTCTTATTTATTCATAAATTGTAACTCATACAGACTAGTAAATCTGTATGTTCATTGCACATGACAATTTTAGATAATAATAATAATTTTTCAGTATCCCTGAATCCATTAAAAAATATAAGTAACTAAAACACGGTGTGCTAGTAGATTTAAATTTTGTATTTTATTTTCATTGTTAATAAAAATACTTCTTATTTATCATATTTATTTTTGCTTAATGTGATAAACATATAATATTAGAGATGTGCACAATTTTTTTTGACAAATTTCATTATGGCATCATGTTTTGACATATTTGACTTGAAAGAGAAAACAATCTCATTTTTGGGAAATTTTAACTTTTCTATTCCATTTTCATAATTAATTGTAATAACAATTATTGCTTATCACACTTATCTTTGTTTAATATGACAAATGTATAGTATTTTAGATATGCCAAAATTTTCTATAAAATTTCTACACTTTTATTTTATAATTCTTTCTATTTTTATTTTTTGTTTAATTATGACATTATTGGTTGATTCATTTAACCCAAATAATTGGACTAGTAGGGTGCAAGTGTATATGTATGTATATATGTATACATGTTGGGCTTGGATTGGATTGGTCAATCATCCTCATGCTAAAATTTGACATAAATGTATGCAAGTGTATATGTATACATGCATGCTATATATGTCTATATATATACATGTATGCAAGTATGTATATAGTTAGACTAGGCTCAAGCTACCTAACGCTAGGCCTCAGCATAGATCAAAAAATAAAAGAGTCTAAACTTTTGGGCAAGGCCTATGCCCAACCCAAGAACCAAAAAGCAAGCTAGTTCGTTTAAAACTGCATGTTGGGTTGGTCCAAACTCATATTGAGCCCATCCAGTTTGCACCTACATGGGTCACTGGCCACCAATTAAATGGAAATTTTCTTTTTGAGTTGGTTTAATTTTTTATTCTATTTCCATCATTAACAAAAATAACTCTAATTTATCATATTTATTTTTGTTTAATATGATGGAATACATAATATTGGGGATGTATCCAAATGTTTTCTACAAATCTTTTGTATTTTTAATAATTCTCTCTCTCTCTCTCTCTCTTAAAATTTCTATTTTTTAATTATAACAATGTGCATTGACCGGTTTGACCTAAAAGGTTGAACCATTAACTCACCACTTGAATATGAAATGTTTCATTTCTAGGTCATTTAAATACTTCTTACTTATCATACATAATTTTGTTTAACATGATAAATATATAATTTTAGAGATGTGCCTAATTTTTTTGTATTTTTATTATTTTTAATTTTTTATCATTTAACTATAAGACTATTGGTTGACCAATTTGATTTAGATAGTTGAATTATGTACCTGCCACATTGACATGTTCTATGTTGGGCTTAGACAAACTTTTAAGCCTACGGGCTCGGGCTTTCCCAAATAAGTCCAGCCTTAGCCCGAGCCCAACTTAATAATAGTTAGTATATACATAATAAAAAATATCATATATTATAAAATATATGTCCATTATCAGGCTTGGGCCTTTGTCATTTTCAGTTTATAAAGAGGCCAAGCCCAGCCTAAACCTATATAGGCCATGAACAAAAGGACATTTTAGTTTTCAAATTGAATTTGAACACAGGTTTTGTATTGTTAAAATTATTGAGTATAGATTTAATTAGTAGAATTGATTGGTGAAAAAAAAATGCTTAAATAAGGATCTAAGGAGGGAGAATGGAAAATATCACCTTAATGAAAGAGAATTGAACGAGTAAAAAGTAGTAGTTTAAATTACATTTTTCCCCTCACTGTTAGAGAATGACCAAATTCAAAATTGAGGGTATTTTAGTCAAGAAAAAGTCCATAAAGCTCCTTTATTTAACATACAGTAAATGTGAAATTTAATGAGAGGGGCTGGGAGTTAATACCTAAAATATAAAGATTAATAAGTGGAAATGGAATGAATTTAATATAAATAGAAGATCAAATTATGTTTTGTGCCCTTACAATAAAAATGGACTAAATTCAACAATAAGGGTATTTTAGTTAAGAAGATTTCTAGAATTAGACCTCATTTCCACTTTTAATAGTAGTATAGATTAAGCAAAAAGTTTGGTAACAGAGAGCAATAAACATAAATTTAGGCTATGTTTGGTTTGAAGGAAAAGGTAGGGAAAGGTAGGGAAACCTATACAAGATTTGTAAAGATTTTCCTATATTTTCCTTCCTTTCCCTGCTTTTTCCTTCAAACCAAACACAGCCTTAGGAAACTCATTTTCCTCTCCTTTCTCACAAGTGGTTTCTTTGTTTTTAAGTTTTTGGGTCAATTGCTATATCCTGAATATTTAGGAAACTACTTATACGTACCTAACTTTCAAATCATTCGTGACTGTCCCTTCTATTGTCTCTTATTGATACAAAATGTTAAATTAAGACATTTTTCTACTTTCAATGGAAATTGTGGCTCTGATTTAATTTAGAAAACCAATCGTGAATAAGGCAGGCAACAAAAGTGTGGAGTGCTCTAAGAGAAACCAGATGAGAACATAGCAGTGACGGGCTGTAATAGGTTTGGTTTCAGACATGGCTGTAACAAAGCGGAGATGAAGACCTCACAAGTAGATGACCAGTGGTGATTGCAGCTTAGATATAGAAACAGGAACCACCCTTGCATCAGACCTGTCAATCAGAAAACCTCCCTTCCTCTTGAAAAATGGAATACCCAAGATCCAGATTAAACATTGCCTGGAAGAGATTTGAGGGAGGGGAGCTAAACTCCCTTAGGAGCGAAATTAGAGGATGATGACAAAACTTTGGTCACTACTCAGTACTATACTCTTCAAAATCGCTATCATTTTTGTAACTAGGAAGAGAAGGGATGATTTGAGATCTTGTATACAACAAATGGATGAAGGAGCAGAGAGACTAAGGAGGGAAGAGCCAAGGTGTTGCTGGCCTCTGCCCTTGGCTCTCTTGGTCTTGGGTGTCTCTTACTTGGCTGCTAACCGAAATTAAGTGGGTCCATTATTGTTATGAAAATACCATCGCGAAGAGAAGAAGAAGAAAATGTATATTTTAAATATTTAATGAACAGTTAAGGAGATATTTTGTCTTTTACAACTTATCTGTTAGACTAAACCTTTGAAAGGTCAACAAGGTATATATAAGTAGGTTTTAGAAGTTTAAGGTATATTTAAGTAGTTTCCTAAATATACATAGTATACATAAGTAATTAACCCTAAATTTTTACTCTCTCCCCTTGCCCGGTTAGATCTTGTTCTTTTCCTTTTAACTCTTATCTCTTAAGAATAATCCTTTAACTTTAAGAGAAAAATGGATGTTTGTTTCCTCTTATCTCTTATTTCTTAGGCTATGTTTGGTTTGAAGGAAAAGGCAAGGAAAGAAAGGGAAAGACAAGGAAACCAGTACAAGGTTGTAAAGGTTTCCCTACCTTTCCTTACATTTTCCTTCAAACCAAACATAGCCTTAAAGTGCAATCATACAACTTTTAATTTTTCAATGATACCCTCAAAATGACAAACAAAAGCTCTCATATACGGGGTCAAAATGAATATTGATAATTTTCAGAATTCAAAACAACATTCTCTCATTCAGAGTTCAGTGGAAAGAAAAATTCACCAATACCAATATACCTCTTAATGTAATTATTAGGCTTTCAAATGTTAGACTTTGAGCAAACGAACAAACCCTTAATGTTTATAACCTTCTCTCTCCCCCATTAAATCCTCTCTCCTCTTTGAATCGTTCTTAACTCTTAACTCCCTCTAATAAAGTAGGGTTACCTAACCTTAGATTCGGGTTGGGCCAAAACCAATGCCAAATCCCATGCTAACCCCACATAAATTAAACCCAACACAACTTGAAATGGGCTTGGGTGAGTTGTTCAGGTTTGAAAGTTTCCTCACTTGTATTTTATACCTGATATGTATCCAACAAGTCATGTGTTGTATAGCTGGATACAGTTTGACATGTATGGATACAAAAGCATATCAATGCCTAGTTTGACTAAACTGTATATTGGTCACTTTTGGATTATTTTTGAACTTTAATAAAAAAAATTATAATTATAAAAACTCAAATAGAATTATTATTATAAAAATTAAAAAAAAAAAATTAATATTTAATTTTTCTCAAATTTAATAAAAAATCAAAAGTTATAAAAAAAAATTATTTATATTTTATTTTACAATTAAGTGCTAAAAATGAAAACATACTTATTATCTAAAGTTAGAATTATTATTTATATAAAAATACTAAATAAATAAAATTTGAAAATTATAATTACAAAAATTGAAATAGAGTGATAATTATTGAATGATGCCTACATGTTCTAAAGTCCCGGTATTATTGATTGTAATGCTTCCCTTCATATAACCTATTAAAGTGCTTTTCTCATGTATTTATATGTTATTGATGTATGTTGTGTATTTTGAATGAATTTCCCTTAGGTGGCAGTGGAGAAGGGCATTGATGCTGGGAAGTGGAGAAACACGGGAAGGATCATGAATTGCAACCAGAAAAGATGTTTCCGAACTGATGGACTGTTTGATTTACCGTTCAATCTGTAAGTGTATGTTTCTGTTTCAACTTTCAAGCCGAAGGGAGGACTTTTATGTCCTGATCGCTTAATTTGTTACTTGATTCTTGTCACTGAATTTCAAAATCACTGCAGCGTGTTCATGATATTATCTACCTCCGATATCGATCCTTTCTACAATTCCACGCACCCAGCCAAGACCTTTCAACTGACCGGTCTACAAAATTACTTTGATGTTCTTCGTCCACTACTCACTGGACTAGTTTTTTTTTTTTAAAGAGAAGTGTCTTTGCGCTTATTTATTTAATTCAACACAAAATTACATTCAGAATTCAGAATTCAGAATTTAGAATTTAACAAAGAGTAATATCTAAGTCTTGTACTTTGGGGGTAGTGGCACTTATTCAGTCCTGATCACCTGCCAGCAAAACACGTTCCAACCTCTCTACCTATATGATCTTACACTGCACATCTCATACATGATGGGTCCCACTTTTATGGTGGGTCCCAGTCTCATGGTGAGATGCGTGGTGTCAGACCATGTTGGTAGAGGCTTAGAACATGTTTTGTTGGTAGGAGATTCCAATTCATGGCACTTAGCTTTTTGAACTTTCATTTCCAACAAAGACCCCCTGAATTTTCAGATTCTAATACTTCCCCTTTTATTCTTTCTAGGATTAGCTGAACGCTTTAGCTCTTCATAGGATGTGGAACCAATAATAATACTGCACACCAGTCATAAAATACATGGGGTCCACAATTATTCAACTCATTGGTTTCATTCAATTAATCCAAATTCTGTTCTTTATTGGGTTGATGGTGATACTAAAATTACCAAATTACCTATATGAATTTCGATGTTTCGATAACACCAAATATCAAGATGACGAAAATAGCTTTTGAGGGAAACCTTTCGTCCTGAAACTATTATAAAATCGATGGAGACTCTCAATGTCAAAAACTTTTACTCCATTTTTGTTTTTCTTTTTTTTTCCTAGAAATAGGTGGAGACTATCAAAAGCTTGTACTTTATTTTTTGTTTTTGTAAAAATTGGTGGACTGTGTCAAAAACTTTCACTAAGAGGGAATTCGTTTCTTGGATTTTGAGGGGGGAGTTGGTCAATGGATTTTGGTTCCCATTAACCAATAAATTCATGTCCTTTTTTCATATTTATGTAAAGACTAGTGAAAATTTATTTTACTGTGAGTGACTGATACCAATCTCTAAATAACTTTCCCACCTACCAACACTTTGATGGGACAAAAATACCATTTTTAATAATAGATTTTTATAATTAAAATGATCATTATCTTATTTACTTGAAAAATAAAAGAACATGGGTAATACTTACTAGGATAATAAATTACCAAAAAGCGAACGAGCCTAAGTGTCAATGATAACACAAAATATCAAAATGATGAAAATAGTCATTCTCAAGCCGCTGGCTTAACTATACTTCCAATGTGATCCTGTGAAACCCTTTCTTCCGAAACTGTTGTAGAAATAAAAAGAAAGAATAAAAATCAGTGGAGATCAGTGGCAAACACTTCTATTACATTCTTGGATTTTTTCTAGAAATTCCTCATCTTTCAAGGTTAAATTTTTTTTTTTTTTTGAAATTCATGGCAAATCTTGTTTATGAAATGATTCTCTCCAGGTTTGTCTATGAAACAGAGCATTGTATCTGCGATAACCAAATGAAACCTTCAATTTATATCTATGAAGAAAAAAAAAAAAACCTCTATCATTTCATTTAAATACTGAAAACAGCCATAAATCTGTAAGGATCTATTGAAAGTTGAAACAAGCAAAAAAACTTTAATATTATATTTAAAAAACTGTCGAATAATAAGTTGTTGAAATAAATAAAAAATGGTAATTTAAAAATCTAAAAAATTTTAAAGAGTTGAATGGATTGTTTTTTTGTAATTGACAGAATTGCAACGGAGGGGATATTTGTTGGAAAGTGCAATTTGAAGGTGTCTATTGTCACGAATAAAAGCTAACGGCAATAATTATCACTGACCCTTTAGTACGGTGGATAGAATGCCTTCGTATCCTGAAAGACAAATGGAGTAATGGAGTTCAGGTCTGCATATCTGAACTGTGTTATTGAGCATTCAAACACTTATGAATGCTCCAAAACTGCATCATCATCTTTCCGAGAATATTGAAACAGCAAACGAGTGGATTCGTCTTGTATGCAAGTGGTTAGAGATGGCAATTTCACCCGTCGCTGTGGAGCCCCGCCCCGCTCCACCCCGATCGGGGTGGGCTTTTTGACCATTGATCGAGGTTTGGGTGGGTTTGGGAAAAACTCGAAACTCTGAGATTGGGGATGGGGCGAGAACAGTATTTGTCCATCCGCTCCCATTATATTATAAAACATAATATATATATATATATATATATATATATATAATTTTAATATATGCTAATATATGTATTCTATTATATGACAATATCATATATTATATTATACTATATTATATGTTTTTGAGAAATAAAATACTATATTATATTACATAATACAAAAATAGTTTTAGGTAGGTTTTAAAAAATAAATAATTAAATAAATAAGTATACAAGAAAGAATGATTGGGGCAGGGTAGGGCAAAGTCGGGGATCCCTTATCCCTATCCCATTTTTAGCCCCGTTAGGGATAGGGGCAAGGATGGGGTAGGGAATTTGAATTTGGAGTCAAGTACGAGGTAGGCAAAACCCGGCCCCACCCCGCCTATTGCCATTCCTACAAGTGGTGCTTGATGTAATAAAAGCAATGTTTTAAAAAATGACTCAGAATCAGAGCTGTTCTGGCCACCGATTTTCAGGTTGATGGTTCGACTGTCTAATTCAAATGGATGACTTGTTCTAACAAAAAATAAAATAAAATAAAAAATGCCCAAAAACCGTTGAATGGGTCAATGGTTCACCTGCCTAGGTCAACAGATTGTTGACCGATTCAACGGTTTTTGGCCAGGGACTAGGTTTGGGGTGAAATAGAACCAATTGCTTAGATGGTTCTCGAGCTATACAGTTTGACCGTCTAGGTCAATGGCAGTTTGAAAACATTGAATAAAAGCATTCTCTGACATGTAAGCTAACAGAATGCTAACGGTGGGTGCAATGCATTCGAATTCAAAAGCTCAAGAGTCTTTGTCACAAAACAAAGTTCGGGACTAAAAATCTACTCCAAAGTAAAGAGTGTTAATTAGGGCTATTCTTGGGTTGGGTTGGTTTTGTTGGAGTCTTTTGGCCAACCGAACTAACCTGGTCGGTTTGACAAATAGAGAACCGAAACCCAAAGACCCAAACTTGAAGGGTGGGTTGCTCAGTTTGAGTTAGAGAGAGAGAAAGTGATTAACATGTAATGTTTGAGAAAGCAAAACGCAAACCAGATATGAGAACTAGGGGTGAGCACAATAAAACAAAAAAACCGAACCAAAATTTTGATTTCAATTCAATCGGTTTGGCTTTTTTGGTTGTTCGGTTCGGTTCGATTCGATTCAATTTTTTTATTCGGTTTGGATTACCATGTTTGCTAAATCGGATAACCGAATTAATCGATTAAGTTTTATAATTAGATATTATTAAAATTATTCATATTATAATTTATTATTTTATATTAATATTTAATAAATTAATAAATAATAAATATACTTATAAATATAGATCAAACTTTGAATTGGAAGACCTGAGACGTATTTGGCTATATGCCAAATTTCCTTATTAAGCAATAACGTAAAAGACTCAAACTAAAACTCTAAAAGTTTCTAAACTATAATCTAAATTTCTAAAATCTAAACATAACTAGTAATTTTGTTTAGTCATGAAAACAGTGGAAAACAAAATAGGAAAGACTTCGACTCTTCCTCTTCTTCCTTCCACACTCCACGTCCTGACGTCCACAGTCCACAGAGTTGGCTTCGGGCCTTCAACAGTTCGGTGTTTACAGAGTACAAAGACTCCAGAGTCCAGACTCCATAGCAGTTTAGCAGAGACCACACTACCACAGTCTACAGGCACAGACCAGATCGCCAGTTCAATTCTTCTTCTCCATGGCTCACCGGCGCCAGGTAACTCCGAAATCATCTTCTTCTTCTTCTTCTCCAAAAGTCCAGAGACCATAGTCCTAGCCTCCTAGGCACTTAGGCAGTTTGTGTTCTCCATCGAGTCTCGACTTCTTCTTCTTCTCCAAAAATCCAGAGTCCCAGCCTCCCAGGCACTCAGGCAGTCTATGTTGTGTTGACTCTGTCTGGTGTCTTCAGTCATTCTTGATTCTTCTTCTTCTTCTTCTTCTGATAGAACACAGAGTCACAGACTGACTGAGAAGACCTGAACACTTTTGAAAATTTCTGTCAGTTTTTGCAATTTTCGGTTTTAATCGAAAAAACCGAATTAACCAAAAAAAAATTCGGTTTAACCTAAATTCGATTTCGGTTCGGTTGCCACTTTTCATAGTTCGGTTTCTGAAAATTCGGTTTATTTGATTTGGTTTTAAACCAAACAAATCGTTTGTTCACCCCTAATGAGAACAACAGTCTGAAAAATTTCAAACCGTTTAGTCATTTATAGTTTGATTCTTGACAGTTCATACCACACTGTGTTTGAAGGAGAGAGTAGAGAGAACTAAGGAGACGAAACGTTGTAGACTTGCAGTGGTTCCAATTCCATTCCTTCACGCCTTGACATTCACATTGCATGTTTTAAAATCAAACTTGTAAAACTATAAATATTTAATAGTTTATAGTATAATAAGTTGAAATCCAGAGTAAATAATTTTTTTTCTCCCATTTTTCCACGTTTTCTTTAATGGTATATAATTTTCCAACTCCGAAGTCCAATTTTGATGATATACATATACAAGGTTCAAAGTATCGGCCTGTATTGGTACTTTTTTTAAGGTTTTATTTATTTTTTTACGAAACAGATTCAGAAAGATCAGTTTAAAGCCCGGCTATCATCTGAACCAGTGTCTGACCCGATACAACCCCTGAAAGGACGTATTAGGAAACCATCGACACGAACCCGTATCGATACTTTGAACCTTATACTAATATTGGATAGCAGAAATAACAACAATCCTTCACATCAGCCACTCATGACGGGTAGTTACTAAAAGTAAGGAGGGGTCCTGGCTGAAGTTTTTTTGCTCATTGAGCAATCGCATGGGCCGGAGTAGTCTTGGATTGGAGTGCCCGAATCACATTGTAGGAATCGGAGCAGATAAGAATAGGCCCTGTAGATATCCGCTTCACAAACTGGACTCTTTGATGTATTTATTCCAAGAGGTTCAACTTCCTCCACTACTGATCCCCGGCTTATGAGACTTTACACCCACTATACCTAATTACCCATACAAGGAGTTAGAAAGGCAGATAATAGCACCCCGGCTTGGATAGTTGGGACTGGGTGCCACTCACATGATATGACAACGGGTTTTTGTTTCCACAAACCAAGGGCAGAAAAGGATAAAATCTTCCAAAAACCCATAATTTCACCTCTTTTAAAAGCGTTTTCTACGTAAAGGGAAGAATCGAAACTCTCTTTACCTTTCAACTTGGACCTAATCTTAGATTAGATGAGGAGGACCACGAGGCTGAACCATTTGGAGAAACAATCCCAACAAAATAGTTTTAACATAATTCCCGCAATTGACGAATTACTTTCTTCAGCCTTCATTTTATCTAAATAATTATGTAAATCAGTCACCAACAGAATGCAAGTGCGAGTTATCTTTTAACAGTCAAGAAGGTTCTAGACCTCACGTCAGACCCAACAGCCCCTCAAAGCAAAGGTCATTTGTTTGATTCGATCTGCTTGAAAGAAAGCTTAAGCATCCAAATTATACAACTTCTATGTTAAGGTGACAAAATACAGAATACAGACTGGTTTTCCACTGTCCCATCTCAGGCTACTGACCACAAATAGCCCTCATGAGTCCACTTCTACAAAAAGGCTAGCCTGAGGATGCAATCCTGCTTCGTTCAATGACAAAGAGTGCTTCTCTGGGCCATAGACAACCCTCGGAAAGTTGGAGACCAGGCTGTACTTCTCTGCATTCAGGCAATCCAAAGAATCAACATAATCATAGAGGGACTGGATTGTATCTGTATTATGGAATCTCCTTTCCTTGCGTTCTCCAGTCGGAAATCTTACAAGAACCTGTCCAAAGGGAAACAAAACACCTAAATTAGCTTTCATCATCAAATGAGGAAAGAAAAAAAAAAGGATGTCATGGCACAGATTCATTAGGGTCTATATATGAGGTATACCGTATATCTTTGCCTAGTTCACTCAATTCTATGATTTCACCAAAATAAAATCAACTTTTCTATGGGTACTGTACTGTGACTGCGGCTACACTACTTCATGAATTTTCTTATTGCATCCTATTCTAATATTCATTTAAAAGTACCAAGAAAAACACAGAATTATCTCCCAGTAGTTAGAACCCAAATGTATAAAGTCTGAACCATTAGCAAAGCACAAAGTAGGAATAGATTAAAGAAGTGCAACAAAATAATACAAACAATAAATTAACGGTTCATTTGTCATGAACTAAAAAGAAGTCTGGAACCTTGTGGCTGCAAAACATTATCACTGATCTCCATCTAGCTCAGCTCTACTAAGCTGAACAAAGCACATCCTCTTCATCTCTCCTCATTATGGATATAGCAACACATAAAACATTTTTTTGTACCATAGCTAAGCCCAAATAAAAGCCTCATCTCCAACAGCAGCAGATAAATCAATCCGGATGACAAACAAGACTACACGTTTTTATGTCAGTAAATTCACGATCTCTGAAGACAGTACACTAGAATGCAAAGACTAGTTCATCACCAACGAATAACCAAAAAAAAAAGGAAAAGAAAATGTCCAGAAGCACTGGAAAACTACATGATGTTTGAAATATTAAAAAACCTTTTTATTTAAATGAACCTACACACATTTAATTGCTTTTTTTGAACATAGATACAGGTCATAAAAAAACTTATATTTTCTCAAACGAATGTTCACACACCTTAAAAGCTAAAAGAAAACTAATTCTCAAAGGCACAACATTTTTTAAGCAACTTCTCCACATGAGCAGTATTAAAGAATGCAATTGGCAGAAAAACCTCATTTTGTAAACAAGCACAAAACTTGACCTTTGGCTGAAACCTAATGATAATAATAATGATGATGATGATGATGGTAACAACAACAACAACAACAATAATAACTCAAATTGAGAAGCATTACTTGTGTGACATTAGGTCCTTTTTCAGGTTCAACACCCAATGACATAGCTTTCTCCTGGCGCCTTCTAATTAGTGCAGCTTCTCTCTCAGCAGCCTCACGAGCTGCTCTTTCCCGTGCTTCCTCTTCCTCCTTGCGCTTTCTCTCAGCCTCAGCAGCTTCTCTCTCTAACCGCTCTTGCTCTTCTTTTCTCTGGCGTTCCCTAGCCTAACACAGCAGAAAAGCAAATTTCAGAAACAGAAAAATAAGTTTCAAAATTGCATAGGGTCCTAATATAGATATAATCACAGATTCATGGTCCATGTGAAAGCACCATTTCTACTTGTCATGCATAATTGTCAAGGCATCACCTAGTGGATGCCTAGATGACATGACACCTTTGGTTGAGTTGAGTGCCTCGCTTAAACACACTGGTTTATATATTAAAAAAAGGTGCTTGTTTAGGTAACAGAAATCACTAGGTGGCCATCATTACTGTGTGTGCTAACGTCTTACCATATATCATACACCATCCATGCTTTGTTCAAGGATTTTACCATTAAAACATGCAAGATCAAAGGATTTCAAGAAAAGAAAAAAGAAGAGAACTATAAAGAGTTTTATCCTTTTTAAAGTCACTTGTCTGTTTTTTCTGGCCAACTGGAGTAAGATTCTTATTCTCAAAGTGGCGAGGCCAGAATGGCCATTCCCTCAAATGGAGGAATGCCATTCCACCAGGAATGGGAATCAGAATTCCATTCTGCCCAATCAAACAGCTGGAAAGGAATGGGCAATTTGGATTCCAATTCCAGACCCCTACTCCCACAAATCAAATAGGCCCTAAATTTTTATTAGTATAAAAGTATAGCCTTATGTAGTTGCTAAAAATTTTGGCATGCAATTGCTCTATTAAATACTTCTTATGTCAGTGCTATGTCTGAAAATTTAAAATTAATTGATTTAAAATAACATTGTCCTTTAGATAAAACATTGCTATACCTTGAGAGGAAAATTAAAGTTTCTTGTAAAGAGAATTTCTACTTTTTCAATTTATATGCATGTTGATTGGTACATAAAATTAGGGAAGTAACCTATGATTTAGTTTTATCTTCATAAAATTCTATTGCCTAGGTGACTACGTACTCTACTGTCACCTATATGCCTTGATAACTTTGCTTTTATGTTTCCATTAAAATAAGAACAGTGTCAACCCTGACAACCAGTCAGATGATATAAGACAGCAAATAAAAACCAGAACAGTAAAGTAACATACTTGATCAGCTTCAAGTGCAGCCCTGTAAGCAGCATCTTGCTCCTCCCTCAAACGCATGTTATTCCTCCTCTCTTCTGCTTCAAGCCTGGCTGCTACAAGAACAGGCGCACTCTCTTCAACTACTCTCTGAAGGATTGTGAGCATTTGTTCAGGAGACCTTGGACCCTCGATCTGTGATCACGAGTCAGGTAGGGATATAAGAAGATTCAGTTGAAAATTCAATGACCATATAAATAGAAAAACGAGAGATATATATTCACATTGCAGGTATCAATCAGGAGATGAAACAAACATGCAATTAGCAAAATAGTACAATAAACTTTGAAAATTATTACATTTAAAGAGAACTTTTGGTAATCCAAGCAATGATCAATTTAATACAATCTACTGATTAAAATACCCTTTAATATCTTCTTGAAATCTACAGCAGAAGCTGCATTTTATTATCAGTAACAAAATTTCTTAATTACTAATAATATGGTTAGAATAAAAAATTTTACTTCTGTGGTTCTTGTGAGTTTTACAGATGGGAACACACACTACCAAAAGTACTTATTATACCCTAAGGTGCTAAATAGTTGGGCTGAACTAAAGGCCCATATGATTCAGGCCATTTAATAAAATAATGGACCAGTTATTTAAGCTCTTTTTACAACCCATACAATGTCTTTAAATCAGGATTTGGACGACACTTAAGTGGGACAACTAAAAAGGCCATTATCCAATGTTGGTTTGGTCCAGCCATCTGGAATCTTGGAAGGGATAGACTTGATACAGACAAATCTTTGGCATTTTTTGCACAAACTGGCCATTTATGTCAAACCCTGAATGGTCGTACTCAAAATAATCAACTAAATTATTGAGTTAAGTATCTTGTATGGAGATTTCTTCAAAATATTTTCAATAACAAATATACAGATATTACATTATAGAGCTAGCCCATTGCTACTCTCTCCAACAGCTCCACACAAAATCAGACATACAAGCAGTACCTTGTCTCATTCAAAAGGATATGCCCCCTACATCAATTCTTGTCTATGAACTCCCTTCCCTGCAGTTTCTCTTCAGCCAGCTAATGACTGATTTTGAGTTTCCTTCCACAATCAGATTTCTGTTGCCATTGAATTAACCAGTCTTAATTCTTCAACTAGGGGTGCAACTCGGGTTGGTCCACGTTAACATTTTACACTGCTTCTTTCTCAGGATTTGGCTGGGCCCATTCAAATTTTGACAAAAGCTGAACCCAGTGATTTAAAAGGTGCACCTAGGCACACGAGCGAGGTGCATTTTAGTGTATGCGCCTCACCTAGGTCCTAGACGCAGCGGTTTCAAAAGGCGCATGCCTGGTGCGCCTTTTTAAATTTTTACGCTTTTTTGCTTTTTTTGAACCTAGCAGTTGGGCCCGGGGCTCCGTCCCCAAACCCCTGACCACGCCCCTCGAGGCAAGCACAAACAAGTCCATGTTTGGGTCTTAAATTCTTAATCGAGATTTTAAGACCCTAACATGGACTTGTTTAGGCTTGCTTCAAGGGGCTTGGTACAAAGGCAGCTCGTAGAATCAGGAATGCAATATGTTTTATAGATCACATTAGCTACTTGAAGTAATGCAACTGAGACTGCGTTTGTTTCCAATGCAAACGCAAATATGTATCCTGCATATTTGCCTTCATCTTGGTTCATGAATGCAAAGTTGGTTCACAGCTTAGTCCGTTTTTTGTACTCTTCTCGTTTGTTTGGAGTTGAGGTAAATGTGCGTACAAATTTGCTGACATTTGGTTGACATCGATGCAATCTATGAGAGCAAACACAAATGCTCTAACTACCTACTCTCCACTATGTTGAACTTTCGGTCAAATAACCATCAGACCAGCTTTGATGAAATCTGAACCTTCCATTCTAACCAAGATCACATCATAAGAGGATCGTGTGCTCCTTTTCGGAACTCCTCTTCTCTCTTTCTTCTTCTTATTCTTCTTCCTTCCTCTTTGATCAATCAATCCGGTGCACTCTCTCTCTCTCTCTTTGAATGTTAAATAAATGGAAGCTAGGAGCCTGGGACTCTAGTGTTATTCCAGCCTAGGACCCGCAAAACACTGCATTTCTTTCTTCAATGACTCGATCTGGCTTACATTTAATCGGTGCCTACCGTTTTCATTGTTGTTGCTGATGGCGTTTGATCAAAGCTCCACCCAGAAAGGCCTCCGACAGTTAGATGTTGCTCGGATGGTCACCGAAGAGACACGTGATGCCGTTGGTTTGGCGACAGGGAGGAACACCGGGGGATTTCTCCCTAATTCGGCTCGTGATGTTGGCAGTCCTAGGTCTAGACAACCATTGTATTATGCAGCGACAGTTCCCGATATTGGGTATGTGGGGTTAGGGTTTGCGAATCCGATGATGGCTTGGTGTTCTCGTCCGCTTGTGCTGATTGGCATCGCTGGTGGTGTGCCTGTTGGGTATACTGAATTTCCAAATGTTGGAAACCGGGTTGGAGGTAATGGGGCCAATCGGGCGAGCAATGAGGGTGGTGAAGAATCGGTGTCGAGGAAGAAAGTTAAGTTTTTATGCAGTTTCGGAGGTAAGATTTTGCCGAGACCAAGTGATGGGATGTTGAGATATGTCGGAGGTCAGACTGGGATAATTGGCATGAAGAGAGATATATGTTTTCAAGAACTAGTGCAGAAGATGACCGACATCTATGGCCAATCCGTGCATATCAAAACACAAGAGGAGATGAACATCTCACCCCCATCTCCGACCAGCGACAACCATGCCATGGTCGGAGATGGGGTGAGAAAGTTATCGTTGGGGGGGCAGAATGCAGCAGATCTCCTCTCACTCGAACGGCTATTTTCGTTCGGTCAAACAACAGCACAAACATATACCCTATTTACATCATCAGTCAGCGAGAGCAAGTTTGCATCTAAAAAATCGATGCAGTAATGAACTCTGGAAACGACATAAAGCTGTCAGAAAAAACAATTTTACACTCTTAATCGATGCAGTTATGTATGCCAAACACACGCTCACAAACGTGAACCGGGGTACATAAATACCCCAGTTTGGCGTTTGTATCACAAACAAATGCAGCCTGAGGAAAAAAAGAGATTGTGGGTTTTACATTCTTGAAAATGTTTTATATGTCTATTTATTTTTAAATTTTCATTTGAATATGCTTTACATGTTACGTTTATGTATTTTAATTTGACAATAGGTTTTCTAAAACAATTATTTTAAAATAAAGTTTATATTTTTTAATAATATTATGTTTAATATTTTTTGAATTTTTTGACTTTTTTTTGGCATTTTTGTATTTTTGCACCTTGCTTCAAAAAGGTGCACGCCTCACCTTGCGCCTTGGGCACAAATTGCCCTTGACGCTTTTAAAACACTAGCCAAACCTGAGCCTACCCAAGTTGGCACCCCTACCTTGGATTAGCACTATGAGTTCCACTTTAATTGAGTTTCCTTCTCCTGTTGGGCCTCAATGAGCCACCAAGTTATGTCCTTCATGATTTCTGATAGCAACCCTCCCCCCCCCCATGACTGTCAAGGATTTTCAAGCTGCTTGTTGCTTTAAAATGTTATACGATAAGGGTGACCAAACTAGTGTGTACCTACCCCTTTTTTTTAACATGTTATACGATAAGGGCGACCAAACTAGTGTGTACCTACCCCTTTTTTATCAAGTGTACCTACCCCTTCTCATGAACATTAAAGCTACTATGGACCAATCCCTAAGGAAAACACCAGTATAGAAAAAATGAATACTCCTTTCTGGTCTTCACCCATGACTAGACCTGTTCACGGGTCAGGTTTGAGTCGGGCTTTCTCTGTATTAACAAAACACATTCAGGCCCGAGCCTGAGCCAGGCCCGACCATCAGGCCTAGGTCTTGAGCCCAAGCCTGCCCGTCATATAAAGCCCAAACCCTGGCCAGAAAATTGGGAAAAAGATTTTTCTTTTTTTATTCAATAAAAAACTATTTTGTTTATATTAAAAGACCTCAAAAGCCAAAAATAATTAAAGATCTCACTATGACTTGAAAAAAGAGAAGAGGAACAATTGAACAAAGAAAAAAATATTATATAAATTTTTTAGTATATATAATATTCTTTGTTATATAATATATTATCAAGTCAAGCTAAGGCTTGGGCCAGAAAGCCCGAGCTCAACCCGAAAGAAAGTTGGTCTTGGTGTTTTGAGATAGAGACCGAAACCGCATGCCTAAATTCATGTCCAAGCCCAACTTAGAACAGGCCGGGCCATGCCAACTAAGGGTGTCAATGGACCGATCAATTTGAACAGATTAGACAGACCAACAAGACATTGGATTGGATTGGATTGGGTTGGATTAAGCCAATATCTGGTCCATTGATATAAGATAAGAATATATGTGTCAATGGATCGGATTTGGGTAGAAACCAATCTAAATCAAAATGAATTTAAACAGATTGGATGATCCAGACATTGAATTGGACCGGTCCAAATTGGTCCAAAACATTCATTGGATTGGATTGGACCCGGTCCATTTATAATGGACTCACATTGGACTGGATCGGATTGGACCAAATCCAATCCAATTGACACCCGCCAACCTGTCGGGCTACCCGACCCATGAACAATTCTACCCATGACCCAATGAATGATTCTAATTCTTATCAAGCCTATTATATCCTCCACTGATTGAGATTGGTTAGGGTTTTGTTGTTTTGTTCTTCCCATGATGTCCATGATAGAATTGTTGCACTTGTGTAAAAAAAGGGCAGCCCAATGCCTAGTGCATGAGGCTCCCACCAATGTGGGGTTTGGGGAGGGACAGATGTACACAGCCTTACCCCTACACATACAAAGGCTATTTCCAAGATTTGAACCCTACGTAACCTAATTCACAATGAAGTAACCCAACCATTGCGCCAAGGCCCACCCTCAATTGTTGCACTTGTGTATCTCCATGAAACCTTTCCCCTCTTTTTCCTATAGGAGAAAAAGGATGGCTAAAACAATGTATGTCTATGCCTCTAGTGCTAATGTAACACTTCCCAATAAAAAGTAGGGTCGGGCCCAACTAAATTGTTTTGACCAGAACTTAATTGTGGTTTTGGTATTAGAGGTAGGGGCCTTAATGAAGGAGCATAGTAAAACTGACCAAGGTGATCGACATCATGGTGAGCAACCGCCTGAAACAACCTAAAACCAATGTTTTAAAAAACGACCCAAAAACGGAACCATTTTTCCTTCCGGGTCATAGGTTAGCAATTCGACCGTCTGGATCAAACCGATTAACCTGTGATAAAATAAATGTAAATAAAAAATAAATAAAAGCACAATGGATTTATCTCTAGTACGCTTATAATATAAGTCGCAAGAAAAAAAAAGTAAAATTTGTTTAAACTTGCTAACGAGTTCACATCAGTGCCCCACAATGCCCCACAACACATCTCGACCTTGTATTGGGAACATCTCCCGATGATAGTACGGAAGATGATGAGACATCATCGGGAGATGTTCCCAATACAAGATCAGGATGTGTTGTGGGGCATTGTGGGGCGTTGATGTGACTAATTGAAAATAACCCAATAAACAATTCGTTTATTCAACACATGACGCAGCAGTTTTCACGAAGACACAACAGTTTAAAGAATTGATCGTATGATCTTTGAATAAATAACTCTTTAAATTAGTTAAAAAGTTGTAAAATGAACAATGGATTTACCATATTTCGAGTCGTGGGATTTTTCACCATACTTTCTTATCTTTTGTCATTTGTCATTTCAGTATTTTATCAGAAAGAGGAAGTGATTGAGTGTTTTTAACTTGCGAACCGTTGTCTGGGTCGAACAATTTGACAGTTCAAACAGCCAGATCAACAGTTTATTGATTTTTCAATGGTTTTCTTATAACTCCAGGTTAGGAGGTAAACGGAATTGGGTTAGTGACCAGCTTCCGGATTGAACGGTTCAACCATCCAGGTCAACGGCGGTTTAAAAATAGTGCCTAAAACCCAAAACCCATTGATATGAGTGCATCGGTACCCCAAAGGTATGATGTGATACACCCGACATTGAGCATATTGTATTGATACTTTGAACCTTGATCCACAATTTAACTTTTATCCACCCAATTGGATCCAAAAAATAAACCATATAAGGACTCAACAAGTCAAGACCATCTAATACTTCAATCTCCATGATCCTTAAGACCTCTTTGAACCTAAAATCCCACAAAGCTGAGGAGCCATCATATGATGAATAATGAATTTTAGGAAAGAATCAAGAAGAAAATGAATCACTTTCCAAGACAGAAGCCAGTGTTGCTCATGATGCCAGTGTTGTGTCCAGTGCCCCATCCGTTAAACTGTTCTCCATAGATGCTTTTTATCAGCATGCCGCAATTTGTGAAAATCTAGAGGATATTCCCACAACCATTCCCCAAGTAACAAGGTGTTCCTTAATCTCAATTTATCTAATTCAAGACCACCCTCCCCCCTACTTTGATAGACACTACCCCAGTTAATGATGATTTTTTTTTAGAATCTCCTTGTTCCCATAGGAAATCCCTCGTGATTTTCTCCAAACATTTAGCCACTACAGAAGAAGTTGTGTTACAACTCACAACTGGAAATCTTACACTCATTTCAGATCAACTGATCAAAACCATAGAATAATGGATGAACAAGTTTTATGATGTTGCTATAACAATTTCCTCTTACTAACTGATGGTTGGCTCAGCTGGTAAGTTGTCTCGCTAGTTGCAGCAGAGACTTGGGATCAAATCTCGTTGCCACCAGGGTTGGGGGTTATGGAAATGGGAGACCAACTACCCCCCCCCCCAGTCAGTTGTGTAGCCCTATGAAGACAAAAACAAAAAACAATTCCTCTTAATGTAACCCTGGATGGTGTATGCCTTCCTAGTTAAATCCTCATGAATCAGGTCAGAGTAAAAAACCACTGCTTTGGAGTTTGGAGTAACTTATAGCCATAGAACGGGAAAGTAATAGTTTTGACCAGTTAGCTCAAAATGGTTCATGGTGTGTCAATAAAAATATATTGATCGTTTAAATAAGTCAAGATTTATTATAACAAAGTGAAACTTCCACCTAGATATTAAGTACTTAAGTTACATTAGATCCATGCTCACTAGCAAACTAACAATTCACTACCTACTGGAATTCCAAAAGATTCAGAAGATGCAGGTTATAGTTCAACATTGCAAAAGCTAAGCCACACCAACCAATGGCCATTAGTTCAACTGATTACCATACTTCTATTACCAATGGCTAATATAAGCAGTGAAGATGCAGAATTCCAAACAATTCCAAAGATGCAAGTAAGCAAGTTATAGTTCAACTTATTATCAATGGCCAATATAAGTGGTAAAGAGAAACTAGAGAAAATCCATGAGAAGTTTACAACTAGTCGACAGATCTGCAGTTAGTTAGTTGAATAGAAAGGTACAAGGGTCACTGACCCAAAACTAGCGTTAGAATCCTTCTTTGAGTGAGGTTACAAGGGGATCCTAATGTAAGGTAGTCTACAAACCTCTGTATGTATCTTAGTATATCCCATTTATAAGTTTCAATAAAATTTTGATTGGTACTGATTAAAAAAAAAAATTCTTTGAGTTCTAATAACAACTCATGAACAGATTTGCAATCAGTTGAACAAAATGCTGCAAAGGGTCATTGGCCAAAAGCTAGAGTTGAAATCCTTCTATGAGTGTTTGTATGGATCAGTTCTAGGTCTATCTTAGTTATAAAACAATAAGTGGTTTTAAGTTAGTTTACTAAATGAAATTGGAGTTTTGTAAAGGGAAATCTGAGCCCTTATGTTGAGTCTATAAATTTCTCTAGATCCTTCTTTCCCTTATTTTCCCACCACATTTCTCCTCCCTGTCCTACACCAAAAACCAATTATAATGTCTCTATGCTACAGAATTACAAAGATGCAAATATCTATTCGAGCAGAATCACTCTAACTTCTTGTGTCTAACATCTAATGTTCAAAATCTCTTTTCGGGAGGGGCAATATGATCAATCCAGGCTGCCCTTTTGGGGAATCCTTAGATTAGCTCATTAGCCATGCAAAGGGTGGCCCTATTCACAATCCTGAATCTTCTTGTTAGACTACTCTCCTAAGAAACCCAAACTGAAAACCAATCCAAAATAACTACTTCCAACTTCAAGATGAATTTCTTTTTCGCTATGCTGTTTGCCTGAAAGTGGAAAAATCTTGCATTGCCATCACCTTCCTTGTTCAACTTGCATCTAGCTTTGTGCCTCTAGCAAACCTCCTCTCTTTCTATAATTTCTTCTAACTCTTTCTTGAGGTTTCAACAAGTTCTTCTATCAAAATCAGTGATTTAAAAGGCGCTCCTAAGCACACAAATGAGGCGCATACCCTAAAATGTGCCTCATCTAGGTCCCAGGCACATTTTAGAGTATGCATTTCACCTAGGTCCCAAGCACAACACTTTCAAAAGGTGCATGTTTGGTGTACCTCGCACTTCATCCTAGGTACGGGCCTTTTGAAAATTTGCGCATTTTTTTCTGTTTTTCTATGCCCAACAGCTGGGTATGGGGGTCACAAAGATTGGTAAAACAATGTGAAGATGCATTAGAGCTGCAGCTCTATGGACAGGAAGAAATGCGAGGATTTTCCAAGAGAATGAGAGAAATATTCAGAATGTAAAGGACTGCATTTTGACCAGGACAATCCATTGGCTCAGATCCTTGAAATCCTTTAAAATATTCTCATTTGATGACATATGGAGGAATTGGAGAGTTGTGGCTAGTACTAGTACAAGGAAGAGCAGGGTACCAGCAGTATGGGTGCCTCCTCCTGAAGGCTTGACTAAGCTGAATTTTGATAGTAGCAGCCAAGGAAATCCAGGCCCTTCAGGAATAGGAGGGATGCTGAGAGAAAAAGACAGCAATATCTTAGCTTTATTCTCTGGCTCCGTGGGTATAGGAGACTCTATTAGAGCTGAACTTCTAGCAGCGGTCCAAGGTATTCAGATTGCAGATCAGTTAGGAGTTCAGAATTTGCTTATTGAAGGAGATTCCAAAGTTGTTGTGGGTTGGTTAAAGAATCCAGATTCAGTTATTTGGTGTTACAGGGACATTATGAGAAAAGTTAAGTGGTATTCAAGGAACATGATTGTCAATTCTCAGTGGGTGGGTAGAACAGCTAATGCCATAGCGGATGGGTTAGCTATATCAAGGGAACTTCTATTCTGGGCAGCTCTGTAATCTTTTTTTCTGAGCTATGTAATACTTTGTTGTTGGTAAGGAGAGGTACCAGCTTGTGCCTCTCCTCGGGCATCTGTTTTTGTATCATCATCTTATTATGTCTGAATAAATTACCATTTATTTATCAAAAAAAATAAACAGCTGGGGTTGGGGGCTCTATCTGGGATGGGCTGGATGTCTTTTGCTCACTCACCGAAGCTTTGAAAAACCCCTATCTGCTAATGTTGCTCATTCATTCATCCTAATAAAAGATATTTTTAAAAGACAATTAAAATTATAAAATCTTTTTTTATAGGGTTAAGAATTTTAAGACCCTAATATGCAAGTAGGGGTGGCCACGAGCCGAGCTTCTCACGAGCTATTCGAGCTCAGCTCGGCTTGGTTTAAACCGAGCTTCAAGCCGAGCTCGAGACTGATATATAGGCTCATTTGCTAATGGAGCCGAGCTCGAGCCCAGTGAAGATCGGCTCGTGAGGCTCGCAATCCTAGTATAATAAATAAATAATTTTTTATTGTATGCATACATATATACATGTACATATACATATAAATATATATAATAAATAATTTTTATAATTCTTATATTTTTGTACGTAAAATAAAAAAATATTTTTATATGTATACTTTTTATTTTTTAGACAAAAAACTTGGCTTGCAGTCAAGCTCGAGCCGAGCCGAGCTCAAACTTGCAAGCTTTGAACCAAGCCGAGCTCAAGCTCAAATCTCTAGCTCGAATCAAGTTTAAGCGAGCCGAGCTCGAATAGCCAAGTATTCAGCTCGGCTTGGCTCAAATCCACCCCTATATGCAAGGTGCCAACCAGCTGGTTGGTAAGGTCTCCTACTAGTCGTAGCGGAGACTTGGGATCACCCCCCTGCCCCCCGGTTGTGTAGCCCTTCAAAAGAAATAAAAAAAAAAATTAAGACACTAATATGGACTTTTTGGGCTTGCCTCGAGGGGCTTGGTACAAAGGTGGATCATAAAATCAACAATGCATAATGTTAGTTTAACATCACATTATCTATTTGAAGTAATGCAATTGGGGAGAAAACAAATAGATTGAAAGTTTTACATGCTTGAATATGTTTTATGTTTATGTATTTTAATTTGAGATAATAGGTTATTTCAAAACATTTATTTTAAAATTTAAGCTTATATTTTTAATTAATATTAGTTTAATATTTTTTTTGAATGTTTTGGCTTTTTATTTTTTTTTGCTTTTTTGTGCGCCTTGCTTCAAAAAGGGTATGTGCCTTGCCTTGCACCTCAGGCACATAATACCCCTTGCACCTTGAACTTTTAAAACACTGATCCAAATCAGATAGAACTTCCTCACCTTCTTTTACTGTTTGGAGCTTCTAGAAAAACTTAATAACCTTCCACTAGCTTGCACCTCTTCGTCCCACCAAGCCTTACTAATTACAAAAAACCAGGGTGATCTAACCACATATTTTCAAACCAGAAAGGTATAGGTCCCTGGTCCTCCACTAAAGGAATCACGAGAAATCCTTATGAGGCAATCATCTGAAATTGGTCTAGGCAGAGCATCGCATTCAACACCAGGCCAGTCCTCCTCTATCCGATTTTGAGCAAATAGAAGGGGATTGAAAATTGGTTCATGTGAACTTAGCATCCAATAAGGAAGTTTCTTTTAAACCACACTCACTAATGAAGTTGTTGAAGATTTGAAGTTCCTCATACTGGTGGAGATAGGGTTATTGGGATTGTTTGAATCTTTTGTAAATCTAATCACATTGAAATAACCACCAATAAGCAATGATCCCTCCCATAGACCTCTTATATCACCAAGTTCTTCCCAAAACGCTATACCTACTGGGCGCATATACATTGGTCAAAACCCAAACCATCCTCTTTTCCTTTTATCTTCACGGACAACGAGAATTGCCCCACAAGCTGCTCAGTGCATTCAAAAACATCATCTTTCCACAAAGTGATAATTTCACCCACCTTGGTAGAAAGCCCAATTAATGTTCCTTTAACTCCATATATTCCTAATCCACCTCCTGTCTGTCTGACAATTTTGTATCTTGGAGCAATACTACATCTGGCTTCTCTTTTTTCAACATGTTTTTGATTACTCTTCTTTTATTCCCATTTCCGAGGCCTCTCACATTCCACACTAATCTGTATATAGTTAAGCTTTCCGATGAAATAACTTTGCAATCATAGCGTTAAAAAAATTGTAAAGAAAAGAAAAAGGAAATTAGGATGCAAGCACCGGTACCTGCTGAAGTAATGCAATCCTCTGATTTGAAGCGGCCATAACCACTGCACAAAACGGGAATCTGGAAGCCTTCAAGCTGTTACTCATCTTAAAACCCTCACTCGCCCGGATACTCCCACCCCACGATACAAAATTCTCATTAATAAAGGATGCCACAAGTTCAGAGCACAAACTTTGCTCACAAAACGATGGTGTATCAGGGTGATCTGGTGAGTGCAAATACACAAACAACAGCTTGAATGCCTGGCGGGAACGCTGCAAGGCATCCATGAAGCCCTCGGTGACAAAATTGGGATGAGTCGTTCCGTAATTCCTCTCAAAGGCGGCTACAAAATCCAAAGCCTCGGAAGCGGCAGCCGAGAGGGAAACCAGAGGAGAGGATGCATCACCATTACGGGATGAACCCCAGCCCAGCAAGCCAAGGGAGTGAGAAAGAACGCCGCCGGCAACCCAGACACCAAGGCCGATGGCGCCAGAAATCAAGCTCAAACTGCCAGAAATGACGGAAAAGGGTAGAGTGATGAGCTTCCAAGCCAAACCGGGAGAAGCGGCGGGGGCGACATCTGCAACCGAATGTGACTCTTGCCGAGCCAATTCGGATCGTTCGACGCCTTCCCACGTATTGGAATTTGATTGACCTCTGCTACCGGCGTTGCTGTGATCGTTGGAGGGACTAGTGGTGGTGTCGTTATTAGTATGGTTACCGTTTGGGTTGTCAGAAGGAATGGAATCGGAGGCGGTGAAGGCGGAGATCGCGAGTTCGAGATCCCAACCATGAGCAGCGAGCATCTCCGTGCATAAATCGGGATCTTCAATGCCAGTAATTGCTTGAAAATAAGCTAATTTATCGACGAAATCCCCCATCTCTGCCTATCTCCCTGGAAGGTGCAGGGGGAGATCGAAGACGAAGGACTAGGGTTTTCTGTCGGTGGAGTTAAAGAGCCCAAATCCAAAACCAGACAGGGATTTTGGTCTTCTTCCTTGACACTTGACAAGTAATGTTTCGTAGACGAAATTGAAATTGGAAGTCGGAGAGACTCGGGGGAGATGATGACTCGCCGTCGTATCTCTCCCTGCTCCAAATCCAGTTTGAACGTTGTTCTTCTTTTCTCCGTTGCTTTGCTTTGCTTTGTTTATTATTTTATCGAAATGAATGAAATGTGTATATGTGTGAGAGAGAGAGAGAGACATATTGACAGGGACTAGCTAACAAATTCAATACTCAGGGAAAGGAAATGTGATTGCCCCAGGCCCCAGACTTTTTTTCAATAACATGTATCCGTTTACCCGAATCCGAATCGGGTTTGCTTTTCTTTTCTTATCGGACGTTCCCTTACCTATTTGATACGATAAAATTCTATACGTATCTTTCTAGTCCTACATATATAATTATTTTTTTATCCGACATTCCATAAGTATTGATAGAATAAAATTTTATGTGTGTCTTTCTGGTCATGCATATATATGTTATTGTATTGTATGATGTATCAGTGAATATGACTTGATATTCATTGATATAAAAGCATATCAGACCCTAATTTGATGGTATATTCAAATATTGATTTAAGATTTAATTTAAAAAAATTAATAAGAATTGAAAGTTACAAAATTAATTTATTTTATTTATCCTAAATGATTTATACATTATTTATATAAAAATTCTAAATAAATAAATTTTCTCAAAAAAAATTAATAAAAATTATAATTATAAAAACTGAACTAAATAATTTAAGAGTTCATTTTCCCCAACATTTTAATAGAAACTGAAAACTATAAAAATAATTTATTTTATCCACTTAAATGATTTATATGTTTTATTTTAAAATTATATGTAAAATAAAAATTGTATGTTAAAAATAAAGATATTTTTATTATTTTAAAAAACAGAGATTATTTATATGAAAATACTAAAAAAAAAATATTCCCAAAAATAATAAAAATTGAAAATTATAATAACTGAAATAAAGTGATAATTCTTGTATGATATGTACATCTTCCATAGTCCTCCCGGCATTCACAACATATTCATGTGATTTGTATGCATTTCTCTATCGCATCCAAGCATTTTTATATCTTTCATCTGTATTTATGTGTTTCTAAAATGTACCTGTGTCCATATCCGTATATGAGTTTTTTAATACAATATTCTATACCGATACTTTAATCCTTAATAACAATAACATGTTTAATATGCAAAAAGCCAAATAAATAGAGAGAGAGAGTAGGTATGTGACAATGGAAACTAAGAGTTGTATCCTGTATAAGAAAGAAAACTGAAAAGCAGCCCAGGATAGAAATAGATCCACCTGTCAAACTGAAAGACCGGTAATAGATATATACTTTATGAATTATGATCATTAATTTACAATAATGCCTATAACCTGTAGGAAAATGAGTAATTATGTTAATTTCAAAATTAAAGTATTTTTGCATTAGCGTCAAGAGCTCAAGATGAAGCAATTTGATCCTAAATACTCATTATGCATAAACAGAGTCAGAGATATCCAAATCCAATATCCAATATAATTTAAACATGAATACACAAGGACCAGAGGTAAAGGAGAAATGGTCTGGCCATGTGAAATGAAGACGAGCAAATGCAGCAGAAGTGGGTAGGAAATTGGAAATTATGGATCTTACGCAACTCTGAATGGACAAGAAGAGCAAAGAGTACCTTGGATTGCTATTCCTGAACCTCTTATACAAAAACATTTGCCATCTGGCTCAGTCATTAGCAGAACAACACCACCTAGATAAAAGCATAATGGAGGCACTGGATTCGTGCAGGTGAGCCCATAAAATTGGACAAGGCCAATGATGCAGAGGAAACCAAACAGTACAGTTTATTTTATTGGTCGAAAGGTAATAATAATATGTTCGATCGAGCTTGGTTGGACTTGGAAATCGAATTTTCAATTTGCCATTTTACCAGATTAAGCCTGACAACACCATTATCCATAATCTATATTCAAATCGCTCCATCAAGTAACTATCAACCTTAATGATTACACTAAATAAAATAAATCCCTTTTGGTAGAAAAATAAAAAAAATAAAGCCCCTGGACGGCTGGACCCAGAGAAGAAAATGGAGAAATCTTGGGTATGCCCTTAAGCGTGATGAAAGAAGGAAAAGCTTAATGCATTTGGTCGAGACTCGAGACTGCTGCCACCACAAACCTATTAATGGCTGTGTTTGATTGCAATGCAAATAAATTTGCACTGATGCAAAATCATGGCAGTGCAAATGATTTGAATGTAAATTCTCACCTATTATTGTTTTAAATTTTAGCTTATTTTGTTTGATTACAGTACAAATTAAGTAATTAAGACATGAAACAGGATAAAGTAAAATCCAAAACAAAATTAAACAATAATTTGCATTTTTTTTTATATTTGCACTCCCATGCATTTGTACTAGTGCAAATAAAATTGCACTACAACCAAACACAGCATTAGGTACGAACAAGGTACAAATAAAATGCGCATATAAAACAACTCTACTAAGATACAAAAGCAAATTTTCATTAATAAATTCAAGAAAAATTTTATAATTTTCTAATGTGAGACAAGGTAATAAGAGTTTTAATTAAAAAAAAATCAAATTTTTAGAGAACTATTAATTTTAAAGATAAAAGTGAAAGTATACAACTATGTAATCAATCAAGTAAACGCCCAAAATCGAGATTAAATCCCAACAAAAACTACAAATCAAATGATTAAAATAAGATCTAGTGAGATGGTACAAGCTCAAGTTCTTAGGTAGGGGCATGAGTGCATGACCAAATGCTCTAGACAAGAAGATAGCAGTCAAAGCCGCTATGTAATGGTTCAGCTTGTCTGGTTTTAGTCACCATGGCTATAAAACCATATCTTGATTTAGAGTCCAACCTTGATATAAAATCATCGTAAGTAGTAATTACCATGAATAGGAATTAGGAACAAGGAACTAAATAGAGTGGCCAACAGCCCAACGGCCTGACTAGCAAGTAGAGAGAGAGAGGGAGAAAGAACCATTTGACATTCCATCTCCTGCCCGAGGGGGAAAATGTTCAAAAAAACAGTGCATCATCCCTTCCTTGAATAGAAATCACCCCCCAATGCAACATGCACATCCCCATTCAACCCTCATCTCCACCACCTGCTTTGAACACGATAAGAAATAGAATTCCTATGTACATCTCACCACTTTCTGCATGATGGTGGATCTTCAAGATCAAATAACAGAGTACCAGTTGTGGAGGGCACTAAATGCACGACTGCTCAAAGCATTTCTGAACCATGATGTGTTCTTATAATTACTGCATTCTGTCAGCCAATCCGATTCGAAGAGGCATGGGAGCTTGCTGGCAATTGATAAATAGTGGAGCTCCAGTATCAACGGCCTTATTAGACTCGTTATTTGGACCAATCCCACTAGTCATTTGTTGTAAAAACTCAACAAGAAAGAGAAATATATCCATTCTGGTTAAATCCCTGTTTGCCTGTAAGAGACCTGCTATCAGTTTCCTGATTGAATAGAGAACTTTTCAAAGAAAGAGCACAATATGGCCTCTTTTGAATTAAATTAGGTCCTTTTCTGTCTTATTTTATTTTTATTTGTCAATTAAGTTTTACCTCAACAACAAATCGTGCCCATATTTTGTCCTCCTGAACTTCCATTAATCCCTTCAAGATAGTCAAGCCAAATCCCTGAATTATATCTGCTATCTCAAGAAAGAAACCTTGTTCTTCACAGAGCATCTGTAACAAATAAAACAAGGAATGAGGGAACTAAATTGATTAGAGATTGGACATCCACACCATGAGATAACTTGTTGGTAGTAAAGCCTCTGCAGTAATGTATGACATTTTTGTTTTACCTCTACAAGCATCTGGTCAGGGGGATTGAGATCCTCAACTGTAATTGGGCAGACCATAGTTTGACCCCCAACTTCAAATGCCCAAGTAGCACCACCATCACTGCCACATGAGTTGTCTCTCAGAACTACACCATTTTCCTCCCCAATCATCTGCACCAACACAAAACTTGAATATAAAATATCACTGAGATGCAATGATTAATAAAACACCTGAGACCCCTATCTAAAGTTTTTAATATAACGTTCAAGAGAATCGAACAAATAAATTTGTTACCTTGGGATCATTGACTTGTTTAAGCTTATTTGCATACTTAGTCACACTTTGCAAGAAAAGCATGTGTTTGATGGTACGATCCAACAAAGCATCAATGCTACACTGTTACATTAGATCAGTATAACAAAATTAATCATTCATGCAACAGTCAGCATACAAACTTCAAGATCTGAAAACAAGTACCTTTTCACCATTTGGGACAATTTCTCTGAGTTCTTTCACTCGATCCTGGATCTGCTGACGGTCTTTTGGCCTTGGTCGAGTACTTTCCCCAGGCTGAGCTCTTTTCCTGATGACTTTTGCTGGTTCTCCAGGTCTCTTATGCTGGCTGACAACACTCTCAGTGTGAATGTTGTAACTGTCATCAACCCAGGAAACTGCCTGAGATTTTGAGATAACCTCTTGCTGAGTTCTATGCATTGCTATCTTCTCCAGGGTAGATCCAGGCACCATCGCATCCAAACACCTACCCAAGTAAGAAAGACCTGCCAACTGAACTTGATTACCATATTGTGAGGTACTCCCTGTTCTTGTTACTGTAGATGTGGACAACTGATCTTCCAAAGCAGTCCTGACAACAGAGTTAGAATCACAAGCATCACTCAACATCTGTTTGAGTCCAAACTCTGACAACAAGCCTTTCTTACAATCATTAATGGAGCCAACATCCAACTCTGGAATGCATCCAGAGAAAAATGTGCTCAAGCTTGAGTTATTACTCCTTCCTAGTGGCACTAAAATATCATCCCAACATTCTTGCCCCTGGAAGTACCCAAAATCCAATCCTGAACTATCAAAAATTTTGCTGACAATGGGCACTTGCATTGGAACATTAGGAGAACTTTCTTTCCATTCACTAACTGCAGCAGGAGAATTTATAGTATCATTGATAGAATTGTTTACAGATGTATCCACGTGGTTTTCTGAGATGCTGTTGAAAACATCACTTTGAGTGAAACCAGATGATACTGAAACAAGCCTGGGAGATTGTGACAGATTTTCATTCAATTTTGCATCCAATTCACCATTGACCTGCTCAAATGGTGGGGAATCCCACTGGGGAGTACTATTTCCTGGATTGGGTTTAGAGAGAGCTTTTGTAGCATTGGAAGGAAAAGAATCCCATGGGAAAGAGGGAAAACTAGTTGATGTTTTTGAAAGTTCAACTTCACTTGCATGGGGTAAGTCTACCAGCTTCCCTGAGCCATGTACAATAGGTCTGTTGACCTGAAGCAATCCTGTGTCGGAATCCCCTTGAAAATTTTGAAATGCATTTCTGCAAGGTACAGGATTCTTTAGGTATACAGAAGGCATATTTGAAGAACCATGTATCCCCATTCCAGTGAGAAGTCGTTGCTCAATCAAAGTCGTAGTCAAACTCTCTCCATTCCAAGTGCTCATAGTGGTGTTTTTGGCAATAAAATTGCTAGTAGAATTGCAAGTAGACTGCAATAAAGCCTGAGCTTCAAGACCTGCCATCTGGAGTTCAACCTTGTGATGAAATGAGTTGCTAATAAAGGGAGTTGTGCTGCTACTGTGCAACTCCAAAGTAAAAGGGGAATATTGAGAGAAAATCAATGAAGATCAGCTTTACATGTTAGCTCTTTTCAGCTATCATTATGCATGGATTTGATGTTCTCAGAATTGGAAAAGGAAATTCCAGGCAAAACTTACTGATGCAAATGATCCACTTTGATGACAAATTTCACTGTTCAAAGATGTCAATACATCTCCTGACAGGACAATTCCATTACGATTTTCAATCTGGCCAAACAAGTTTTGTGCATGATCCACAAATTCTGAACTCTCCTGAACCTGCCAAAGCAAAATCATTACAGTAAACAATGAATCGTGGCAGTTCACATCAAACTTTAGGGGAAGTTTGAAATAGATGAAGTGGCTGAACTGAATGACTTGTTGCTCTGTCTTTTAATGAACAAGTTATTAAAGAGGTTGTGAGCTCCTTAATGGTTGAAGCTGAAGTTGGATTGACTGCTGTGCCCTCAAGTATTTCGTCATTTAAATATTTTCTTTACTACACTGAATAAAGTAGAATGGTGGAACAGGATTCATGTAATCCTAGTTGGGACAGAACTTAGTCGAGTTGCAGGATTATTTTATCCACTAAAATAAAAATCAATAAATCATTTAGTTCAGCCACTTCAGTCATTATCACAGAGCCCCTTGGTTCCATCTATAACCACAAGAACAAAGAGAAGCCAAAGTTGATTTTTCTATCCACTTATCATAGCAAAAATTATCTGGCAAGTCTAACAAGTTTGTGACTAATCAATTATAGTACCTTAAATATTGTTCATTCTAAGATATTTGTGCAAACTATAAATCAAGCACAAGACATCTAGGCTCCAATGAATGAATAAATGACAGATTTATTTAAAAAAAAAAGAAGAGGAAAAGACAGTTCATTCATGCTAGATAAGTAATGTGTCAGTTACTAATTGTAGACCCTCCAAAAAGTAAGCTGATAATTCCATGGTTTGCAATGGAATTTGGATGTAATTTTCACAGTTGTAAAGGGATAAACAATATGCTCCCAAAATATTAAAGATCAACACTGAAACCTCAGCCCACAAGATAGGCATAGCTGTAGTCAGCAATTACTAATCAGTTATCATTAAACCACATTGCAATCTTTGCAATTGGAATTCACTTGAACAGGTTCGTCAAGGCAATAAATAATTTTAGAAATGCTATGGCTAGAAAACCATGAAAGTGTATCCTTTTCTATTATTAATTTCTCGATAATTCATCCCTTTTTATTACTAACCTTTTCTGTGGATCCAAACTGCAAAACACCCTGTGGTGTTACTGCAATTACCACAATTGTCTGCAAAAAGGACCCAAATGGTCAGTGGGCATTCCTTAAAGACTTGAAATGAGAAAATGATGACAAATTCACTATGAAGTAATTATGGGGAATAAAAAGATTTGAGTCATATAATAAAACTTAATTACTTCAATATAAGAGCTAATATTTTTCTACCTATGCATGAATACAAAAGAAACAGGGATATACCTTCACTCCAGAAGAAAATTGATGATGAAAGTCTGTACTGTCCTGTAGAAAAGTATCAAGGAGTTAACCTTGTAATTCATTCATAGGAAGGAACAGGGCTTGCAGTTCAACAAGTACCAACACCAAAAAGTTTATTTTCATCCAAAATAGATTTGGAGAAAATTATCTTTAGTATGTACTTTTGAAACTTGCAAGCAGCTTCACAATCCACATCAATGTGACTGCCAATATCTTTTATGGCAAGCTGTATAAAAATGCTAACAAATATTTTCTCTTTTGTTGATACATGTACAATGCATGTTCCTTTAACTAGTAAAAGATAAAAAAAGAAGAACGACAAATATCTGTAGAACACATATAACTTTATAATACAATAATGGAAATACGCCAAAAGTTTACATGGAAGGGATTACTGAATCAGTAATGACTAAGTCAAATTTGAAACTTAAAAATTATATAAACATAGATCACCAGAATACTGAAGAGAAAAATAGTGACGGCTGAGCACCATATTTAACATCTAGCAATACCTGGAATGCATTTTGGTTGTCAACAGATTCTTGGGGACAATATTCTCTATAGTAGGTGTCTGAGAACAACCATCTGTTCTTCCCAGTAAAAGCAGCTTCTCCAATGATTCTAAAAGGGAAAAGAAAAACAAGATTAGCTTTGTCAGCACCCTGCCTTGTGCTCATGACTTGCCTAAGGCATTCAAAATTATCATCTTTATAGGAAAGGAAATTTGGTTTAGTTGGCAGGTTAGTGTCAGAGAATTTTGATCCTGTAAATGAAGACATCCCGAAATACAAATTTAAAGCCTAATTAACTGAATATGTAATAACAAAAATACCCTTGCCCCAGCATGTGGACTTGTTGAAGCATCCTGTCAACTACCACCCCAATATATTCTTTGAAGTAGACATCTTCTGCAGTCAACAACCTAGCAAGGTAACATCAACTAGGCTCAGTAAACAAGAGATCCGCATATACCTAAGGCTGTGTTTGGTTTGATAGAAAATAAGAGAGAAACAGAAATTTAAGAGAATGTTCACAAGGAATTTTGTGAAATTCCAACTCAAATCCATTTCTGTATCTCTCTTATTTCTATCAAACGTTATTGTGTAATAAACTGAAATTATCAGCTATTTCTGGAACTCCATCGGTAAAAGGAGGCCATTGCATTCTCAACAAGGCCAAAGATGGAAAAAAAATCAGACAGGACTAGATAACAGACAATTATTCCCCTAAAAACTTGAAGTTTGACGACGTTGAGTTTTTATAACGGAAATCCTATATAGCACTTAACTGCTCTTCTCAACCCTTCTTGTCTGAAAAGGCAGTTTCATACTATGGCAAACCAAGTTAAGAAAAAATGGGAAAGAAATAAAATACAGAAGAAAACAAAAAAAAAAGCATAAAATAAGCAGTTCATGGTAATAATCAGAAGAAAACGAAAAAAAATGAAAAGCACAAAATAAGAAACCAGAGATCCCAAGTGCCAAAATAAAACAATTAATCAGAATAGCATTTATCACATGAATCCCAGAGAGGGAGGAAATAATATTAAGAGACAAAACATAAATGTGACTAGGATTACATGGAATTTGGGTGATTGATGCGCCAGAAGACCCCATAAGACCATCTATTGCTGCAACAGAGAGATTTAAGCTCCTCTTTAAGCAAGGAACTCATCTTTTGTCTGCTTCAAGAACCACACAAATCAGATGGATGGATAAATAGAGTTCACGTAACAATTCTGTGGATTTCAACAACCATCAGCAGACAGTTAAAAATCTGCTTCTTTTTCTCCAGAATAAGAAATGCAGGAAACAAACCTGTGGATTTCAACAACAGTGGTTCTTCACATTGTAGGGTAAATGAACGAGCTATTTTCCAATTTATATTTCAACCATGGAGGAAGAATTAGAGAGCCGATTGGAGTAAAAGAAAACGGCTTTCGTGTTCAGAACTGCAACATAAAAGTTCGCTGCTGGGACTCTTCACTCCTGAAAGTGGTTCAGGGCATTATTACTATGCACCGAAGTCAAAACCTTTTTTTTTTTTCTGTCTTTTTTCATGGAGCTCGGTTTATGGAGCTGAAAACGCAGGAGCTTTTGCGACACGAGAAGAAGAAGAAGATATTCTTTACCTCCTTTTGTATTCGCAGAGCTTCTAAAACGAGTGAACAGCAATGAAGAGCAGTGAAACAGAGATTCTGGAGTTGAAGAACGCAAGAAGTAGTATTTTCTTCCTTTTGAAATAGTACTTGCAAATTGCAACTGTCCAACAAAGTGGTGGCTTGAGCTCTCACTACTCACTTCAGCTATTCATCAGGCAGAGAGAGAGAGAGAAGGGGCGTTTAAATAGTACTCAATTTGTTCTACTAAATAATATTTGCGCATAATCTATATATAAGAATAAGATCCATCCATCTGTGATCTGTTGCTCTGCAATGTGAACCTGCAACTCCATCACAATCAGGTAATATCGTTTTCAGTTTTGACACTTCTGCTGCAAACTTGTGCGGGCGCGTGTGTTCTGTTCTGTTGCTTGCTGGGCGATCGAGGACGAGGAGCATGGGATACCTGCAAAAAAGAAAAAAAAGTGGCACTGAGTTTGATTGAGGAGCCTTGTACTCCACTACTTCTCCAACTGTTCTGAAAAAAAAAAGAGTGTTTAGTTTGTCGTCACTAGACTTGCGTCTATGAATTTGGGATTTAGGCAGAGCAAGCAAAAACATGCAGAGATGGAGCTAACAGGAATCTCATAGCTTTCCGCAGCAAAAGCTGCAAGTGCCATTTAGGTCTGTCATCTTAAAATTCACATATTATATATAGATAGATAGTTCAATCGATGACAAACATTATATTCCCGAAATGACACCATCCCTTCTCCCAACAACCATTTATTAATTTCTTATAGTTATTATATAGGTTGTTCTTCCCAAATCGGGTGGCTTCTTCAGATAAGACGTTAATACTCACTGTATGGTTTGTTTGATAGAGAAGAGATAACAATGGAGAGAGGATAAACGGGGTTTGGGAGTCAATGAATGAATTGAATTAAAGGAGGAGAAGGAAGACACACACTCTACAAAATAATAGAATATATAAATGGAATGCCGATGGAGGCCATGCATGCACATGCAGTGATGGTGCTGTAAGGATCAAACATGAAACATATATGGCATATATGATTGATTATTTGTGGGAATCCGGAAACGGGGACTCGATTAGCTAATCAGCTTCATTCTCTTTCTCGGTTTCTAAGCTTACTCAAAATTTCTGAATTAATGATAATTTCGGTAAATTGCAAAATGGTACAGGTAGTTTTTTTTTTACACTATTCATCTATCTTCCACTTTTGGACTTTGAACACATCAAAGGTGATCAAGGTTTTAAAAATCAGACTGAAGGTGATGAAGGTTTTAAAAACCAGACTGGGCACGGAGCCTTTCTAGTACAGGTTCCCACGTTGAACAGTCAGATCGTCTGGTTCAAATAGATGGTTCATTTTTACTTAAAAAATAAAATAAAAACCGGCAAAAACTGTTGTCCGGGTTATTGATTAAATCAACGGTTTTTGGCTAAAAAGCAGTTTTAAGGTAAAATAGAATCAATTGCCTAACCAATCTGACCTGATTTTCAAAACTATATAAATGATAAAGTAAGCACACCCTGATCTTTTCCGTAAGTTATTTACCCATGTTCTTTTATTTTCTAAGTAAATAAGGTAATGACCATTTTATCCTCAAAATCTATTATTAAAAGGGGCATTTTTGTTCTATTCAAGTGTTAGCAACTTTCCCCCTAAGTGGGAAAGTTATATACCTAGGTAAGTGATATCTAAGAAAATAAACTTTTTCTAATCCCCACATAAATATGAAAAATGAACATGGGATTCTTGGTCAATGGGAACCAAAATCCCATTGACCTACTTTCCCCCCTCTCAAAATCCGAAAAAGGAACACCCCCTAAGTGAAGAGTCCACACGTAAAAGAATTATAAATAGTGAAAAAAGAGTCTAAAGATGAGTATTTTCATAATTTTACCGCTTTTCCCTAATCTATATTTTCTAAAAGTTTAAGTACTAAAGTGAAGCTCATGCCCATAAGTGATTGATTTTTTAATTAGGAGGGTAATTATTTGCAATTTACCCTCCTAATTATTAAGGGTGTATTGATTTTTAAATCTCGTGAGTTAACTGATAGAAGAGTAATTTGCTATACTTGAAGGGTTTCCTGAGTGACGAGAAAGAGCATTAAGGATGAATTGGTTGCAGTGCAAATCCCAAATAAATACAATTTTTGCATCTACTTGTTAATAGTTAACCATAATTGTATTCGTATCTGATATAAAATTTATACTTTTTGCTTTATTTGCATTCACTCAAAAACTGATGCAAATTTTGAACCATTTTTCTCACCTCAATTATCACTCGTATAAATTTGGAACTACATCTTACTTCCCAACTCACTCTCAAATAAATAATCCTCCTCCTACCTCCATTCTTTTGAATATCAGGTGAATCACACCATTTTAATTTATATTTTATTTATTGCAAATAAATAAGTCAAGGTAAAAAAAGAGGAAAAAAAAACACAGGATTTAAACTCAAACTATATGCACGTAATCTAAAAATTAATCAAAAGACAATTCCCCAAGGGGAAGCCGTTACGCTCCCTTTCCAACAATCATTCTGTCAGGTAAAGAGTCGTGGAAATAACAAAAATTGACAGAGAAAATCGATCATGGTCGGCTCTGGAGCCCTCCCATTCTTGAATGGCACTCTCAAGGGTCCACACGACAGTATTGCTTTATGACATATGTACTAAAGAGGTCTCCCCAAAAATTCTCTTAGGATCCCGACCAGCTGCATGTGGCCCTGAGTTATTTTTTTCCCATGTCATTGTCGTCGTGCCACATGCCATGATTATGGTGCAATCTTATTAAGGAGTTTACATCTGTTACCAACACAAGAGATCACATCTGCGCCTCACATACACATTTTAATGTGCATTGAAAATTTTCTCAAAGTTGTCACTAGGAGATATTTCCTTGAGATATGTTGTGGGACATTTGTGGGGTAAGAATGTAAAATCTAAACGGAGATATTCCTAATGTGTGACTGCAATGGCCTCTTGGGACAGTGTTGGAAGTGTTCTGTTGATAGTACATCCCTATCCCTTATTAAGCCTACAACAAAATCATTGGAGTTTAGATCTCTTCCCAACCAAGAAAAAAAATTCTAACTCCTTCCAACATGATCCAAATCTACACATCTCATATATGGAGAGTCCCACTCTTATGTTGACATGTACAACAAATCATGTTAGAATGAGTGTTGGAAGGGTGTTTGGAACGTATCTTGTTGGCGACAAATCCAAATTCTGTTAAAATATGTTTGAATGTGTCTTTTTTTTTATGTTGGAAGTTCCCAACTCAAATCCATGAGCATTTTATCCCGTTCATGTAGGTGTTTGGTATGTGGCCACTTTTTTAAGAAACACCATCACATCAATGTTATGTAGGTATTTTGATTTTACCCAACCAAAATTTTGTTGGGTTAGATTAGGTAGGGTTTGGTTGGATAAAAATAAAAATGATTGAAAAAATGTATAAAATGTCATTCACAAATTTAACATATATGCCAGCGAGGACTGAGAGGACCCATGTGACTTAGGTGGTCTCAACCCAAGCCTGGCTTGGCTCAGCCAAACTTGGAGCTGGGCTTCGGTCAAAAAAATCAAGTCTAACCTACACTCAAATTGGGCTTGGGTTGATGCTTTAGGTAGTTGGAGCTTGAGTCCGATCAAATCTAAGCCCGTCCAACATGTTATGACATACATACCTACATACTATTCTACTTGTAAATTGGGTTACAAACCTCAACATGCTCAAGCCCAGGTCTAGCTTGATGTTGGATTAAGCTCAGGTTGAGTTTGGGTTGGTAATTCAGGCTTAACCTTGAGTCAGGTCAAGCTTGAGCTACCCAAGACCTTAACCCAAATTTAGCCCAAGTTTAGATTAAGTCCAAATTTTTAGGCCCAAACTTACTTCATAGTCCAAAAACTTAAACTCAAACCTTGAAAATTAAAAATTCAGTTTAGGTTCGTTCACGCTGGTCCAAGTTGCAGCCCTACCATTAAACACAAGAAAACCCAACCTCAGACTCATTTATTACTACTTCTACCCATGCCATTTTTTGAGCTCTATTTCGTTCCATCTTCGAAGTACATACTTCCGCTTTTTCATGGTGGATGTTCAAGTCACCTCATTTAACATTCAAAAATTTTCAAAAAAAGAGAGGCATGATTGAGTCATCCACTGTGAAAAAGTGGAAGTACATGCCAGAAGGATAGAGCAAAATTTTTTTCCCATTTTTTGCCTATCTTGAGAGTTCCTCTAACCCTTTTGTATCAAATAACAAGATCAAACATTATAACTATTCCCATGTCTGGATGCAAGCAATGCTAGTACCAAATTAGGCCTTCTCAAAGTGATATTGGATTATATGTACAATTATTATTATTTTTTCAAGTCATATAGACAAAAGTTTAAAAATGGTGGTATCATTACAAACCAGAGTATATCTATACTATATATAAAAGTGGGAATGCAATGTGAATTTTTTTGGATTTAATTATTCTCTACTTCTTTGTTTGAGAAAGGATATAAAAGTCATTTTATTATAGTTTTAATATCAACTTTTATGATTACTAAAATGCCCATAATTGTGTATTTAGGCCATCTTTAATGGTAAGGGTTGAAAATGTAACTTCAATTATTACTTCTCACCTCATTTAATTCCCTCTCATTAAGTCTTATACTTAAATCAATAACTTCCATTTTCTTCCATTAAATTCTATATTTAAGTTATTTTTTACTAATAAGTGCTACTAATTAGATCTATGCCAATATTTTTAACAACATAAACCCATATATTTCAAGCTAACTCAAAAACAAAACCATTATTTGTCCAAGTGGTGGCTAAGAAATTCAACCATCCAAATCAAATTGATCAACCTATGAAGTCATAGTTAGGTAATAAAATTTTTAAAATATGAACAAATATAAAAAAAAATACAAAAATGTAAAAAAAATAGACACACTTATGATATTTTTATTAATCAAATTAAAAGAATAAGTGTAATAAACAAAAATTATTTTGATTGATAATGAAAATGAAATACATAATTTAGAACTGACCAAAAATAAAATTATTTTACTGTTTTGCAAAAATTAATAGTTCAACTTTTGGGTCAAATGTGCTAACATTTAATGTCATAAATAAATAATAAAAATTAATAAAATATAAAAATACAAAATGAAAAAAAAAACATAAATTTTACAAAAAGAAAAACATTCAGGCACATGTATAATATCATATAGTTATCATATTAAACAAAAAGTAAGTGTGATATATCAAAATTATTTCTACACAGAAATACAAAAAAAAAAGAAAAAAATTGAACACATCTATAATTTTAAATTTACACTACTATTAAAAATATGAATAAGATTATGGAACTTTCTTTTGACTAAAATACTCATTTTTGGATTTAGTCCCTATTTAATTATGACCTTTAAATTGTAAATTGAACTACTATTGTTCACATCATTCCCCTCTATTTAAATCTTACATTTTTTTTGGATAAATAAACAAAAAAAAGATACACCAGAAAAGACAAAACATTACAAAAAGAAGAATCTAGCGAAACAAGTAGGCCTATCAATGATACTTGAAACTTTACAACTCGATCCAATTATCACATATTTGGATGAAGTGTTTATGTAATTAGATTTCAATTTTGCAATTTGCATCCGATTAATAATAAAAAATAAAATATAAAAAAATGCATATTTATAAAAATTTGTGGATACATTATTACTATCATTATCATCATCTAGAATTACCACGTGCATGCTTACTAGTTTTTATGAATACCTCAATAAAAAAAGTAGGTGATAAAACTACTAAATTTATCTTCTCCTCTTAGTTTATATTTCCCATGGTTCCAAACACTTAAATTTATCTTCTCCATCTCTCTTATAGAATGAACTGCAACAGCATGAGGAATGAAGTGAAAGTGAGAGCTTGGGATTGAGAAAGGAAATCTCAAATCTCAGGCTGTCAGGGCTGATTAGCATGCCAAAATGCAGTCACGAATGCATGGGACCCTAATTGATTTATGGCTCAAAGATTTTTTTTTCACTGCTTTAAATCTATTTGGAATGAGCTAAGAAAGTGAAGTGAGAGTGAGAGGCTGAGTTTGAGATTGAGACCATGAGACGAAGCAAACCACCATGCCAAAAAGTAGCTACCTGCCTACTTGGTAATGATCTTTATTGATTAGTTAAACCATAGATAGCTCTAGCTCTGCTTTTATGGCAACTAATGAGGGATGATTTGGCCCTCTAGTGACACATGGCATCCTGGAACCATCTCATGACACATCAACGCCATGTAGGCAATGACATCGAAACACTCTAGGAACATCTCGCTTGCCTTAGCTGTCCTAGCACCACCTCGGCAAGGCTGACTTACGGGCATCTCAGCGAGGTCAGGTCGGTGTAAGAGGTGACCTACTTTCGCTGACATGACTGAGACCAATTGTCGATTTGCATGACATGGTGGCTGACCTCCTTGGCAAGTGGGGTATCATCTCCGAATCTTCCGGGATCACACCTTATCTACAAAGCTAACTCCCGCCCTACCCACTTTGGAGGCAACCGGATAAGCTCTATCACTTTATGTGGAAGACGTCTTCGATTGTGAAACCACCTATGGACGAGGTGGGCCGATGATCTCAGACGTGCTACGTGAATCCCATGACAACCTACGCCTATATAAAGGTATCCCATTGGGGGATTACATTAAATCTCAACATTCACATCTGCCCTTCGCTTGCTTAAGATTTCAAATCTCCATTGTCTTGCAATACTTTGAAAATGTTCAACTCTTAGATTTCCTATTGGTATTATGAGAAATATTTTAGTACCATATAACATATTATGTTCAATAATGATTATATAACATAATTATATTTCAACTACTTACTTTGTATAAACATACTACTTGAACCCTTTTCAAGAACATTTGTAAGTGGTGTAGAATTAGATAGTACATATGACAAAGCATTGTGAAGAATGTTTCAGTGTGATTGTTGGCTAGAGGGAGAGAGGGACCATGAACAAAGAGAGAGAAGCAGGAAGAGAAAGGGGGAGAAAACCTGAGAGGGGGTAGAAAGCGGAAGAGAGAGACGGGGTGTGAGAGTCACACATGCATAAAATATTGATGTTTTCGCATGCTGACTTAATGCCCCGCTCGTGTAAATTCCATTTACTCTACGTTTATGATTTATGGCCCTAGTTTGGCTATATAATTTTTCCAAGATTTTGAGGGATGTCATGGCACTGAGAAAGTTGCAGAGCTCTTGTTAAAGACAAACAACTGGATGAAAATATAAGGTAAACGTTTCTTTTCTCATCTGCCCCTGAAAAGGTGGGTTCTCGTTTTTCTTTGATGTGATATTGCAACTGGTGTTCAAACCATATATTCCCTTTCTTTTGTCTGACGTAATGAGCATCATCCCCCCTCCCTCTCTATAATGGACCTGAGTTCTGATCTACTACATGGCCTACTCTGGAGGATGATGCAACTAAATTAAATTGAAAAATTTGGCTGCTTATATCAAAGTGAAATTAATACAAGGTGGAGTGTAGGACTGAGGTGGACTGGAGGAGTGAATATTGATCCAGAGGATCCCCTCATCCAATGCACTGACTGGATTAGCCACAGGGTTCCTCTGTGTGACAGAAATATGTGGAGGTCGTATAGGGGACCTCCCATAAGACCATAACTGACCTGATTGGGAGACCAGTTTCCATACATATCACAAGTTCACTTTGATGATCTGCCTTGCTCAGGAGTCAGGAGTCGGGATTTGAACTTGGTGTTGCTTTTCTTGACAAACTCCGAAAATTAAATTTATGGTGCGATGCTTGGAGCTTTGAAAAATAACTCAAATAATAAGATGACAGTGCATCATTGAATATGGTGTAGTACTAGGATAATAATGCTTGAGTATCTCTTACAGACATGCCTTTGAACTGGAATTGGCTAAAAGAACTCTTTGAAGAATTTTAGTAACACATAGTAGCATATCATTTTTGTTCAACTTTACCATATAGCTAATTACAACCCAAGCCTTGCCATAAATCATACCTTGGAAAAAACTACAATGGGGGTAGATCTTCTATTCTTTGTTGCTTTCTCAACAGTATTAATAAACAATACATGAAGACATAATACAACTTCTGGGTGAGAAATCTGCATCATTGATATGAGCAGCAAGTCAGTTTGGGTCAACCCCTTGATCCAGATCAAAGGCAGACAGCTCTATATATCCAAGTTCGCAGGGTTCTTGAGTCACTGATCTGTACTAAAATTTTGGGAGGGCTAACAAAATATCTAGACAGGGTGCTTGTATGGTCACCACTGAGCTATGCCTTTGTATGATTGTATTTGTATAATTTAATAACTGTTACTTGGTGATGAGAGATTAGATAAGAGCTGTATAACCTTCCGTTTTCATTTGAGTGGTCAAGCTGTCAAGAGTAGCATAGATCTCCTCTGTTTTATTGTGAGATTTATCACAAGCAAGGAATACATGGATCAGGTCTCTATCCTCGAACCAACTGCATCCTGGGCTCTTATGCATTCCTTTGTCCTTGATCATCTGCCTGGTTCTAGCTAGGTCGTCCCATCGCCCTGCATAAGCATACATATTTGCTAGCAGAACATAGTTTGCCGTATTGTATGGGTCCAACTCAATCAGCTTATCTGCAGCAATTTCTCCCAATTCTATGCTCCTGTGAAGAACACAACCACCAAGCAGAGCACCCCATGTCACGGAATCAGGTTCCATGGGCATTTTCTTCACTAGGTCATAAGCTTCTTCAAGGCAACCAGCGCGACTAAGGAGATCAACCATGCATGTATAGTGTTTGATTGTTGGTTCTATGTTATAATGGCACATCAAACCAAAGTACTCTTTGCCTAAGTCAACGGATCCAGCATGAACACACAAAGATAGAACGGAAAGGAAGGTCACCTCATCCGGTGTGATTCCATCTTCCAGCATCTTAAGGAAGAGGTCAATACCTTCCCCACCATGACCATGCATGGCGTATCCAGAAAGCATGGAATTCCAGGAAACCAAATTAAGCTTTGATATCCTATTAAAGGCTAGCCATGCATGCTTTATACTTCCACATTTGGCATACATGTCCACAAGTGCTGCTCCAATATGGACATCCATATCATATCCACGTCTGATGGAATGTACATGAACCTGTTTACCTCGATCTATGCTTGCCAACCTTGAACAGGCGTGTAGAATCATGCCTACTGTGTAGATATCTGCCTTCGGATTTGAAGTTTGCAGCTGAGAGAACAGTTGCAAAGCTGCTTCATTGTGGCCATTATCCAAATAACCTGCTATAATTCCATTCCAGGTATAAGTGTTGGGTTCTAAACTGTCATTTTTCATCTTACGAAGAAGTTCCTGGACGTCTTCCACTTGATTGCAGCGGGAATAGCCAGAGATTAAAGCATTCCATGTTGCTGTGTCCTTTTCGATCACTTCATCAAAAGCCATCCGTGCAGCGACTAGATCTTGGCATCGACAATACATTTCTACCAATGCACCGCCCACAAAGGTATCAGATTGTAGACCCCTAATGATTGAATAAGCATGAATCTCCTTTCCAAGTTTCAAGCAATTCAAGTCTGCACAGGCGGAAAGAACACTCCCTAAGGTAAAAGAGTCGGGTACAATCCCTTCTTCCATCTGCAAATTTCGAAACATCTTCAGGGATTCATCAAACAGCTTGTTGTCTACGTACCCTGCAATCATTGAGTTCCATGCGATGATATCTTTCTTGATCCCGACAAGCTCCATCTGATCAAAAATATCCCTGGCCTCAATTACCTCACCATTTTCACAGTACCCAACGATCATAGTGTTGAAAGAGACTAGATTTCTCTCTGAGAACTTAGAAAAGATCTTTAGAGCACTTCCCATATCGGCACACCTCCTATACACATCAACCAATCCGTTAGCAACGAATGGGTTGGACATAAATCCATGCCTTGTTATATAGCCATGGATTTCCTTGCCAAGGCCTAGATTTTGTAATCTAGCGCAAGCAGGCAGCACACTCGCCAGAGTCCGAGCATTTGGATTAAACCCAGCTGATTGCATCCTACAAAGAAGCTCAAGAGCTTCTTCATCGTACCCATTTTGTGCGAACCCACCAATCATGGCACTCCAAGAAACAACATTAGGCATCAAATCATCCTGTAATCTCATATTTTCTAGAAACTCAAATGCCTCAAAGACCAACCCATTAGCTGCACAAGCAGTAATCACAGAATTCCACGAAACACAGTCTCTTTTAGGCATTTTAGCTAAAACCACCATGGCATCATCCAATCTCCCACATTTGCCATACGCATCGATTAGAGAATTGCCCACATAAATATTTGAAGCAAATTCACTCTTTATCACATACCCATGTAATTGTCTTCCTAGTTCTAATGCACGAAGACCACTGCACACCTTCAAAACTACAGGAAATATGAAAAACTCCAAACAAATATCTTCATACTGTAATTCTTGAAACAGTGACAGAGATTCCTCGAAGTGCCCATTATCGGCAAGCACGGTAAGAATGCCAGCCCAAGAATATATGTTTCTTAGAGGCATATTCTCAAACAACAACCTTGCTTCTTCAATGCTACCACACCTACCATACATCTGCAACAACTTGGTCTCTAAAAACTCATGCCCGCAAAACCCAGTTTTAAGGGCGTGGGCATGGACCTGTTTTCCCAAACCAGGGCATTTACAGGACTCAAGAACAGAAGCATAGGCGGTGGAGTCCACAGGGCCATTAAGTGACAAGACGAGGTTTTGCTTGTCCGAGAGAGGTGGGTTCATTGAGAGTGTGGCGGGTTTTAGACTTCGAAAGGAGAGGTTAATGGATTTGTGATGGGAACTCAAATCACTGTGGTGACATGGTGTGGTTGGGTGAGTGGCAGGCCCAACCTCTGAGATTAGAAGAGATGCCATTTTCGCAGCGAAGTGCAATAGAATCGAAGTACAGGAAAGAGAAGATACTTAGAATTCTGAAGAGGAAGGGGATGATGCCGGTCTTTTTGACACTTGAATTAGTAGGGATTTGATTACAAGTGATGCAAATCACCACATACTGGTTTTCTCCTCAAAACTACTGACTAGTGACTACATCTAGTTTGTTGACCTCATTTGCACCAGAATACCCACAACCACAGCCAGGGATGGTGAGGGTGACTGGTAAGTAGTGAGATACGATTTCCTCCATTCTTTTACAGTTTTACCTGGAAATATTGAAGGAATTGATGAGTGATGACCGGATGAAAACCCGTTTTGATCACTGGGTCGCGCGTCTCTAACCACCTGGTTCGAGACTGTTTTGTCTCGAACTTCAAAACGTGTCAATCTTTTGTCTATCTAAATTTTAAAAAGGTATCAACTTAGTACTATAGTTAATCAGCCGGATATAAAAATACACAAATGTCCTTCGGGAATTTAATTTTCTTTAGGATAAATTTTTTAAACTATCTCCTATTATTTAGCTAATTGACAAACATACTGTTTAACTATTGTCTTATAATACCTTTTAAGTTTTTTTTTACAATAATAGCTCTTTACCGTTACTATCTGTTAATTTTCCGTTAAAATTCGTATACATGTGATACTATGCGACTTTTAAAAATTTTTAAAACCTAATATTACGCTCGTCCCTTTCCTCTCGACCGCCAGCCCCTACTTCCTCTGACCTTTCTCTCTTCCCTCCATCATTCTCTTTCTTCATGTTCTCCTTCTTCAAATTTGTCATCTTTATTTCAGGTTTTACAAATCTGTTTTCTACACTCTCCCCTCACAAAAATGTTGAGGATGATGTCTCTCTCACTTGCAGGTCCCAGATCTTTTACTGGAACACGAAACAAGTCGCAAGTCCCAAATCTACAGACGGGTGTGATCTTCTCCTTTTTTTTAAAGTCGTCTGACCGCCGAGGGAGGAGAGGAAGAGAGGAAAAATCTTGTCAACGAAATTAGGGAGTTACAGATCTGGGAGGGGGATGGAGGAAGAAGAAAATAGGGAAGGGGGTGCCGGTGCCCTCTTCGAATGCAAGTCAAGAAGCAGGGAGTTGTAGATCTGGGAGGGGCGGAGGAAGAAGAAGAAAATAGGGAGAACGAAGAGGGGAGAGAGAGAGGCGCTGCTGGAGAGGTTGCCGCTGCTGGACGGTGATGAAACAGGGGCGAGAGGAGAGAGAGAGAATGAACGGGATGGGGAGAGAGAGAAAGTTGTAGAGAAGTTCAGACTTTGAACGTGAACGAACTTTGGACGACTTTGAACGAAGTCTCAGAAGGAATTCTCAGAGAGAGAGATTAGATACAGAGGTCCGATTCCAAGAGGAATCTTTGAGTTATAGAATCTAAACAATCTGCTGCTACTGTCGAACAATAGGCCAAATTCCACCCAAGATTGGGAAATGCATGTCGTTAATCCAATTTGAGTTCTTAGATCTCGATTCGAATAGTTTGCGGGGTCATACCGTCGGAGATATCTGGTTGCCAGAACCTAACATTCCTCAACTTACATTCCAACTCATTCACAGGCAACTTGCCTACAGATTTCAACCAAGTCGTTTCACTTCAATATGTTGACGTCTCCGACAACTTGATAGAAGGAGAGTTGAATCCAAATCTTGGATCACTGACGTCGCTTAGCAAACTCATCCTTGGAAAGAACCAATTTTCAGGTTCAATCCCGTCACAACTCGGCTTGTGTACGAAACTACAACTCCTTGACTTGGGCGGAAACCAATTCATAGGAGAGATTTCACTGAGCCTGGGCAAAATTCCGGCGCTAGAGATAGCTTTAAATCTTAGCTGGAATGAGCTTTCTGGCAAGATCCCATAGAAGCTCTCCGGATTAGATAAGCTCAGAATCCCCGATCTCTCCCACAACGAACTTTGAATGAAATATCAAAGAGAGAGAGATTAGATACAGAGGAAGAAACGACTTCGAACGAAGAACAGAGGAGAAAAAACACTAGGAGAAGAAAAGGAAGGTTATTTTAATAGTTGAATCGAGACAAGAGGAAGAGGAAGAAATTCATTTTTTAATTTTCTGGATGATTTGCGTTTCAGTTTTGTTTGATCGAAGTCGATGTTTTAGAGTATGCCACTACCGAATTCCAACTCGTGTAAGTTGTATTGTATCTCTCTCTTCTTTTTAGGGTTTCCTTTTCTGGGTTGAGCTTCGGTTTTGGACTTTGAAAGTTGTAGATTTCACTCGTTTGATTATTTGGAGTGTTGGTCTGGTTTGATTATTTAGAGAGCTTCGTCGGAAAACCAGCTCAACAAGGGACAGGGGAGAGAAAGAGCCGCTGCCGGAGATAGTAAGGGCAAATTTGACATTTTCTTTTTTCTTGTCAGCACTTAACGGTAGGGTACAGTTAGTCGAGTAAGGGTAGTTTAAGAAATTTATCCTTTTCTTTATCAACCATCCAAATGTCTTTCTCTTTTAAGATCTAAACCATCTCTCCTTCTCTCTTCTCTCTTCGATCCCTATTTCACAACCGTTAGATGATCAATAGTCCAACCTATTCGACCAACTAGAGGCAGGGAATTAAACCATTTGGAAAAAAACCAGTGACCTTTCTAACTTTTGGAGCAAAAACTAGAAAGCGTATGATGAGGGATAATTTGGCCTGACCTGCGACATGATGACACATAGAGCGATTTGTTGACTTTGTGACATCTCAGCATCCTCGGACACCTCAGCAGTCCAAGTCACCTCAGGCACCTCGGGTCACTCAGCCAAGACCAAGGCCCGAGCAGCTCGCTATATCCATCAACCTGCTAAGGTGCCACATAGCTTCATTCTAAAAGTGAGCCAACTGTCTCCGATCTCCTTGGGATCACGTTGCACGCCAACGGATCTTATCTCCATCCCACCTGAATTGGACGGAACTGGATAAGCCTTATCAGCTAACACGAAGTCCGTCTTCGGGTGTGGGATAGACTTCAAGTTAGGCGGACCAAAGATCTTGGACATGTTTTGTGAGACCTACTATAGCTCGCCTATATAAAGGCATCACCACCATCTTCAGAAGGTATGTGCGATTTAGCTCTCTTACTAGCATTCTAAGCTCTAAGCTCTCACAAAAACCTCCTACACTAACTTAAGCATCAAAGTGCCCACACTGGATAAAGTACCCCAGGACCTCTAATCTATTCGTCTTGCAGTTCGACCTAGTCACGTAGCAGACCAACGTCCGAGCTTCCTTCTAGCAGGGAACAGATCATGCTACATCAATTGGCTCCGTCTGTGGGAACAACGCAACAAAAAACTAGTTCTGACCTTATTTTTAATCCAACTGACCCAATGGATTCCTCAAGCAACAAGTGGCGCTGTCAAGATCGTGATTAGCTACCTCGGGATCCACTACCACCGGAGAGGTCGATTCGCAGGGTGATCAACATGATCACCAACGGGTCAATAGTGGCAAGTTGTAGCACAACAATGGGAAAAACTCAGTCTGGGAGCTAGAGCATGAGGATGAGTACCCACTGAAGTGCCCTCATGTGGAAGACGTCATCTACTTCACCGAGGATGACACTCGTAGGGTCTAGTATCCGCACGATGATGCCCTTGTTGTCAAGATGGTGATCAATGACTTTGAGGTAAAGCGGATTCTAGTCGACTCTAGGATCTCTGCCGACATCCTTTTCTTGGAGGCCTTCGAGAAGATGCAGTTGGAGCGGAAAGACTTGCAGCTAGCGGACGTTCCACTCATTGGTTTCAGCGGGGATGTGGTGAAGCCCCTAGGTCGGATCAAAGTACCAGTTGCAGCGGGTCAGAGCCCAATATAGTCCGGTTTGAGCACACCTTCCTAGTGGTTGCCATCCTGTTCCCCTACAACACGATCCTAGGTCAGCCCATCTTGCATGCACTTCGCATAGTAGTGTTGACCTACTACCTCTCGTTGAAGTTCCCAACGAGGTATGGAGTAGGGATTGCATGGGGCGACCAACTGGAGTCGCGAAAGTGCTACGTCAATGCATTAAAGAGCAAAGGGAAGCTGGCAAAAGACATCAAGCTAGAGCCACCCCTCGAGAACACAAATGACCGAGATCGACCTATGGAGGACACCGTCATGGTCCCGGTCTTTAGATGTTTTTGCATGGTCAACAACAAAAATGCCCAGCATATACCCATCTGTGATTACTCACAAACTTAATGTGGACCCTTTAATCAAGCCAGACAAGCAAAGAAAAAGGAACATCACCCCAGAGAGGTGGAGAGTAGTAGATGAGGAGATTGGGAAGCTCCTTATAGCGGACTTCGTTAGAAAGGTCCAGTACCCGAGTTGGGTAGCCAACACTATGCTCATGAAAAAAGCCAACGGCAAGTGGCGCATGTGCGCCGACTATAATGACCTCAATAGAACTAGCCCAAAGGACAGTTTCCCGCTCACCAGAATAAACCGCTTGGTAGACATGACCTCGGAGCACGAGTTGCTGAGCTTCATGGATGCCTACTCTAACTATAACCAGATCTGGATGGAGTTAGACGACTATGAGAAAATGACCTTTGTAACTGATCTAGGGCTATACTATTATAAAGTTATGTCCTTTGGACTAAATAAAGTATTTTTTCCCCTTTGGTTGGCAATAAAATTGAATGTTATGTTGATGACATGGTCATGAAAACCCAGTTTTCAAAATCTCTTGTAGATKATTTAAATGTTGTTTTTCAAATTCTATGAAAATTTAACCTGAAGCTTAACCCGAACAAGTGTGTCTTCGGGGTCACATTGGGCAAATTCATTGGCTACATAGTGCATTGACATGGTATCAAAGCCAAGCTAGATAAAATCCAGGCAATCCTATATATGAGACCACCTAGGTCAATAAAAGAAGTATACAAATTAATAGGTTGAACTGCCGCCATGAACCAGCTTATATTTAAGTCGACTAGGCAGTGCTTACCCTTATCTAAGGCAATTAAAAAGGATGAGGACTTCGAGTGGACCGAGGAGTGTTAACTCATGTTCGACGAGCTTAAAAGGTACCTAAGTTCACCACCAATGTTAACCCAACCTGAACCTGGAGACGAGCTAGAACTCTACCTCTCTGCAAGTGATGAGGTAGTGAGCTCAGTAATAATAAGAGAAGTAGACCGGGTGCAATGACCTGTTTACTATATAAGTAAGGTGTTGTATGCAATTGAGACCAGGTACCCCAACCTTGAAAAGTTGGCCTCCGCCTCAGTCTTGGCAGCTCGGAAGCTACTTCCCTACTTTCAAGCCCATACCATCATAGTCCTAATTGATCAACCTTTGAGGCATGTCCTTCAGAAGCCCGAGTTCTCAGGAAGGCTGACGAAGTGGGAAATCGAACTAAGTG